CGCGCGCCCCCCGGGACGGGCGGCGCGGCTGCGGGGGTCACGCGCCGCGCCCTCCCCGGGCCGGAGGCGCCGGCTGGCCTTCCGCGCTCGCCGCGCGCCCTTGGGGACGCTCGCCTGCATTCCGGCACGTATCCGCCGGCAGGGTCGCTTGCCTCGAACGGCGAGCCCCGGCAGGGGCGCGTCCGAGCGGGCCGTGGAGAAGGGGCATCCTCCCCCGCGGGAACCCCGGTCCTTCCGGGGGTAGATCCTGGCACGTGCTTTTTCCCCGGCGGCGGGCTGCGGGGCTCCACTGAATCCAATGGATCGTGATTAGCAGCATTGATCTGGCGATGGAGGGAGACGGCGGAATGGAGCAGCATCTTGCAGTACGCGCTGACTCAGGAGCACCCGGGAGAAAAGTGTTCCGATGGAACACAAAATAAAGGAATCAATCCGGCACAGAGGTCAAGCGGTCCATCCTCTTTGCGCTTCCTTGTTGGCGTTGCTTAGCCGTCCCGAGGCTAATCGTGGGCCTGGGGGAAGCTCCGCAGCGCAGCCCTCCTCTGGGCTCGCCCAAAAGCAACGGAGGCACCATTCATCTGAGTTCTGGGTCTTTCTCCAGGCAAAATTGTCATGGTTTGCTCCAAAAGAGGGAGGAGCAGAGAAAACGTATGGGGAGGCATGGCCCCCACATCCCGCTCTTGGCTGCGTGCCCATCTGGGGGAGCAGCTCTCTGGGGTTCCCAGATCAGCCCACTCAGCCGAGGGAAGCGGAACCTAGCGGGTCGCAGCCACCGGCTTCCCCAAACTTCACCTTGCTCCAGAGCAAAGCACCTGGCCCTCCGGACCATTGTGTGGGGCAGCTCTGAGTGAAGGGAAAACTGGAGTGGACTCAAGTCCCGGATTCACAACCTGAATGGTGCGCATCACAGCCCAATGTGCCTAGAGCGGGGCTGCCAGGGGAAAGCAGCGACAATCAGACAAGATCAGGGAAGTCCACCCATATAGTCAGAGGCCGTTATTTTGTGTTACTGGTGCTATTAAAATGTTTGGACTGGGAATTCTGCATGGAGCCGGGGACAGGGCCGAACAGACTTACTGGGAGGTGTAGCCACAAAGCAGGGTTGCTTTTCTGCTCTCCCTTCCCTGCCTTTTCTGCCTGCCCAGCGCCTCCCTAAACCTGCAAATACTTCTGTGCTGTTGAGGTGTCACTGAGAACTAGCCCCACCAACAATCCCTTTCTCTTGGTGTTTGTGGTTGTTCTTTCAGGGCACTGCCTCAAGGCCCAAAGCTGATACATGGCTGATAAGAGGTTGAGAGGATGCAGGCGCTTGTAAGTACAGAGTGTAAGAGCTGCAGGAAGTTCGGGCGGGGGGGGGGGTGCCGCTCTAGCTTTGTCCGTTTGCCTCTTCCACACATGTGCATGCTTTTTCCTCTTGGCCGCTCCGGAGGGGGAAATTCTCAGCAACACACGGTCCGGTCCGGATGCATTTCTGTTGCCTTTTGCCAAAGACGTGGCATCGCAGGGAACATGCTCATTTGCCTTCCTTGCTCACCTCGATCCTTCGCTCCCCGCACCGGGCTCCGCGAGGCTTCTTGGCAACAGATGGGAGCGCAAGGGGAGTTTTCCAGTGCTCTGTCCTGTTCTTCCTACGGAGGAAACCGGCTGGCCGGGCTGGCCGCTGTGCGGACAAAATGCCGGAGCGTTTGAGGAGGCCTTGGTCCCACCCGGCTCTTCGCCCCTTCGTAGAGTCTCCAGCGAAACGGAATTCCCATCCGCGTCTTCGCTGCCTCGCCGCCGTGGTTCCAGCCTCACACTTAGCCGGGCTAAGCCAGTTACCGTGCCTGACACAAGCCTCTTAAAAGGACTCTGCTCCTCACCCACTTAGATCACGGAACAAACGACGGGCCACGGATGGGGAGCTGGGGCAGTGCCAAGGGGCTGCACCCGATACCCTGGCCTGGTTTGGATGAAACATTACGCTCCGGAGTTCGTGTTGAGCACACGGTTTCCATTTGCTCAGGGAAACCAAATATCCAGACTCGGAAAGGCAGAGCTTAAGTCAGAAGGAGGCAGCCAGGGTCTGTACCATCCCCTTATGCCCAGAAGACAACAAGTTCACACAAGATCTAAAGGGGTACTGTGGGTTTGAGTCTGCTTCATGAAAAATCTAAATCCGTAACCCACAGCTCGATCCTGGTTTGTTTGAACTAACCAGCATTTAAAGCCGCTCCCCCCCCCCCCCGGTGACATTTGAAGTGGGGTTTTTGATGCTGACTCTTCACATTTCTAAGCATGGGCGGTGCTGGCTGGGGCAGATGGGAATTGATGTGCGTAACAACTGGAGGGCAGATGGAAGAAGAGTAATTTAAACAGATTAAAGCTCACCTGAGTTTGGATAGAAGAAGAAATTTGTTGACAAATGGAGGCAAATATATTCCTTGCTATGCCAGGAACGTGACTCTCAGAAACGTGAGGCTGAACTCATCTATTTGGATTCTGTGGATCATCCTGCCTGGGGATTCTCTTCTCTGGCCAGTTGCCAGATCAAAGCCTTCAGGAAATTTGATTTTTAGTCAGGCTTTAGTCCAGAGCAGATCAGGCCTCTCCTGGGGGTGATTTCAAGAGGTTCCTGAGGATTTCTGACTCCCCAGTGCAGCCTTTCCCAACCTGGCCCCTCCCAGAAGTGCTGGGGGATGTTGGGAGTTGTAATCCAAGACATATGGAAGGACACCAGTTTGGGGCACAGAGTTCTTTCCAACCCCTTCCCCCCTTCTCAATCTGGCCCAAATTGCAGGTTCGGATGGGGAAAGAGGCAGGCCAATCACCCAGTACGTGTGACTCGGTGTTCGGCCGCTGAACCCCAAATTCCTGGGCTGGGCACGCGCACAGAGTCACTCTTGTTCCTTCATCCTGAGTCTGTCCTCCATCCAGCCACTGGCTCATCTTTTCGGCGGACCTCAGTCTGGTAAGTATGCACCATATTGATTCTGTCATCCAGACTGTCCGCCCTCCACCCGGTTTGCATCATTTCCAGGCGATCCGCTTGAGCAGGAAGGGGTCAAGAAATACACGTACAGAACAGTTGCTCCCGCCCACTTTCGAGGTCTCTCCTCGCGGACGCTGCATGTTTTGCAGCGCTCAACCCCAGCACCTCTTGTGGAAAGCAACCGGCAGTTGCCTCTGGCTTTTGTGACACCTACCCTGCAGTCAGTTTGTCCAGGATCTTCTGAACTGCAGTGATAAGAGTTTTGGCAGGATCTTCTGAACTGCAGAGATAAGAGTTTTGGCAGGATCTTCTGAACTGCAGAGATAAGAGTTTTGGCAGGATCTTCTGAACTGCAGAGATAAGAGACATGCCACATTTGAAGGAAAGGTATAAAACTTGATGGCGAAAGTGGCGACAGGGGACACGCCTGCAGGATGTTTTAGTAACTCTAGCGCCACGCGCAGAGCTCTTAGACAGATGTGGCCAGCTGTCTCACACAGAGTTCTTCTACTGCTGCTCTGCCTGGACATGACACCGGTGCCAGGTGCAATCTGCCCAATGCGCGATCCGCGTTAGACAAGCAGACAGGGCAAGAGGCCATGCCGTGGGGTTCCACCAAATCCCCCAGCAGCTGAGGCAGCGCCGGGTGTCGGGTTTCCCCGCTCCAGGCGTCTTGACTTGGCTGAAGGCCTGGACCTGGGCAGTGACTCATGGAAGACAAACATGAAACACCCGGCAAGCTCAGATCTTTTTGGTCAGCAGGATGACGCGAGTGCTTTGGAAACCCAGGGAGCGTGGCCTTATTTCTTAGGGTGGGCTCTCAGGGTGAGGGTCCACCGGGGGGGGGCTTAGGGCTGCCCCCCAAGCGTGGTGCTTCACGCCCTGCACATTGAGAGCACAAAGACGAGGAACGGACGCCCGTTCTCCCAAGGGAAAGGAGAGTGATGCAAAGCCCGTTAGGTGTGGGAGACAGCCCTCCTGGCCAACCCAGCTTCCCAGAAGGATCCAGAGCTTTTACACTGGGGCTCTCGCAGCTCAGACTGGCCAGCTGGGAGCATTTCGCGTGCTGGGAGGGAGTCTCCTGACCGTTGATTTCGGGGCGCACGGGAGCAGCTGCCAGGCTTCCCTCTCTCTGTTCAAAAGGAAACATGTCTCGGCGCCTCAAACCCTTCAGTAAGAGCTTTGAGCTGAAGCAGGCTGGAATGATTCGGAATGGGGCCCGGAGAGCTTTCCGAGTGGAATGCAGCCTTCAGACTCGAGGAAGCTTCTGTACCCCCGGCAGGGGCGGGGGGGGGGCTGGTTTCATGGGCGCATGCCACTCCCCCAATATTCAGCCCACACCTGCCTCCTGTAACGTGAGCTGTGGCAGCTGCTCCTGCTCTCCCGCCATGGACGGACGGACGAATATCCACCCGTCCGGCTGCCAACAGAAAACCTCCCGTCTCTCCCGCAGTCCCGCCTGTTCTTGACGCTGGTGGTGGTGAGCGCCGGCTCCCTCCTCTACGTCCTGCTCTGCCCACACTTCTGCATCCCGGCGTGTTGGCTCAGCTGCCGGCGTCTGGAAGAGCAGGAGAGGCGCTTGCTGGCCGTGCCGGGGGCCATGCGGTTTGAGGGCTACATCAGCATCCCGGACGGGAAGGTGAGTCCAGCTGCGGGTCAGGCGTGGCGCAGCCTCGGTGGGGCCCGACATGCTCCTCCTCGCTGGCCGGCCGGCCAAGAGTTGCCAGTCAGTAGATTCCTACAGCGTCTTAAAAAGCTGGTCGGCGTTCACTGTAGGTCAGGTGCGCTTTGGAGGCCCGCCCAATGCACCGCCCGCCTTTTACATGCTTGCTTATTAGATTTATACCCCACTTTTCCCAAGAGCTCAACGCAGCTCGCATCCTTCTCTTGCTGCTCTCCGTCTCGTCCCCACAACAACCCCGCTGTGAGGTAGATTGGGCTGAGAATCTGTGACTGGTCCAGAGTTGCCCGGCCGGCTCCATGGCCCAGTGGGGCCCAGTGGGGCCTTGAACCTGGATTGCCTGAGCCCCGGAGCGCCACTCTCAGCCTCTGTGCCACGCCGACTCTTCGCAGACGCACGTCCAGCGTCTCCGAAAGGGGCAGTCCTGGCAGAGTGCAAGCTGGTGCGAAAGTATCCCCCTTCTTGCTCGGCCTCACCCCCGGATCCCAAGGGGACAACGAATTAGGCAGGCGGGTGATCTGTGCCTCCACCCCCCGCTTCCGTGGGCCTGCCCTGAGGACCGGTCCCTCTCCCCCCACAGCCGCTGGCCCATGTCCCGTGTCGGCAGTGTGCGGTGGTCTCCAGCTCCGGGCAGATGCTCGGCTCCCGCTCGGGGAAGGAAATCGACGCGAAGGAGTGCGTGCTGCGGATGAACCAGGCCCCCACACAGGGCTACGAGGCCGACGTGGGCAGCCGGAGCACCGTGCGGGTGGTCTCCCACACCAGCATCCCGCTCCTGCTGCGGAACCAGTCCTACTTCTTCAAGCAGTCCCGGGACACCATCTACGTCATCTGGGGTCCCACCCGGCTGATGAGCCGGGAGAAGGTCGGCCTGGCCTACCGGACGCTCCTGAAGGTGAAGGAGATGTACCCCAGCCTGCGCCTCTACACGCTGACGGAGAGGATGATGGCCCGCTGCGATGAGCTGTTCCAGCTGGAGACGGGGAAAAACAGGTGGGAGATGCCGGGGGGTTGTCCCGAGGGGCAGGGGGCCCGGGCAGGAGGGCCCCGCCCCCTGCAGGACTCCGGAGGGCTGGATGGGCGCCCCCTTTGCGAGAAGCGTGTACTTCCGTGGAGACCAGGATGGCGCTTTCTTGCCATGATCTCCCCAGCGAATGCTCAGGCCCTTCCCGCGTAATCCTAGCTTCCGCTCTTCCGCGGCTGGCACGTATCCCATCAGCCACTGCCCCCGAAACTCCGACGCACGGTGCATCGCTCCCTGCCTGCATCCCCTGCCTCCTCACTGGCGCACACATACAACCCTCTCGTTCCACAGCTGCCCACGTTCCTCAGCAACCGGTACAGCTCGGCATAGTTCCACACCCTCCTGCTTTGCAGGGGGTGGGTGGAACAGGTGGCCCCCCGGCCTGCGCACCCACGAGAGACCCCTCCCCTCCTGCCTGGGTGAGCCAGGGCTGCTTGGTGGTCCGGCGCCTAGACATCGGTCAAGCCCGGAAAGCCAACGGTGGGCCCGGTCGCCCAGCCACACCTCTTCCCCGCCCTGGCTAGCAGAGCCGCCCTCTGTCCTCCCGGCACGCAAGCTGACCCCGTCTTCTCCAAACCGCAGGATGAAATCCGGCTCCTTCCTCAGCACCGGCTGGTTCACCATGGTCCTGGCCCTGGAGCTGTGTGAGAAAATCTTTGTCTTCGGCATGGTGAGCGAAAGCTACTGCAGGTACGGCCGGGCAGCGGTGGCCCTCGGCTCCGTGCTCTGGGCAGGCGGCTTGCCCTCTGCCCCCACGAGATCCCGCCGAGGGGCTGCGTCCCGCACTGGGCTGAGCTGACCCTCCTCTGTTTCCGTGGGTCTGTGCTCCGCGGGATGAGCCTCGTGCATCTCAGAGGCCCTGGGCAGGTGTTCCCCCATGCCAATGCCCACCTGTGCTCCCAGGTGGGCTGACAGGAAGACCACTGTCGCTGTCTGTATAACACGGGCGAGTGGGGAGGGGCGGAAGGGGCCCCCCTTCGGGCCAAGCTCGTTGAGGCTTTGAGGGACAAGAGCAGTGGTTTAATCCAGATCCAGAAGCTGATGGGAAACCTGGCAAGGATAAGGCATGGGTGGAGGGGGGAGGGTGCGGCAGCATGCGAGGAGGAGATAGCGAGCGCTTCCCTCCCCAGGGGCAGTCCCCACTGAAAAGTCCACCCCCCTGCATGGCGGCTTCCTGTCGCATCCATGGACGGGTCCATCGACGGGGTCTCCGGAAGAAGTCCGGGCCTCTGGGGCCCTGGAGGATGGGGGTCCCGAGACTGAAAGCAGGATGCACTCATATGTATATTTTAAAAGGGTCGATGCCTTAAAAGGTTCCAGCGCCCTTTAATCAGCTGAGCTCAGCTTTCCCCAGGCTGGGTGGTGTCTGACGTGCTCAGGGACGTTTCCCCCTGGGTCGGGGATGACGGCCTTCGGTGTCCTGTGCACTCGCTCTTCCGCGTGGTCCAGGCAGAACCGATGTTGCTTCTCCAAACGTGCCGCCCTGTTGACTCGTCTCGATCTCCTGTGACCGGCAGGGACAAGAGCCAGCCGTCGGTGCCTTACCATTACTTCGAGAAGGGCAGGTTGGATGAGTGCAGGATGTACCTGGCCCACGAGCGGGCACCTCGTGGCGGGCACCGGTTCATCACGGAGAAGGCCGTCTTTTCACACTGGGCACAGAAAAGGAACATTGTCTTCACTCACCCGTCGTGGCTGGACGGGTAAGGGGGTTGCGCCCCGCAAGGCGTCGCACCAGCCTGGAGAACCTTCACGGGCTCTTTGGGGCTTGAGGAACAACTTGGGAAGGCGTCTTTCTGCAGCAGATGCCCTCCAGCCGCGACCTGCAAGCCCCGCTCAGGCGAGCTACAAAAACAGGAATGACACCGCCAAGATCACGTGTGACTTGGCCCCTGCTGTTTCGTTTTCGTTTTTTCCAACGGCCAAAATCAAGGCTGCTTCACTCTGGTGCAAACCGGGCGGTGAAGCCATGGCCTGTGCTATTTTGGCTCTGTCTGCGACTTTTTCCATTAAACACTGGACTCGCAGAAGTGCCCTTCTCATGGATTCTCATGACCCACCCCTGGCTTTGAGGGCGACCCCTTTCCTGGAGGAAGAAACAGATAGGAAGACACACAAGATACAGAAGGTATCTGTCCACTGGGACTCCAGCTGGCATATGGTGACCCTCTTTCCTTGTTTGGGCTTTTCCTCCAGGTTTGTCCTCTACAGTCGAAAAGGAAGCGGGTGTGTGTGTGTGTGTGTGTGTGTGTGTGGTTTTACAAAACACTGACTTCAAACCCTTCTACTTTCAAGGTCTATTCGTCTGCATATGAAGTGGCAGCTTTGCATTTGCTCTCGCTTCCTCTCCTTCCTGTTTTCTTGGCCACTCCTTTACATTTCCAACAGAGAAGCAAAGCCTTGTTCTGTCTTTCTTTCTTTCTTTCTTTTCGACTTCCTGTGCCCGGCGTGGTGTTTTGTCCTTCTTGAAGCACCCGGGGCGGGGGAACACGGAAAGGCCTCTGGTCGTTCTCACTGGTCAAGCATCGTCCTCGCTGTGATCATCTCCGGTCTTCTCCGTCTGAGGCTTGGCTCAGCGGAAGGCATGCTCGGGAACAGGGGGGCAAGGATCTCGGATCTCGCTGTGGAGTGGTCGTCTGGAGACTGCACAGCCTGCAAACGTTAGATTGTGTCGTCACCCTCCTGATGGGCAGTTGGGTTGAGGAATGTCCAGAGCGTCCCAAGAGCCTTGCCTCTGCCCGGGCTGATGGCCCAGCTTGCAGGAGTGAGAGAGATGACCCTCTTTTTAACCCAGGTTTCTTGTGCCTGCCCGGGGCCCCCTTGGTGCTGAGCGCCTCCCTGTCTCTGCATGGTTGACGTCCCTGTACCACACCTCATCTGGCACTTTCATTCTCACAGGGGTGGCTAAAGCCTTTGAGAGTGGCTGTCCGACATGTCGGCCTCGCAGAAAACCCACAGCTCCGTTGCGTGGGAATGCTTAAGAAGGGTGGGAGGGATTGGGAACCGGGAAAGAGGAGGCACGCTCCCCACACCTCGCCCCATGTGAAGGCCTCGTGAAAACCCCTCTTGGTCTCATGCACACAAAGCTGCCACTCACGTCAAAGCCTTTCGGCTGAATAGCAGCTTGGAGGCGTTTTCCGGATTGAGGCTTTCAAGGAATAGAATTCCCGGAGAGGCAAGCGGTGTCGCCCGCTGCAGCGAAATCCTGCAGTGCTTTGAAAAGGAACGCATTTTCGTTGGCACGGGCTCTTGCGGCATGTTCCCCCCTTCGTTAGAGAACGTGCTCGTTAGGACCAAGATGTGGAGAAAAGGGCTCGCCCGCCCTTCCCATGCTCCCAAGGTGGATCTTTCCTCCACACCCTACTCTGTGGCTGCTTTCCTTTCCTGTTTCTTTTTTCCAAATGCCACTGTGCATTTTTGGGTGTTGGTCTCGTTCAGTTTGGGTGGGAGGGAGGGAGGCGAGAGCCTCTGTGCATCGCTGGCAAAAGGAGCCGATGCAACATTTCTCATCTCAAGGGGGATCTGGGGAATTTGGACTGCTGCTATTCTCCCAGAGGCAGCTGGAGTGGGCCAGGGAAGCCAAGAAGGCCAGCTCAAAAGAAAGATCCAAAACGAAAGAGGCAGGGGGTGATTTGGCGTGTGAGGGAGAAGGAGGTGCGTATTCATCCTGTCTTGAACCTTTGGGCAGCTAAATGGATCTGTGCACGGAGGTGACCCCAGGACTGAAGCTGCAGTGGGGAGGCTTCGTGGGTCGGGTGTCCCGCGTTTGTAGAAACGGACTCTGCAGGTCTGGATTCTGTGCTGGTTTAGACCAACAGTAAAGGGACCGGCAGGACAGCCCTGCAGAGTTGGCAGCAGGACAAAGGTGCAGAATCGAGGACTGGGCCTAAAGTCCGAGGCACGTTTCCACACGCCCGTGTGCCCATCTCTTTTGCACACATCTAGCCGTTCTTTTGCGGCCTTTGTTTGAGCATCTCTGTATCCATGCCAAAATTATTTAATAAATGTCACTCCAGAAATTCTGCAGTGCTGTTCAGTTCGTTCAAACCAGACAAAGGTTTTTTGTTTGTTCTTTAACCCTTCCATTCTTCAGTGCAATTTCTGGCAAGCAAGCACTCTTTCCCTATTCTCACACGGAAACCGTTCCAGATTGTAAACTCCTTGGGGGCAGAGACCTGCTTTTTGTAAGTGCAATGTAAAAACAGATTTCTCAGCCAGCCATGGGGACCATGTCCAGCAACCCCCAATAGCTGGGAGCTATTGGGCTGTTTTTCTCTCTAAACATGCATAGGAATAAGCATCATTCAGTTTATACAGTTCAAATTAGGGGGAAAATTTGCCCCACCCAAGGGGCTTGTAGTTCCAGGACCTTTAAAACAGATATTCTGCCTACCTTATTGACCATTGCCAATTTCTCCAGATTTTGGAGGGCTATCCTGGCATATTATCATTTCTAACATCTATAATTTTGAGAGAGCCATCCCCGCAGGATTGGAGGCAGCATAGCTGTACACCAGTTGCTGGGGAACATGGGTGGGAAGGTTCCTTTGCATTCCTCTCCTGCTTGTGCACTTTGCTTTTGGACGTCTGGTCGGCCACTGCAGTAAACGGGATGTTGGGTTAGCATTTAATCAATTCACAGAATATTGATTTGATTTGATTTTCACTCCGTATCCCAGGAAGCTTAGAGACAACGAGAATGTTGAAAATGTAGTGAGAATGCTGTCTCTCTCCTCTTCTCACCAACAATTTGGTCCGCGAAATGGAGACACCGTGAAGACCATGAATGATTTGGGGATGGCCTCATATGCCCGGTTGCGGGTTCATAGCAGCCAATGGGGGGATATTTGCAGCCTTCTAGATTCTGCTGGGTTTGTAACTCCATCAACCTCCATCTTTGGCTATACCAGCAGGCATAAATAGGTGTCGGATGTCCGGCTGTGTCTCGTGAGCTTCTTCCCCAAACACCCAAAACGTGCATGAGCTCCTACTCCTACCAGCTCGTCTGCTGGTCCCAGGTAGGAGCAGTTAAATGCTTCCAAATGGAATCAGAGAGACTCGTGGGCATATTTCTGATCCAGAAGAACGCCAGGCCTGCCCTGGAATATGCTGAACTGGCCAGACTCCCCTCTTAGAGATTTAAGCACAGAGTGTGAGCACAGCAATATGGAAACACATTTTTCTTTGTTCTTGGGCCAGGAAGGAACAAAGAACTGCTTGAAAGTTCTTAAACCGGGATTTACTTGGAATTTGACTGAATGCTTCAGCTGACCAAACCAGGAAGGTCAGTCCAGTTCCAGACCTCTAAAGTCCTTTCCCCGCCTCCTTTCTCTGGAGATGGTCATTGTTTGCCTTAAAGAACATGTGTTTGCTTTAGAGCCACTAGCACGGACTATCTATGGAGGGTCGTGCCTGTGATATGCAGCTTTTCCTGGGGATGTTTTTGATTTCTGCAAGGATTTTTATTCTTGGCACTGCCCTGCATTAGTATGGACAGGGTGATTTTCTCCAAGGGGCCTCCGAGCCCAGAATACTGTCTCTCTGGAGTGGACTAGTTGCCACAAGACGAACAAGCATGCAGGCATCTTGCGTCCCTGTCTCCCAGCATGTGATTCTGGAGGAAAGGGAACTGGCATGGCACGGATTCCGTCGCTTCCTCCTCTGTGAATTTGTTTCATCCCCTCTGGAAACTCTCCAAGTTGCTCCCCAGACCTGTTACGCCTCAGCAAGGTGGCTGTGCCCTGGCCCATCTTCCCCTGCTCCCAAGTTGCTGCAACAACGCGAAAGAGCGAAACAGAAACCATTCCCTTTTCTCTTTCTCTGCAGCATCAAGATCACTTTTTATATTTAAGCTGAAATATCCCAACCGTCGTAACTGTTCCTTAAAGGTGAATTGCTCCAGGCCTCCGATTGGGGTAGGCCCCTGTGCTGGCTGGGGATGATGAGGCTTGTAGGCCGCGACACCTGCAGGGCCACAATCTGCCCACCCGTAGGAGCTGCTGAATTACAGGCCCGTCCCTGCTGCCTGGGGAAGCACGTTTAATATCTCACTGAAGGATTGCAGGAAAACGTTTCTTGCGGACGGAGCTGGTTGGCAGAAAGACTGCAGCAGTTTACGTGTAATCTGGGTCAAGTTAGGAGACGGAACAGCAGACAGAACAGCCGCAGTCAAGCCTGATTATTCCAGGGTAGGTAACCTGTAAATTTGTGCTCCGTGTTAAAAGACGGGGGGCGCGTCTTAATCCCCCCGCCTTACCCTCCGGTACCACAAATCTGTCGCCGCTCTTTCCTCTCGGCTTTGCCGGCGATTGTAAAGCATCAGTCGGTCCAGGCTGTGCAGGTGTGACCTGCAGCACGTGATGCAGCTGAATTAGCAGGGCCGCCAGCCTCGGGTTACACCTCCCGTTCCTGGGGAAGGAGCCTTCAGAACGTCCCCGCTGCCCATCACAGTTGTCGGACTACAGCTCCCAGCTGGCTGTGGCTGCTGGGAGTTGTAGTGCGGCACCTCTGGAGGGCGGTGCGTTGGAGAACGTCGTCCTGAATGCTGCAGCCGGCCGTGTATTTTAGGAATGCCTTCAACTGGCTCAAAATACCCCCTCGTGCCTTTCGTTGGATGTGGCCGGTGGGAGCCTTCGCTGGTCCAGATGGTTTGATGGGGGCTGACTGAATGGGTTTCTCCTAGCAGGGTAAGGAAATAATCCAGTGTTTTATTAGGACTGGGGGTGTGCTGTTCTGTTCTTTTCTGAGGCTTCCCCAGAGCGATCACTTCGATTGTTTGGGGTGTGTATGCCCCTCCTTTCCCCGAAGGCATCGTTTTTGGCTCTCCTTCACCATTGCCCGCTGCATCGGCGACCGTAGCAGGGACCTCCGCTGAAGAAAGGGGCTATCCAGGGAGTCTGGCAGCTGAGCAGGATTTGAACTCGGGGCTCAGAACGAAATTGCTGCTCTTACCCAGACTCCTCCGCTCTGTACCCTCTCGATGCTTGGGACTGCACATCCCATGGATAGCCCGCTAGCATGGCCAAGCATAAGAGAGGCTGTAGTCCGAAACATCCTGAGGGTGCTAGAATTGGGGAAGTCTGCTGTAACCACTAGGCCATGCTGGCTTCACAAAATGGTTGAGGGCCAGAACTGGGATTAAGGAAAACAAGACAAAGCACTGTAGTCAGAAGGGACTAGAACCCGGATCTCATCAGCCGTAACCCGACTCTGATGGCAATGCCAAGTCAATATAGCCAGCATGACCTTCTGTGTTGCTGACTTGACATGCCCACAATATCAAGTCTGAATACATTTACACCCACCTGCAGGTCAGAATCGGGACCCTGCACTCCCCACATACAAAAACCAAATTTCGCCCCTCCCACCGTGGGGAAAGGGCATGTCTGAAAGCGACGGCTCAAAATGGGGGTCTGCTTTGGGCCCCTGCAGGGTTTTCATGGAGAGTTTCTGCCCCTTCCGTTAATGGCAGAGACACAGAGACATCTGAGAGAAAGTGATGCAGGGTTGTCATGGCAACGGGATGTGGAGAGCAGAGAAGCCGTGCCGGGAAACCGAGTCAAGTGCCATCCTCGCTGCAGAAACCCGCATCATCTCCGCTTATCGATTTGCCGGCCGGGGGTGGGGGGAGGGGCGCCTCTGCCAAAAACAAGCCGCTTGCATATCATCAGTTCCGTATCAGTTAATCCAGATGAAGCACACAAGGAAAAACGAATGGGGAGGGAAGAGGAGGAAAAACCAACGGGTTCCACAGAGCTGGTGGAAAGGCGACCTTTGCTGTCTCAATGCAGCTTGCCCATGAGGAAATCTATGGGGCCCCAATCCAGGGAAGGCAGCACCCCCCCCCCCCGCCCCATTCTCTGGGCTGCCCTTAAAGGAACGCGTTTTGCACTATGGGAATTCTTTGCCAGAACCGGAGCTGCTCCAGCAGCCAGAACCACCACCGCGTGATTTGCAGGATCAGCCCCGGCCCCACTGGAGCACTCAGCCTCCTGAGGAGCCCCAGCTGGGGGCCCTGGGAGTGGGAGGGAGGCGTGCTGTAAGAGGCAGCTGCTGCCTCCAGAACTGCCCCGGGCAAGGCTGGGCCTGCTCTTTCCTGTGCTGCCTGTGTCTTGCCCGACCTTGGATGTCTCCTGCCCAGTTCTCTCTCAAGGTCATGAAATCATGGAATAGCAGAGTTGGAAGGGGCCACCATGTCCCCCCACCCCACTCAGAGGGCTGCCCAATTTCTTTCTGAATGTCTCCAATGTGGGAGAGCCCCGCCCACCTCCCCAGGCAGCTGGTTCCCCTGTCCTGTTGCTCTGATCGTGAGGAAGCTTTTCCTGATGTCCAGCCTGAATCTGGGTCGTTACAACTTGAACTGATTATTCCATGTCCTGCACTCTGGCATCAGCAAGAAGAGATCTTGGCCTTCCTCTCTGGGACAGCCTTTGAGGTACTTCTAGCAGGACATCATGTTCCCCCCCAGTCTCTCCTCACAGGGCAGTGTTTCCCAACCCTGGATCATTTTTCTTGCCCTCCGCCGGGCCCTTTCCTGCGTTCCAGGTGAGGTCTGGCTAATGAGGAGCAGGTGCTGCGTCTCTATTTGCATTCCCGTTCGGGAACCGTTCGCTCGTTCAGGGCCAAATCCTCGCCCTGCCGGGCTGAAAGCCCCCAGCTCCTGACCTTGAACCCAGGTCCATGTCTCAGCCTTGCTGCTCAGCCCAGCTTTGGGACCCGGGCTCTGCCTCACCCCCGGCTTGCTTGCCCTGGTCCTGGGGACTCCGTCTTGTCTCTGGCTGCCCAGCAACCGTCACGGCTTGTTCGTGACTCCTCTCCTTCTCCATCAGGGTAACAGGGCCGCATTGCAAGAACACCATCGGCCGTTTTGCAACAGTTCGCGACCCCCACGCCCTCCCCTCGAGCGGGGGGGCCTGGTGCGGTGCCCGCCTCGCAAAGCATCCAGCCGAAAGGCGGTGCCCGGCCAGAGCGCCAGCGAGGATTCGGGTGTTGCCCTGGGCACGGGGCATCTCTTTGCACCGGGGCCGCCCCCGGTTTTTTGCCAGAAGGGGGCACGCGAGGAGGAGGAGGAGGAGGAGAAGCGACGGCGCCCCCGGGCTGCTGTTTCTCGGAAGCAAGCAAGCGAGCATGCAGGCGAGGAAAACCGGGGTGTGCTAGGACCCAGGGGCCGGCCGGCCGGGGCCGGAGCTGCTCCCCGGCCGTGGGTCCCCGAGGCTGGCTGCTCCTGGTGGGCTGTGCGAGCGCAAGCTGGTCGCCCGCCTGGGCAGAGCCGCGGGCAGCGCGCCCGCTGCAACCGGAGCGCCGCCCGGCCGGCCCTGGCATCCCGGGGAGGTCTCCGGCGGGCGCCCGCAGCGAGCCCGCGCCCCCGCCTGGGGGGGCTGCCCGGCGGCCGGGTGAGTTGAGCGCGGCCCCCCGGACCCCGCTTTCCCTGGCTGGCGCGCTGCGGGGCGGGGACCCCGGCGTCCGGGCGGGGAGGGGGCTGCGCGCGTGTCTGCGCGGCTTGGTCTCTGCGGCGATTCCTCCCAGGAGGACGGCGGGGAGGGGGCGAGGGGGCGCCCTGGCGGGGGCCGCGTTTGGGGCGCCCGGAGACCACCAAGTGGCGGCGTTCCCAGCCCAGGGAGAGGAGGAGACGGGGCTCTGAGAGGGAGAAAGGGAGTCGCGCACAGTAATGCTGGGAAGGGGGTGGGGGTGGGAGGAGGAGGAGGAGGAGGAAGGGCTGGAGGGGGGAGGCCTGCTTTGTGAAGTTGCCGGCTTCGGGGGGGCGAGCTGGGCTGGCGGGGAAGCACCCGCCCAAGCACGCGTGCCAGAGGCGAGTTTCTGCAATGGCGACGCGCTGCCCAGCGCGCCTCCAGGAAGCCAGCCCACGGGCAAAGGGGGTCCTGGGGTTGTCTGGATGTGCCCCCCCATCCGCCCACGATCCCTGGTGTGTGTTGCGTGTCTGCACAGCGCGATCTCCCCCCCCCCCCCGCCTTTTCTCAGCCTCCTCGTGAGCATGGCGTCTTGGCCAAGGAGGGTGGGAAGGAAAAGGGATTTTTCCAAGCAGGGAGAGCCCTTTGCTCCAGTTTCGCTCCCGCGGGCGAATCGGCTCGTGGGAGGCGAACCGGCTTCCAGTTCGGTCCCAGCCAGCTGCTTTAGGATGCGTCGATTTCTGCAAGGCATACGTTCAAAGAAAATTCTGCAAAATATCCAGCATGAAAGAAGAATGAAATGCTGGCTATTGTAATAGAAGCGGGAGAGAGGCCTGCTGGGAACTCGTGCTTTTAGTAGGTGCCGGGAACACAGAGTGGGCGGGCAGCACCTGTCTGATTTCCAGTGGCAGGGAGTTCCAAAGGATGGGCTGGCATCGGGACAGGTCCGCCTTGGACTTGCCTCTTGCTCTGCCCCAGGGAGCAGTGGTGGCGAGGAGGAGGAGGAGTGGGAGCAGTGGGTGCTAAGGATGACCTCACTGAGGGAGCAGTGGGTGCCAAGGATGACCTCACTGAGGGACAGCAGCTTGTGCAGGCGCCCTCTGACACTTGGAGCCACAAATGTTCCAGAGAGTAGGGATTACACCATAGGAACGGCCCTCTTCTAAGGCATCGTTGTCCGGATTCTTGTGTACCACCAAGAGTGCAAAAGGGGACTGGTAGCATCCCGACCCCGAGCTGTTTAGGGCTTTGTCAAGAACACTCCTGCCTTAAAGCTGTCCCAGCAGTGCGTGGTGTTCCCACAGCGGCCACCCACCCACGGGAAGCCCACAGGCAGGCCAGGAGGACAACGGCACCTCCCACCTATGTTCCCCAGCAGCTGGTGAGCACCAGTGTACTGCCTCTAGCACTGGGAGTGGCAGAGAACCATGAGGACTAGCCTTCTCTTCTGTGGCTTTGCCCAGTCCCCTTTGACTGCTGCCCAAAAGGGTGGCCAGCACTCCTTCCAGTGGCAATATATGGCATCGTCTCGCCCTGCCCCGTGTGAAGAAGCACTTCCTCACATCTGCGGAGAATCCCTGGCCAGGTTGATTCCTGGCATAGCCCCAGTGGCTGGGCGAGCGAAGGCCAGTCGCCTCCCATGACTTACTCAGAAGGAGCGCTCCTAGAAGTGACCCCTTGGCTCGGTTCAGCAGGCCCCTCTGTGCATGCGCAGAGAGTCATTCTGAGTGTCTGTGCCTCCGGAAGATGCTCTGGCCCATCGGGGACTTTTTGCAAGGGAAGTCAGCGGCTTTGAAAGTGTGGAGGGAGGAAGCCAGTGGGCTCGAGGGTCACGATAATCCACTGGTAATCATTTGCCCCCCGACCCCGTGGTCTCGCTAGCGTGCTGTGTTCAGCCCACCTGTGCCTTCCGGACCACCCCGTGATTCATTCATCTGTTCTTCCTTTCAGGTCGGCATTTTCAAAAGCCCACTGACCTTTGTGCCGCAGATGCTGTTCTCCGTCCCGTAGGGGCGATCCGAGAAGAAGGCACGGGGACGCGAACCGGATCATGGGAAGATGGTCCAGCAGGCAGAGCTGGCACCGCCTCATGGTTCCCCATGGAGGGGAGGTTCTGCTGCCGCCACACTCCCTCCTCCACCCGCCTGAGGCATCCTGTGCCGGTAAGGAAGGAGACGCTTTCCCCACGGGTGTTTTCATGGGGCTCTCATCTTGGAAGAGGCTTAAGCCGGGTCTGTGCAGCAGGGTGAACAACCGTGGGGTTGCGTTCCCACTGCCCCGGCTTTCGAAGACCATGCCTGAGTCCTGCGGGAGGGAGGGCTCCACACACGTGGGGGAATCCCAAAGGTCTGCAGGTCAGTTTTTAAAAAATGGCAAGCCCTCGCATGCTCGATAGCCGTGCAACATGGTGGGCTAGCGTCCCCGCATCGCAGCTGCCCCGAATGCCAGGCCGCTAAGGGCAGTCTTGAAATTTGCACGCACACGATATGTGTAAGAAGGGGAGCGGGGTGAGGTCGGGGCTTGTGCAAAATTGCGTTTTGCACTGCACTGATGGATTGATTTGATGTGATTTATATCCCCGCCACCGCCGCTGTGCCGTTGCCCTTCGAGCTAGCAAAACATTCCAGGCATTCATTGTTATCTTCTCCCCATAAGTGGGAGGGACTTGCTCTCTTTGTTTGTTGAAGCAGCCCTTGGAAGCTAAGAATTGGCAGAAAAGAACGTCTTTGCAGGGGGGCAAAAGAACTGTTTTGCAGTCTCTGTTTGCCAGATCAGACCTTTTTTTATTGCAGATACTGAGGATAATGCAGGAGCTTTCTGCATGCTTTGTCCCTGGATTGGGCCCCCTCCACGATGGAGTCTTTTGCTCGTACCTTCTTGCTTCCTTTTCTGCAGCAAGCTGTAGACCAAAGTCGCTTTCATTTGTGCCGTTCCACGTTTTATTCTTTCTTTAAAAAAAACAAAACAGGGCTTGGTGGCTCAGTTTGGATCGGCACCATGTCTGTGGGGGATGGAGGAGATTTAATTCTTGACTTGGCCTTGATAGGAGGAGTTCCGACCCAACTGGGCAAGAGGGGAGGTTGTGGGGGGCTGACTTTCCTTCAACCCCAGCAGGGGTGTTCTTCCCCTTGGAAAATAAAATGAGGAGGCTGTCGTGAACCCAGAAGTGCTGGGGTGATGCCCCAAAAGCGGGTGGGGAGAGGCTCTTCTGGTTTGTAGGCCTGCTGAAGGCAAAATCAGAAGGTTAAAAAATCATTTGCTTGTAAAATAGATTCAAGAGGGCAGAGAAAATGTGGGGAGTTTATCTGCCTGGTCGGATTCTCCTGCAGTGGCAATTTGTTAAAGGCAACATGACTAGCCCAGGGCCAACAAGAAGTGCCGGATCTGGGTACGGATTTGGGTTCAAAAGAAGGCTTTTCGCGAATGGCTTTTGGAGAATCTCCTTTCCTGATCCATGCCTTGTTTCTCGGATCTTGGTTGGATTTTGCCTCAGCCAGTTTATCCTTCCGGGAAGCAGATGTTTCAGGGGGTGGAGGGGTGGCCACGTTCACTCTGGCAGCCTGTTGTAAACAGGCAAAGGTCCCTCGTAACATGACAGCCGTTCTGCAGGGCCTGCCCTGAAGGTGCAACGCACGAAACATCAGGTGTGGCGGTCCATGAATGGGGCTTTCTCTCCCGGTTCCTCCTGGTTTTGCTCATTCTCCTGCTCAAGCCTCCTTCCGCTGCGCTGGTCCCACGGTTCCTTTCTTGGCTGTCGAATGCACTGAGATGGTCGATCGGCGCCCATCTGTTTTTCCTCGCACAATTGCTCCCTGCAGATAGAAAGCTAGCCTATCAAGGCATGCATCCATGCCCAGTATAGGGCGTTCTCCTGGGTATGTTCGTTTCCCATATGGAATAACTTCCATTTTTAATTTTCTTTTGCACAGAGAAGGAAATTTGTAGACAAGCTTTGTGCATTAGCTCAGGCCAGGTACAATTTGCCTACCAGGTGAGAACTGGGAATCCTCTTTGAAGGAGGTCAGGAGACAGAGTACTCGGAGCAGGGCCTTCTCTGTGGTGGCACCCAGACTATGGAATGCGCTCCCTAGAGAGGTCTGCCTGGCGCCGTCATTATATGCTTTTCGGCGCCAGGTCAAGACCTTTTTATTTGACCAATATTTTAATGTTGATTTTAATTGTATATTTATTTAACTTGTTTTAACTGTGTTATTTTTATATTCAGTCATGGTATAGCCAATTTATTTTGTTTAGGACTTACAATATAATGTAATATAATATAATGTAATATAATGTAATGTAATATAATATAATGTAATAAGCCATCCAGAGACGACAGTAATGGACAGCTTATAAATGCCATAAATAATAAACTGCGTACAGGCTTTGGGACAGAGGTCCAACTCCCTAGGTATTCGGTCCAGTTCTGGCTGTGCCGGCAGTTCCTTTGTCTCTCCCTGCTGGGTCCTTTTGGACTCCTGCCCAAGGATGCCCGGACAGGGGTCTGCGGAAGGGACCTCATGCCTAGCCAGTAAGCCGGTGCAGGCCCTTGGGGTGGAAAAGGTGGCCCCCTCTTTTGTGGGGGGAGTCGGAAGTATTTCCAAGAGCCCTTAGTTAGATCCAGACGTGTTTGAGAGGCCTCCACAGCAACTCCTTGGCCGGGTGTCGAAGTTTGAAACGGCATTTGTGCACCTGAAATCTGTATGAAAACGCTGGGCTGTCGGACCCTTTGCCCACCACAAGTTCTAGCCTGGACTGACCTGCTTGTTCATCGCTTCCCTCGGCTCAGGCGGTCGAGCCCGAGCAGGTGAGCCCAGATAATGTTTCCATAGGGTGTTGCGCTGTATGGGAACAGCCAGGCCGCATGGGGAAAAAGGCCTGTTAAATGGATTTCATAGTTGACTGGGCCCACCTTTCCAGCACTGCATGGGCCCCTCGCCTTGTGCAAGCAGCTTCCCGTTTCCTGAGGGTAATAAGAGCAGTACTTTTCCCCTGAGCAAAACTCTCCAGGGCATATTTATCCTATCGGAACTTCTGAAATGGCTGAGCTCCCCTTCCATTGTTACAGGTGAGCTGGGCCAGTTGTCCTAAACGCAGAGGAGGGTGTCAGTGTCTTCTCCCTCCCCTCCGTAACCAAATCAAGAATACCCTGGCATTATGCAAAAAGCTTTGAAAATACTTCTCCTCAAGTTAAATAACCAAGACTACCGACAGAGTGGGGCGTTACCTCGTTCGTTGCAATAGACGGGGAGAGCATGCTCGATCGGACGCTCCCCAAAGTACAAACACACAAAACAGCTCCTTTTACCCCTCATTCCATCCGCCACAGCCCTCTCCTTTTCCCTCACTGAGTAAGGTGCTAGGAGGTTGCACTCTTTCCGTCCACATACTACATATCCCATCTCATCCCACTACATGCATCACATGTGCATTAGAATTAGCCCATTGTCTATTCAAGGTGTGTGAGTCTATTCACCAGCTTATTACGCCTGCGAGCTTATAACGACAAGTTCACCCCTCTCTGCCTTCACCTTGCCCCGCGACCCCTGTCTGGGAGGATGAGAAAGAAAGGAGCAGCCTTTCTTTCAAGCCGATTATCTTTTTCTCTCCTCCACATTCCTTCAGACGGGCTTCATGGCCGGTTGTTCACCTCTCTGTTCCTCCATCACCGAGTTCCTTCCTTCACTGGGGGTGGCACCCTTGCAAAAGCTCAAATGGAGACGCCCGTGGAAAGTCTCTAACAACAAGCATGAAAAGGGGAAGGCGGAATGCAATTTCCAAGCTGTAGTCTGAAGGAGAAGCTGGAAACCAGCCTCTTCTGTTGCCTCAGCTTGGGGGGGTGGCGGCGGCTGGTCCTAGTTCTGTTCAAGCCTTCATTCATATGTGCATTCTCCAGATAATTTGCCCAGAACTGATGATTCTGTTGAAGATTCCGGCTGCATCTCCCAAGCAGCCGGGGCAATTTTCACCGCGGGATGGCTGCAGGGTTTCCTCCGCGGGAGACGATTTCTCGGAGGGCTGCTTTGTGTGTGATGGCACGTCGGCAAGAGACTACACACAGCTCTGCCTGGCCGAGTTTATGGGCACGCTTTTCAGGAGTTGTTGGCATGCCGCCGCCGCGATTTTGGCTTGGTGCTGAATGTGCTCACTGTCTTCCTAGCTGCGCACAAGGGTCTGGCGCGGGGCTTGCGATGGTTGCGTTCACATGGGCCAGGGCCAAAGGAAATTTGGCCCGTCCAGCCAGCCAGACAGAGCTTTGGCAAGGATGCTACCAAATTAAGGTCACCGCTGCTTCACCCAGGAGGTCTGAGACCAGAGAAAACAATTTTCCAAGGAGGGAATTTAGCAAGGGAGATCCACTTTGAATATCATCTAGCAGATTTTGATTGAGATCAGCGAAAGACATTTTCGCTTCCGGATGGGAGAACCATTTCTCCCTGGTTCTGCCTCAGCTTTTGCTAATGAAATTGGAGATGGCTTTTGCCAGCTTTTGACTTTTGGCTAACATTTCAGTTGTTTTGGTGGCTACCAGTCCGAGTCATGAGGGCATGGTTTATTTCGGTTCAGTGTTTGTGTTTGAATTTTCTTGCTTGCGTTCCCCGTTTGTTTTAATTTCCCTGCATGTAGGCTTTATGTAGATTGATATTTACCTTGCAGTAACAATATAGGTTATATGCATTTAATACTTGAGTTCCCTTGCCACAAGCGTAAGCGAGAAATGATTTAGCGATGAATGTTTAGCTCTCCGGTTTTACTGTTATACTCAATCATCGTTTCATATGCTTTTGTTAGATTTTTGTTTTCTTTTTTGCAAAGCTTTTAATGTGTCTTTGGGGATCCATTGAATCAAAAAGTAAAACTACCTGGAAGGAAGGAAGGAATAAACCTGGATGATTTAAATTGCTCCGCTAGTGGAATGGAAAGTCAGAAGAAACCAACAGTGGGCTAGGTATTGGGTTCTGCAACCAGTCCCGAATTTGGGAGGCCCAGTGAAATATGGAATGTGGCCACTGTGGGTTCACAGAGGACTACAACATTGGTCTTCACTTTGGACCCTTCTCTGACACCGAAGTCACAAGGAACGCAAGTTCACCATCAATAGAAGGCCAGCCAGTGTTACGGCCTGCCTAGACTTTCCATCCAGTCCAAGACTTACGCCCTCGTCCTGCCCCGTCCTTTCTGCCTGATAGCTTCTCCTGTCCTCCTGTCTTAATTGCAGTATTTTTCCAATCATTCTGGAGGGCAAGGCGACTCTCTAATCAGGGCATTTAAAACATCATCCCAGTATCTGTGGCGTGACAGTTCAGAAGGGAAAACAGCCACCGCAGCCATCTTGCAAAGTAAGAGCTAAAGTTTTGCCTGGATCTTCGCGAGGTGGATCTTAATGGGCTGGCAGGGGGTCCTGAGAAACAGGATGTCCTCCAGGAACCAGCTGCTGGGAGCTTCTGAGCAGGAGTGGAAACATTCAGCCCTGCCCGCATGATCAGTTTTTAAAAAACGGTTGTGATGGGAAATGGTATTGACGGCACTAAGGGGTGCCCAAAGCTCTACTCTGTTTCCAGCTGAGAATCCCAAAGGAATGTTCATAGGATATATTCATTTTTGAGGGGGGGGAATGCAGTTCACAGGAGTGGGGTGTCTGGGGAGCAAATGGCCCTGGAGTGCCCCCCACTGACCCACCCACCCAAGGTGCCCATCCCTTCTCTTGGAGCTTGGAAACTTGGAAGCTTGGAAACAGATCCGTAGCTGTTTGGATATTCCACAGCGGCTTCACGTGTTGTGTGTGGCTACAGAATGTTAAAAACTCGGGCTCACCTGCACATCAAGCTGTTCCAGGGCTCTGGTTTTCCTAGGAAAACCCACTGTGGGTCCTGGCTCCCCCCCCCCCCCCCCCCCCCCCGTTCCGTGAGGCACTCTGCACATTCCCAGGATCTACGTCCGCGCCCCTCCCCCCCTCCATCGCGTCATCCCCGCGCCCTGGGTTTTCCTAGGAAAACCCACTGTGGGTCCTGGCTCCCCCCCCCACCCCCCCGCATTGTGTTCCGTGAGGCACTCTGCACATTCCCAGGATCTACGTCAGAGCCCTTCAGCGCTTCCAGCGCTTCACCCCGGCACAGTGTTAGCTCTCTTTGTGCGCTGCAAGAAACTCCTTTGGGGCTTCTGGCATGGGACGCCCCCGAGGAGGCTGGTAAGTCCAGACTGTGGACCTCTTCCTGGGAGCCCACGAGTCCCACTTAAACATGGCCAAGGGTGTGCGCGCGTTTGTTTATTTATTCCGTTTATCTGCCGCCCCACTCGCCGTAGGCTGTCTGGGCAGCTAACAGCTATGTGTCTGAGCTGCCTTCAAAATGAGGCTTCCACAGAGAAGCAGCAGCGCTTCCAACCATCTTAATTTTGGAACGTGGCACTAAACGCTGCAGCCAGTGCGAAGCCGAGGGAGCCCTTTGGAATAAACCTCAGCAGGATGATGGGACAACCTGGAGCAGCCGCTCCAGAACATACTGCTGGGCACCACAACCCCCACCTGAGACGAGGGCTGGTCCCACCGCTCTCCTTCCTTAAGGTGCGCAAAACTCGTTTTTTAAGCATCTCTTCTGGTCCTCTTGATAGCGCTCAGACCTTGTCCCCAAAAGCATAAACCCCAGGAGAGCAGCAGCAAGGAGACCACAAATATCGCCAGCTCCCGACTGTGGAAGAAAAAGGTTGTGCGAAGACTCCTCCACGAGGCCAGCAAAGAAAGCGTTGGGATCCTCACAAAGCAGCTGATAGTGTGTGTGTGAACGCAGCCGTTTTGCTTCCATTATGATTGACTGCCACTTTGGCATATATTAAGAAATGGGATGCTAATGCCATGCGTTCGGTTTCTCCCCCCTTGGATTTTCTGCTGTTCGCAGTTCTCTGGCTTCCGTCTGCCGATGCGAGTCCTGAGGCTCAGGATGAGGGATGAAGGACGGGAACCTTAAGCTAATTCGGGGGGCTCAGCCACACCGCGTCGAGACTCCTACCATTTTGACTTCCGTGCTTATGTTACGCCGATCAAGGCTCCAACCTAAACCCAGGACAGCGAAATGAAAAACAACAAGGTAAGAACCAGGGGAAGGTGAGCTCCTATTTCCTTCCCTGTCTCCATTCCTAATTCCAAGTTTTGTGGTGAGTGTATGGAAAAAGCGACTTCTTGGCCATAAGATTGCTCGGTTCCTTGGGTTACGCTGCAGCAACCAAACTTCAGGCGTGCCGAACTTATTTTACTATCCATTGATAGTAAATGATTTTTAAATGTTTAAAAGTTGAAATGATTTTTGTAAGAATTAAGCCTACGTCTTACATTAATGTTTGGTTTATTTTAAAAGTGTATGTATTCATACTGTACAGTGTACATGATTTTATGTTTCCTGCAATTAAGTTAGACATTATAAAATTTATCTTAAAATGTGTTCCATATTTTTAACCTTGGACTTCCTTTTTCTATAATAAATTTTTAAAATGTACAGTACATAACAAACATTTATAAAGTACTGGCCTGTACTGAGAGGTCAGAAAATAGGAATAAAAGCGGGTTTTGGTATAAAAAGGGTGTTTTTAATGGTATGGGTGGGGAAGGAAGTGAGCATTTATAGAACGCCGGCCTATCTGGCTTTTTGTTATCGGGCCTGCGCTTCTTCCTCATTAGGCCGGATATTTGGGCGCCTACTGTATTTTAGTTGCAAATCTTAGGTATGCTTATGAAGAAGTAAGCCCCTAATTCGAAGGAAGTGTTCATAGGCTTGCATTAAAAATAGGTTTTCTGATATTCAAACGTTAGAAAACTAATTTCCACTTGCATTAATTTCTTCTGCACCATGGGGAAGTTTTTCTAGCTGTCCTGTGAGCAGCCAGCAGAAAACAACGCACATTTTCCGAATGTTGTCTTGACCCTGTGCTTATTGCCTCTTTTGACACATAAGTCTGTGGACAAGAACATGTGTTTTAGTGAAAGGAGATTAAGGCTTGTTCATTTATTTTATTTCTATATCGCCCAACAGCCCAAGGCTCTCTGGGCAGTTAACAGTGATGAAAAATGGGAACAAATAAGAAAACAGAGAGCAACATACAACAATAACAGTAAAATAATCAATTCAGTAAAACAATAACAGCCAACCCAGAATAAACATAACACACCCACAGCAATTGGCAAACTGTCAATACCGAACTACAGCAATACAACAAAAGAGAAAATGCAAAATTAACACTAAGAGCAAAATTTTCAGCTATTAAAATACTGGGGACATAAAAAGGGTTTTATACGGCACCGAAAAGCATCGTGAGTAGGAGCCAGGTGTACCATGGCTTATGTCTTGTGGTTATTATGGTGTTTGTGGTTAACAAGCCATGGCTAGTTAAGGCGGCTGGGTTCAGACAATACGATAACCCACATTTCAGCTACAACCCATGCTCAGCCCTTGAATGTAGGTTGCTGTATTGTTGGGACCCAATGTTGTCCATTCTGGGCTGGATGGACTAATGGTTAGAGCCAGGCTCAAACAGCTTCCTGTGTTCCCAGATTTTTGCTAATGGCTGTCACAATTAAAAAAAAAAAAAAGGAAATGAGTGAAGGGAAGCCTGATTGTTCCTGAAAAGTTGTGCAATGATGAATTTGAGTAATGTGCTAAGACAAAAGACGTGGCTGATAGGAATTTCCCCTTGGTAGTGTATATAATGGATGAAACATTTCTGATGTTCCTGATTTTATGTGGAAGGCAAAAGGTCAGAAACATGAGCCGTCAGTGTGACCCAAGGCAGGCGCGGCATTCTTCAACCTTGTTGATATTGCTGAAGAAAAGACGGAGGAACCGGAAGGTGACCGGCTTCCATGAGAGTGGCTTTCCGCACAAACTAGGGAAAGACCCTAAACTCCCGAAAACATGGAGCAGCCGTGCTCATCCGCGACGGCAAAAGTGCCGGAACGCGAAGCAAAATCCACCTTTGGATTTGTGCATAAATGCAGGTTTTAAGAGGCGGCGGGTGCAGCCAAAAACTCATTGTACACGTGAACAGCAATACCAGAAGACATGGAGTTGGAAGGGCCTTGCCCAAGTCACCTTGCCGTTCATAGTTTTACCCTGATACGCACCCCGCAGGTACCCTCTTTCCATTCGATCTATTCCTGCGCTCTGGGGTGGCACAGAAGCTACCTTTGCCCAGCCAGGCTCTCTGCTCGGTCTTCTCTTCCCAGGCTAAACAAACCCCGGCCCTCGAACCCTCCCCCACAGGACTCGTTTTTGTGCGGGTCTGCATCGCCATCCCTCGGACCTGCTCCAGGTTGTCCGTATCCTCTCGAAAGCAGCAGGTCCCGAATTAGAGGAGGCCTGACAAAGCAGAACTCTGCATTCGTGGGACGCAGAAACCCGGCTCCGTTAGCGCAGCCTGAAACGGCATTTGCCGTTTTCGCAGCCGCGTCCCGTTGCCGGCTCACGCTCGGCTTGGAGCTGCTGAGCGCCCCAAGGCACACAATTCGGCGCCTCGCCAGCGAGTGGCTGCATGCACGCATCCAGGTTTTCTGCAAGCGTCGGGGGGGTGGGGGGGGGTCCGCTCTCTCTGACCTCTCGCTGTTTTTCCTGGCCTGCAGAGCCCACATGCTGTCGTCCTCGTGGTCTTGTTTGGTCTGGTGACGCTGCTGATTATCTACAACTCCAACAACCGGAACGAGGTCTTCCATTATACTACCTTCCGGGCGAAGCCCTACCTGCCTTCCAACCTCAAGAACTGGGGCGTGAAGAATGGGTACCTCCCGGTCTCTAAAAACAAGGTAGGAGAGGCTTCTGAACTTCTGCACCCATTTGCCCTGCGGAGGAAGCCGCGGAGATAATCTTGCAAACATACAAAAGGTAACACACCAGCCAAAACACAGAGGAAGCCCCTTCCCTGTGATGCGGGTAAGGCAAACATTGTGTTGCCACCCCTAATACACGCCCCAGAGAGGTCCGCCTGGGGCCAACGCTGCTTTCTTTTCGGCGCCAGGTGAAAAACTTTTAATATTCCCGTTATTTTAGTGTTTAATTGGTTTTAATGTGTGTTATACTGCACGCTGTGCTGTTTTAATTTCTGTTTTACTCGTTTGTTGTTAACCATCCCGAGATGCTATTTATTTTATTAAAAATTTTTTATTTATTAAAACATTTCTAGATGCTAGTAGAGGGACGGTTTATAAAAGCTTTAAATAATAAATAGATATTAGCCCCATTGCCACAGGCAACCAGGAATTGCGTGAAGGTGAGTGAGCGAACTGACCAGGGAGAAGGGAAGGAGCGTGGTAGGATAGGAGACCGCGATTTAACAGGGAGAACTGTAGGCTGTTTGGGTGGGGGAACCGTGTGTATTAAAGGCTTCCCCGTGGAGAGACGGACAAAACATTTCCCCGCATGTAGAAAGGAAAGGGCTGTACAAATGCTAGTTTCCTAAGTGTGAGAAAGCTTTGTTTTGTTTCCTGAGCACAAGGGGAGGGTGAGCAATGGATTCCCCCACCCGCAGTCTGAAATGCAGTCGTGTCGGAAGGACTGTACTACTTGATTTTTCTGGCCAGGTGCATCCGAGATGCTTGATCTGGCTTCTCAAACTCTTCCGTTCCCAGACTTTGGACCGCCACTGCCACCAATGTGCGATTATCACCAGTTCCAGCCACCTTCTCGGGAGCAAACTGGGGGCCGCCATCGACCGGACGGAGTGCACGATCCGCATGAACGACGCACCCACCACAGGCTATGCAGCGGACGTGGGGAACAAGACGACCTTCCGGGTGGTGGCGCACTCGAGCATCTTCCGGGTGCTGAAGAGACCTCAGGAGTTCGTCAACAAGACTCGGGAGGCCGTCCTCATCTTCTGGGGGCCCCCGGTGAGGATGCAGAAGGTCTTGATCAAAGTCATCCAGCGGGTCAGCTTGTCCTATCCCAACATGTCGGCCTTCGTGGTTTCCCCCAGCCGCATGAAGCAGTTTGATGACCTGTTCAAAATGGAGACAGGGAAGGACAGGTAAGCATCCCTCTTACTTCTTGGGGAGAAGACAGGGACGTTGGCTGCACAGGTGCACATCCGGCGGTTGGGACTCCATCTCAGTTTGAAAACTGCCGCTGAAACCTTTCATTTCCCCACTAATTTATTGTCTGGTTGGATCCAACAGGGGGTTTCTCTTGAGTTGCCGGATGCTGAGCTTGTTTTTATTTCTGTTGTTTGTTCTTTAGTGTAAGCCGAGACGTAAGAGGTGGACGGGGGAGTAGAAGTTTTAAATAAATAAATAAGCTTCCCCCTGGACAGGTGTGGATCACTGGGCTGTTTCCTGGAGTGCTGCCCCCTGCAGGGCACAGCTGGGAAGTACCAAAAGGGTCGCGTTTAGTTAAAAGAGCCTTTAGAGGTTAAAAATTAGGCTTCCTGGCACTTGCAGACATCAGACGTACCTTGTCCAGGGGGTTTTCTTCTCTGCCTCTCCTTCAAAGAACCATAGTAGCCATCGTGATCCTGTAAGAAGCTCACGAAATTAATTAGCCAGGCCTGTCTCTAAACATTTAGGGCTTGCTCACACCCCGGTTTTCACGTTACATGAGATATGTTGCTTCTGTCGTTCTGTGTCTGGAGCATTTTACGCTGCCCTGGAGTCTCTCAGGATGATGGGTGGTCCATGCCAGCTTCTCCATTGCACTGACCTCCCCGGCCTTGTTCCCCTGTCTCCTGCCCCCGCTGCAGGGTGTCTTCCCGCTCATGGCTGAGCACGGGCTGGTTCACCATGGTGATCGCGGTCGAGCTGTGTGACAAGGTCCACGTTTACGGGATGGTCCCCCCAAACTACTGCACGTAAGTCTCCCCTGTGCCGCCTCTTCCCGGGGGGCTCCGTGGAGGGGTCTTGCCCCGGTCTGTCTCACCGGATGCCCTTCCGTCCCCCACAGCAAGAACCCTCCGCCCCGCAGGATGCCCTACCACTACTACGAGCCGAAGAGCCCGGACGAGTGTGCCACGTACATTCACAATGAGCGGAGCCGCAAGGGCAACCACCACCGCTTCATCACGGAGAAGCGGGTCTTCCGCAAGTGGGCGGGCCTGTACAACATCACCTTCTCCCACCCGGACTGGGACTAGGCCCGAGCGCGGAGGCTGCGGGACGGGGACAGTGTGCCGAGGCGGGTTCGCCCCCTCGCCGCGCTGGCGCCTCGCCTGAGCTTCCGGGGCCATTTGTACATTTCACACAAGGCCGAGCTGGGCGAAGGGCATGGTGGGGTCTCCAGGGCCTTCCACCACGGAGGGCCTCGGCTCCCAGCACCCGTGCGCTCTCGGCCTCGGACTGCCGGAAGGCCGACCGCTCCCCTTCGGAGGCTCGCTGGCACCAGCTGCTGAAAAGGCCTCGGCTGGGCATCCGCCCCACCTCTGCCCCACGCGAAGGACCTGGGCATGCAAGAGCCCCCTTGCGGATCGACCCGTCCAAATGGGAGCAGCTCGTTCATGAGAACCCACAAGTGGGAAAAGCACACGCGGTGCCCCCCCCCTCCCCTGGGCCCCAGACACACTGGCACCGCCGGCCCTCCTCCCCATGTCAATGGATCCCACCTCCCATCAGCCACAGCCACTGCCCCTACAGGCGCGGAACACTGGGAGTTACAGTCCAATGGTCTCCGGAGGGCTGCAGGGTGTTCAGTCCCATTTGTAAGACAGTAAAAAGGTCACAGTTTGCTCGGTACGATGGCCTGTTTCTCTTCTCGCCGGTGGGCTCCTTGCTGCTCGGCATCAGACACGCCCCCTGCCCCCGGCAACCCCGATGCGGCCGGATCCTTCCTGTACTGGAAAGCCAGTGCACCCCTCTCCCATCCTGTAGGAAAGCCCCACTTCGAAAGTGATGTTCTTTCAGCTGCACACTCCCCCACGGATGGTTATGGGTCCCCCCCACCCATAACCCCCCCAGTGCAACACCAGCCTCTGAGCAAAATAAGGAACCTCAACATGCAAAAGCAGCACAGTTTCTGCCCCGAGAGTCCAAATTCCGTGGTTAACACGGAGAGTGGAAATCGCTCCAAAATGTGGCCAACGGACACTTCATTCTGATCCTCCGCCTTTGGGACGCAGAAAACCCATGTGCCACTCCTGCACCGAGCCCAGAACGTTCTTAATCTCACAATCTGGTTACCTGTGGTTGCAAAACTGGATTTAAAGGAATAATTCCAATACGCCACTGCCTTCCAAGACAATCTCACTAAGCGTTCAGCCCTACTTCCGATTGTGGCACTCGTGGCTTCGAAGCCCACGGTGAACAGTTCTGCATCTTGTTTCTCGTGTCTTCTCTTCTGAACTATTTAATCCAGAACAATTACTGCCATGGGGCAGTTCTTTGGTTGGGTTTGCAGCATCTCATCGATTAATCTGTTTGAGTAATCCCGTTTTTAAAAAAACTTTTAATAAACGTTGAATTGACTAAAAGGGGCGTGAGATTTAATTGGTCAGCAAAGGTTTTAACATAGAGAAGGTTTTCTTTCTGAAGCAGAAGAATCAAAGGTCTCTCTGATCCAGCGTTTGGTTCTCGCCGTGACCAGGCAGAAATTTCCGTGGAGGAGAAGTGCTTTTCCTGTTTTATGTTCCTGCCACCATTTGAGGATGCTTGGGGAAGAATCGTCTTTGGAGGGTGATACCCATGGGGTTTAGGATGGTAAGCCTTTGGCCCCCCTGGCGCAGTCCTGTTTAAATTTCACCCACCCACAAAAAGAGTGGCAATTCTGGGAAATGTTTGTCATGCCGAGGCACAAAAGAGCTGGAGGAAGGGGCATCGGGTCCTCGGTGAGGCAAACCCAAAGCGGGGGAACGCTTCGTGTCCTGAATCCTCCCAAGCAGGGCCTGTCCGTCCCCAGTGCCGACCCTTCTGTCCTCAGCCAGCAATGGGCGGCCTTTACCTTTTGGGAAAACAGTCCATCTGCCCTGATCTAGAGATATTCTGGGATACTGGAATTGGGTTTTAGGCAAATTATGCCTCCCTGCACAGACCTGAAGAATGTTGTTGTTATGAGCCATCCAGGTGTGTCCGACTTAAATGAAATCCCATGGATAGGCTGTCTCGTCCAGGACAGCCCTGCTTGGTTCCTGTAATTCCAGAATTCCTTGATGGAGTCCATGCATCCTACTCTGCGCTTAAGCCTACTCTAAGTAGGCTTAGAGGACGGTCTGGAGCACATAAGCAGGACTGAGGCTGGCCTGAGCTCGGAGGGGGGACCCCCTGGAACCACATGTGGCCACTTGGGGTTCCGAAATGGCGGAAAAGGGGGTATGAAAATGGGTAAGCACAAGCGTGTTTTGATGGCTGGCTATTCAACGCCAACTTAAAGCTGAATTTTAGGGTTCGTCGACCCAGAAAATGTTCCTAGGTTTGCACACTGTTGGCTTCTGTGCACGTGTTGCTGGTTTGATTGAGAGCTGGGCCACAAAGAGGCCCAGAAGGAAAGGTTTTTGTGTGTTGCTGTGTCTTGCTATGTCTCTTATACTCTGGCATCGTTTGGGGTCAGACGATCTGACCCAAATTTGCTTGTGTTTGGTAGCAAGGTAAAATATCCTTTACTAGGCAAAGGGCCTGCACACACTTTACTGGGGAACCAGTGGAATTCAGTGGGACGACTTTGGAGTAGGGATACACAGGGCAGAGCAGTGTGTTCCTCTTGTTCTGTTCTTTTTGTCCTGAAAAGACAGCAGTACATTTTCTGCTGCACCAAACTTTTAGATCTCTCTCTCTCCTCTCCCTAGTATCTGATGCTCTGGTTGATATTTGGACAATAGGTGACTTTGTGCCAATGTTCTTTTGCTACAAACCTTTTGTCAGACCATGAAAGGGACTCGTCTTGGCTGAGGAGAAAGGCAGTTTGCCCAGTCTCAGAGGCAGTTGTTTTGCATGTTCCTGAGTCGTGACAACAAGAATGATTTCTAGCACTCTGTTTATTTTTGAAAATAAAGCAGGCAATGATCATAGCTCGGTTGCAAAGTACAGGCCAGGTGTGCAGGAGGTGCTGGGCATGGAACCTGTGAAGAGGAGCAGGTGTCTGTAATGGGGAAGAACTACCTGACTGTGGACAGATGGTCTGCTGATCAACTGCTTCCTGCAGTCCAGGGCTGAGCTCCAGGCTCACCGTGAGTCTCTCTTTGGACCAGGATCATAAGCCAGCGAGAATGGGAAATTGGCACCAGCTGAGGCAAAGTGTGCTTCCCACTTTACATGCTCTTGGCTTTGGAAATGAGAGGTAAGCCCCAGCTAGAGGCGGTTTTGAAAATAAACCCCGTTGGAGGGGTGCACCGGTTGAGTTTCCTCTTCCATCCCGCCAGCCTTCGGCCAGTTCTCCTCCCAGGGGCGCAGGGTGGGCCCCGTCCTCCGGGCCACCCCTCCTAGCCACCGCATTCAAGGCTCGGGGCTTGCTTTTCGGCGCTGCCAGCGCAGTAACGTGAAGGCCATCCCACCCTCCCAATGCAAGGCAAACAGGCCCGCTGGAGAACGCACAGCGGCGGAGCAACGGCCTGGGACGGGGGCCCCTGGGGGAGCTCTGGACCTGGCGGGCTGGCGCCCCCCCCCCCCCGCCGAGCAGCCTCCCGGCCGGAGCCCCCGCGCGCGTCGCGGCGCGCCTGCCCGTGCGCCCCCCCTCTGCCCTCCCCTCCCCGCCCCGGGGGGCGGAGGAGCGGCTGCCCGGCGCGGCGGAGGAAGGCGAGAGGCGGCTGCCCGCGCCGTCGAGGCGCTTGCCGGCCCGCCATGAGCGCTCCGCCCGACGCCCGCGACTACGTCTCCGGCCGGGGGATCCCGCGGCTGTTCGAGGTGAGCGGCGTCCGGGCGCACGGGGGCCCCGCACCCGCACCCACCCCCGCCGGGGCGCCCTTCTCCCGGGGCGCACGGCGCGGGCGCCGCGTCCCGGCCGGCCCCTGCGTTGCCCCTCGGCGTGGGGCGGAGGAGGCTGGGAGGGACAACGCCCTGCCCCCTCCCGCTCCCCCGTCCGGGCTTGCTAACCGGAGACGACAACGTGCTCCTGGGGAAGTGCAGAGTGCTCTCCTCCTCTTAAGGGTGGGCAGCGGGGGCCCCTTGCAGTGAGTCAAGACAAACGCGCTCGAATTGGCGGCGGGGGGTGGTGAAGCCGGATCCAAGGGGCAGCCTTTCCTTAATTCCTGCTTACTGTTTGGCGGAGGCTGGAGCAGGAGCGATGCAATGTGAGCCTAAAGAAGGCAGCGCCGGTGTTTCTGAGCATGTGCTGAGTGCTAAGATTTAGTGGCTGTGGCTGGGAACCCAAAACTTCCAGGGGTGAGGGCATCCTGTAGAAGGGACCCAGTTCAGCATCTGCAGGTAGGACTCAGAAAGGGCCCCGCTTGGAGCCCTGCTGCCAGGCAGAGTCCAGAACATCAGGCTGGATGGTGAGGCATCTGACCTGGTGGGAAGCAGTGTCTCATCTGCAGCTCTGGCTGAAACCAGAGGTTGGGGAGACGCTCTCGGCCCGTGTTCTGCCTCGTGTGCCCTGGCAAAGGAGAGAGCGGGGTGTGGTCAGCGTTTGGCGTGCAGAAGGTCCCCGTGTGCGTCCTGGCATTTCCACTTACGAAAAGATCCTGGTGGCAGAGGGTGGGGGAGAGCCGAGGCTTTCGGGGTGAGCTGCTTGGGGGCCCGGCGGCTGCCCGCGGGGGCCCAAGGTCCCTTCTGCACCCCATGGGCCGTGAGGCTCCCCACCCTGGCAAGTGACAGCATCCTTGGAGCGGAGAATATGGAGGAGGAGGAGTTTTGCTCCCTGTCCCACAACACTTGAACCCCAGAGGGTCGTCCCACAAAGCTGGTGGGTTAGGACAGATCGAAGGGAGTCCATAAGTGGAACCGTGGGATTTGTGGCCACGGGAGCAGGTGAGGGCCGCCAGTCTGGGTGGCTTTAAAGGGGGATTGGCCCAATTCACGAGGGAGGAGGCGCTCCGTGGCTCCTAGCCTTGCTTGCCGTGGGCTACCTCCTCCACCAGAGGCGGCCGGCTTGCATGCACCTGTGCCGGGGAGCTTGGACAGGTGGAGGTCCTGCACGCATCCTGCTTCATGGATCCTGTGGGCAGCGGGTCGGCTGGGCTGGGTGGACCTTGGGGGCAGGTGTGGCAGCACTGGTCTTGCATGCTTATGTTCTCAGTGCCGCCTCCTCTGGGCTACAAGCCTGTAGGGGTGTGTGGGACTACGACCCCATCACTTCCAGGCCAGGAATGATGGGAGTTGTGGTCCAGCCCTTCTGGAGCCATCGCCACCTCCCGGGGCAGCCTGCAAGGTTGGTGACTTGATTGGAATAATCTCAGGCAGGTTTGAGGGATGGAAAATATGACCTGCCTCTCTTGCCGAGCACGGGCGGACTTACCTAGCCGTGGCTGCAGCCAGCAGCAACATTGTGGGGGCTATGCCCCCCATTTAAATTCCCCACAGCGCCCCAAAGCAGTGTTGCATGGGGCATTTTGGAAGAGAACAGCAAAGCGCTGGAGGCGGCAGGGAAACTGAAGGCGCAGACCAGCCACAGAACGGGGCCCCACCTCTCCTGCCAGGTGTAATTGTGCAGTGTTGTCTAACGACACAAGGCGTGGTTGCAGTGTCATGGTTGCGGCCCAACAGAGCTCCGTCTCCATGGCCAAGCCCTTTGGTGGCTGGGCCTGGCTTTGTAAAGGGTTTTAAGAAATGCAGCCGGGATGCTGCTCTTTTTCCTGCCCTTCTGCGGAGGCTGACGTCCCCCAGTCTGGTGCAAGGGCTGGGCCCCTCCTGGGTCCCCTTAGAAAGTCAGTTTGTGCCTGGAAATTTCAGGCAGAGGGTTAGTGGCAGACGCTCATGGAAGCTACCGAGTTTCAGGCTTTTGAGTTCATGCGTGGATTGTACATGGACCCCACTTCCCAGCAGATTTTGGGAATTTGGGATCCATAGGGGGAACTGCAACAAACTTTGGCAATGCAGAACATTCCTGTCCACTCTGCCAGCCAGCCAGCCGGGCCCTTCCCAACCACACTCCATTCCATTCTTCCTCCTATTTGCTCTTCTGCCTTTTCCCGTCAGTCACGGAGTCGGAATTTCCCCAGCTGCCACTCATAAGGTCCTCCCCCCAAGCGATTTTTCTTACTTCCACAAATGGACGGGTGCTGTCTCAGCTCCCATTTCCTATGGTGTGTTTAAAACTGCACTGCCAAAATGGAAGCTCTGCCCTGAATTGCGTGTCAGTACAATGACACAACGTAATACAGCTGCACCTGACATAGGCCTGAAGAGCCATGAAGTGCCTCAGTGCAGAAGGCAGACTTTACTAGGGCAGGATGCCAGGCAGATCTTAGGGGGCAGGTGGTTCCGCAATGGGGGGCTGCCCCCGAGAAGGCCCTGCTCCTCTGGGCCTCCAGCTCAGCCTCCCTTGCAGCTGCCACTTGGGAGAAGGCTTCCCACCTCCAGCTTGGCGTTCGGCGCCATATGAGCTCGCCTTCGGGAGCAGTCACGCCCATGAGCTGGGTCACCACCCCGTTCCAGAGATCAACCGGGGATTCCACAACGCCCTGCCGTATCAACCAAAAAACCCTCTTGACCCATTCGCCTGCAGGGATGGACCCTCTTAATGGATCCCCCAGCCTCGGAGAGGGGAAAAGCCGCACTTAGTCTAAATCTCAGCAGGCAGTGATCTGGCCAGGACAGAGAGGCCGATTCCACGCCTCTCACCTTTGGGTCACCATCCCTGGGCCCAACTGAAAAAGACGGAGCTGGCGCACGCCCTGCTTCAGGTGTTGGCCCAGGGCAAGTTGGATTAGTTGCCCTGGGTACAGGAGGCATGGCTTTTGTAGCTTGGATGTGGGAAATAGAGGGGTGAGTTTCTGGGGGTCTCCTTCAGCCATGAGCATTGAGGGCGCAGCGGGGCCACGCCAGAGGGAAGCGGGCGTTAAGCCGTCCTCGGTGGAGGTATTCTCATTTGCAATCGGTTGAAGAAGACTCTGATCAGGGCCGCGTCGGCTTTGCATTCACCCTCACAAACTCCTCAAATCACAGGGGACATGCAGCACAAAGACCTAATTCTAGGCATGTTTTGACAGAAAAAGGCCTATTCCCAGCACTGCGGTTTGTGCCCTCAGCCAGCTAAATCCATGCCGATGGATCAAAGTGGTAATCCCTGATTAACACAGACAGTTTTCTTTATCTTTGTTTATTTTATGTAACACTTTTATATACTGTTGCAAGAGCCTCATGGCTCTCTGGACAGTTTGCACAATAAAGCCTTAACAAACATAAAACCACATAAATAAAACAGTTAAAACATCAGTACAATAAGTCGCCAGGGCGACTTATTTTATATTGTTAATTTGTTTTATATTTTTAATGTATTATATTTTAATTTATGTTGTGAGCCGCCCCGAGGCTTCGGCGAATGGGGCGGCATAGAAATGTTTTAAATAAATAAAAATGCAAATAAATAATAAAGCGAAATAGCATCCCCATCACAGCAGGGGCAGCAGGAATAATTAACATAAGAGACTGGAAAAATCTTAACAATCACAATTAAAAGGACCACCTTTACTAATTGAAATAGCAATAGAATTATGTTCAGCCTGAAACAATCAATTGTTAAAACACTCTGCAAAACTTCTTTCGTTTTGCACACTCAAATTTCACTTCCGTCCGAACTGCCTCGTGATGGCGCTCCCAGGGGAGTTAAATGAGTCTTATTATTATTTTCTACAAAATTAAGGGGAGTTAAGAGCTTCCTGCCAGATTTAGGCGATATCTGATTTGTGGCCAAGTCAGACTTTGCCTCGGAGACCATCCTCCTTGGCCAGCCAGAGTTGGTTTTGGCAGCACAAGAGGCAGGAGGCCAAGCAGGAACGTCTTTGCCCCAAATAATGTAGGCAGCCAGCACAGGGCTTTTCCTCCTCAGCGGAGAACTCCTGGGTCCTGCCTCTCCCACCCTTTTTAAAAACACGCCTGGATCGTCACCTTTGCCCTGCTGAGGAAGCCATCCCTGGAAATGCAATCACACCGCCCGCTGGCACCCGATCCTTTGGCTCAGGGCAGTGTTTCTCCTGGGAAGGGTCCAGGCACCACTTCTGGGGCCCCGAGCAGTGGGTTCAGTGTCTCCGCGCACTGTCTTTCCTGTCGGAAGCCAAGTGGGGAGGCAGAAGCACCCAGGGCTGGGTGGAAGGCCTGGAACAGCCCTGCGTTCGCTGAAGCAACGGCTGCAGAAAGATCTGTGCAGCTGTCAGGTGGAGGTGGCTCCCACCTGGCTGAGGCCATGCCCACCTATGGGTCCCTGGAGGAGAAGTCTGTCTGCTGCATCAGAGGGGCTGCCCCACAGCGAAGGAAGAGGGAAAACGCAGAGCATCTCTTGACCCGCGAGTCTCTCCTGGCTTCCAGAGGTATGGACCACAATGCTCTCTTCTTAAGTGCTTGCCTGCTTGCTAGGGAAGTCTCCCTCTAGTGGCTGAAGGTGCTCATGCCACCACACAGATGCAGTAAGATTAGTAAAAATTAATTAATTCCAAGAGGTCTTGGCACTAGGGCACCGATAAGCAACCGAACAGATGCGTGTCCTCTTTTGTTGTTGTTGTTGTGACGTGCCGGCAAGTCTGCCCTATGACTGATTGTTTGTTTGTTTATTATATTTATATCCCACCTTTTCCTTCCAAAAACTCAAGGTGGCTCAGCTCATTCTCCTCCTCCTCCTGCTCTCAGCACAACAACCCTGTGAGGTAGGTTGGGCTGAGAGCATAGGACTGGCTGAAGATCACCCAGTTGGCTGCATGGCTGAGTGGGGACTCGAACCCGGATCTCCCGAGTCCTTTCAACCACAGGGTCACACTCTGTACCCTCCCAGGCGTTCTGCCCTGGACACTCTGGCTCAGTCCTTGTAAACCCAAGGCAAGGGCTTCCTGGATGGAATCCGCCCATCTCCTCTCTGGCCTCGCTCTTCTCCCTTCAGCTTTCCCCAGCAGGACGGTTTTTCTCCAGCGAGTTTTGCCTTTTCCGAATGTGCCAACTTTCGTCACTTTTGCCAGTTCTGGCTCGATCTGCCCTAAGACCCACTTGTCCGTCTTTCCATCTCCCAAGGTATTCCCAAAGCTCTCCTCCAACACCATGGCTCAAATGCATCCATTTTCTTCCCGGCAGCTTTCGTACAAGGCTTCTCCCGGCTTTCCCTCTTGTGTCCATCTAGACTTATCTCACGCTGGGTACGCTGCCCTCATCTATAAGCGAAACCCGCCCCAGAGGGCACCAACTTGGGGAAGTAACTTCATGGAAACCCATTTGCTCGAATGAGGCCATCTGATTTTCATTTTTTAATGGTCTTAGCAGTCCTAGTCCAGTTGGCAAGCATATCGGAGCCTCTCCTTCTAGAAAGTTGCTTGGGAGGCTGAATTGTTTAGGAACGTGTTGGATGGAATAGAAATGAAGTGAATCATAATGCATTTCTTGTTCTTCTCTTATTAGAGGTTGGAAATTATTGTGTACAGCATCCCATTGTTCTGAACCATCCTGAAAACTTTGGCTATTGGGCAGTTTAGAAATAAAATTAGTATTGATAATAATTCATTAGTAATAATGGTAATAATGACTGTATTTGATATCAAGCAACCAATTCTCTAAGGCGTCTCAACCCCAAAGTTGTTCTTATACTTCTTTCCTCTTTTATTTTACCTTGAATATTACCTGCAGCACTCTATATTTTTCATTTCTTTTTATATGATCGGAATAGTCTAATTTTCTGCACTTTATGTGTTTTATAATTTCTTGGTCTTTACTCATTTCTCTTTGCTGCTTCTTCATTGCTTGCCTTTTCAGTCCAAATAATTCATAACATCCTGCAATAAATCCACATTTGAATGCTTCTCTCTTTTTAATGGTACTTTGTGTTAAAATCCTCAATTCTACTCCATACGGTAGAACTAGGAATGATTAGCAGCATACAAGACACATTCTCAAGGTTAATTTTAAATTTTTATGGCATATTACATTTTTCATCTTAAAAAAGCTGCTCCAGGCCATCTCGATTCTTTTACATTTTTATGATCTCAGGGCTTACTCAGCCAGATTCCAAGAAATGCATAAGGACCAGCTGTCTCCACACTTTCATTTCGGGTCTTGAACTGAGTATCTTCGATGTCATGCTATTTACTAATGGTCAGCCATGCAGGGAGAATTTTCCCCCTTATTGTTCTTTCTGTTGTTTTTAATAATAATATTCGGTCACTGTTTGCCTGCTTCGCACCTTGGCAAGCTGCGCAGCCTCTCCAAAGTGGGAGGAGAGCTAACTGCTGCTCGGATCTACCTTTGGGAAGAATGGAAAACTGTGGGTTGTATTTATTCGCCATCCTCTCTGTGGCCCAAACCTGCTGGCCCTTTCATCTTCTCAGACTTTGCCTGCTCTTTTCATGCTCTGGCTTTGAAGAAAGGGGACAATGTGCAGATGTGCAGATGTGCAGACTCCCTCCACAGCGCCTTTGATCTCGGCGGTGTAGCCCAGGCGCTGTGCCGATAGCGCAAGATGGAGGGTCAGCTGCATGGATTGCTAGCTGGCTCGGCTCGGCTTGGCATTTGCTCACCAAACCAGCAGAGCCAGAGCGGATGCTGAGCAGCCAAAATCGGGATGAGTCGGCCAGGGGTCCTGCTCATCAGTGGGGCTGGGAGCCCCCAGCACATGCTTTTTGAGTAGGGCGGCAACAACTCCCATGGAATCGTGGCTGGAAAAGCTTTCGGTAGCATAAAGCGCTTTGCCCTGGAATGCTTGCAAGAGGGGTGGGTAATTCTAGGATTTCTGGGCACGGGCCGCTCCCAGAACCGTCTCCAGGAAGGGGCCACATTCTCGTGCAGCAACAGATGGTGATCAGAAGCGTGTCTGTTCCATTAGCTTTGTTGGGAAGCCAGCCTGCTTTGCTCCCCTCCTTGGTGGGCACCTGCCCATCCGTCCGACTTCAGGTGGAGGGGGGCCAGAGCTCTCCCACCAGCTCAGCGCAGCTCCGTCCAGCCCTCCTTCTCTGGAAGCTGCTTCCCTTCCAGCTGCTGGCCGCCTTCTCACCCCAGCTTCTGCTTGAGCCCCGTCATCAGGGCAAGAAGAGAGTGTTCTTTCTTCATTGTGCGTCCACTGATTTGCAAGCCTTTTGTCCCCGGAGTGGCATGAAAAGCACTTCAGATAAATAAGGACATTAATCACACCGCCTCATAAAGAGTCGAGTCTTCTCATGTGTGCTGCGGGGTGACTGGGGATCTTTTAAGCAGGCGGTGTGAAACACCGGGGTGAAAATTGTCCTTGTCCTAATATTATTATTATTATTATTATTATTATTATTATTATTATAACATTTCTATTGTCTCTTGTCCTAATATTTAGCTGCAGTTCCTAAAATATCCATACCTGAACTCAGATACAATATTTCCCAGTGCAGTCAGGAAATAGCAACGGTTGCTTAATTAATATTAACTAATTAATTGGCAATCCCTTCCTCGCAAGTACAAGAAAACGAAAGCATGTTTCAAGCAGGGTGCGGCAAACACCAGTCTTGTATCCCCCCCGCCCCACCCCATTGCAGTCTGGCGCCATTCTTAAAACTGCCCCTGATCTTGTGACCCCGGGAGTTTGGGCTACAGCTCCCATCAGCCCCAGGCAGCATGACAAAAATCATCTGGGACAGTCGGAGATGTTGTCCAAAACCTCTGCAGGGCAGCCGGTGGAGGGGGCTGCTGTAGTTGGTGCCCAGCCCCATAAGCCCGTTGTAGGGTGGATCTTGGGTCTGGGCGAGGGACCTCGTCAGGGATGCTTGCCTAATAAGAGCCAGTGAGGGCAGCAGCCGAGGAGCCAGGCCGGGGCAGGTGCGCCCTCTCGTCTCCGGTGTGCCGGACAGCCCTGCTGCTGGTTGCCGAGTGCTCGGCCGTGGAAGCGCCCGTTGGCTTCCTTGCCTGCATCGATGCTTCACCTGCGCCGTTGCTTCTCCCTCCGCAGAGCATGCTGACTGGCCTGATGTACCACCGCCCCGAGGACCCGGTCGCTTACCTGGAGCACTGCTTGCAGAAAGTCCGGGAGCTGGGCGGCCCCGAGATGGTGCAGTGGGACACGTTCGTCAGTCCGGAGAAGCAGGCCGTACAACCTGTCGGCAACGGGCAGGGCAGGAAACCCGCTTTCTACACAGGTAGCGGACGGGTGTTTCAGGGGCTCATGGACGCCGGCTTGGCTGGCAGCCCAGCCTGTCTTTGAATCCCTCCGGCTGGATCTGCCTGGCCCCTTGGAGCCGTCCCTGGCTTGAAGGCTTCTTCTGGGAGCGCAGCCACATGCTTCCCAATGTGGGGAAAAGACGATGCCCCGGGATGGAGCTGTGGGGCATTGCGGGCTCCAAAAAGATTTGGGGCCCAGACTGAAAACTTAGCACTTTATGCACATGTCTAGAATGTGAACTGTGAAATTAATTTACAAGTCTTGCTATGCAAATTTGGAAGGAATGACGAGGATTTCTTTCAGTTCCGTGGAAGCAAAGCCAAGCAATCAATTTCTCCTCCTCGTCACCTGCCATGAAAATTAACTAGCCCCCTCTCCCCCCCCCGCTCTCTTTCCCGCCTCACCTGGGACTTGGGGACAGCACTGCTGAGGTTTGTGCTGTCCTGCCCTTGGAAGTCTCTCCTCCCTTGGCCAGGGCTCAGGTGGACCTGCTTGTGGCATTGCCTCCAAAGCCGCTCCCCGCCCCGTCCCCCATGCTAGACGGGGGGCTTTCCTGTACCCACCTGGGCAGTTTGCCCATGTCCCCTTCCCCGTGTCGCCCATCCCGCTTCCGGGGTCTGCGGGGAGGTCTCACAGGGCCTGTACCCGCTCTTTTCTTTGCAGACACGGCCCCGTGCAGCCAATTCGGCCCCCTGCCCGCCGTCAAGACTCAGTTCTCCATCGAAAGTGATTCGGACATGACCGAATCGACGGGGCTGATCCAAGAGTATGATGTCTTTGGCCCGGCCCGGCCCCGGCCGAAGATCATTTTCGTGATCGGTGAGAGCTTCCGTCAAGGGCAGCGTTGGGCGGAGGGCCGGCGGTGTGGTCCTTGAGAGACGCTCTTCCTTCGAGGCTTGCTTGAAGGGCCGCCCAGGCCTTCAAGGTGGTTTCCAGGCATTTAATCTGGGCTCGTGGGGCCGTCCAGGCCAGGACTGAAGCCTGCTGGGAGAGGCCTGGATAGGACGTGTCTGTCAGCCCAGTTAGCGCGATCTTCTCCCACTGTTTCCAGTGGCCAGGCAGAAGATTTGCATGAAAGATTTTGCCAGAGAGAAGGGTCCCCCTCTTCTCCCGGTGTCCCATGAACGTGGTCCAGATCTGATTCAGTTTCATGAAAAATAGCAGCAGAAAACGGGATGTCACTCAAAACACTCCCCCATTATTTTCATCAGCAGATCCCCCCCCTACCCCAGGCTTCACAACAGTATCCTCCAGATGTTTAGATTGCAATGCCCAGAATCTCTAGCCATTAGCCCTAATCCCTGGGGCTGATGGAAACTGTAGTTTCAGCAGCTGGGGGAACCAATTTGGGGGAGCCGAGACCAAGGAAAGGTGATTGGTCCAGCTGGGGGGAGCTATGGGTGAAAACATCCGGAAGGTCAGCTGGCTCCGAAATCGGCTTCTCACCACGGATAGCTCCGTTGAAGTTCGGACTGAGACCTGGGGTGAATGCCCCACCTCGCTGACCTCAGAGCCACGAAAAGCAGGCCGGCTCCGCTCTCGCACAGCATTTCCAAGCTGTCGTTCTGAAACGCAGGGGGGCCCGGTAGCGGGAAAGGGACCCAGAGCAGAAGGATGGCGGCCCACTTTGGGTTCATCTGTATCTCTGTGGGGGAGATCCTGCGCCACCAGATGATTCTCCGTGCCACCACTGACCGGAAGTGGGAGCTGATCGCCAAGATCATTGCTGATGGAGAGCTCGCCCCACAGGTGAGAGTACTTCGGCATCCTACATCTGAAATGTGAGCGGGCGTAGTTTGGGGGCAGAGAGTGGCGTCTCCCCACAGGGGAAACCTTTACCGGTGAAGCTTAAAAAGAAGGGGTGCGTTTTAAGGTTGGCTTGAACTTGATTTTCTGCCCCAAGTTATAGGAAGCGCAGGAAAGAGCTTGGTTTATTCCAAACAGAATTCCTCTGGCATGCCTCTTCCTCCTTGTCAGGAAACGGCGCTCGAGGAGCTGAAGCAGCAGTTTATGAAGCAGCAAGATGCGAAGGGCTTCGTCATGGACGGCTTCCCCCGAGACATCGGCCAGGCCCTCACCTTTGAGGAGCAGGTAGGAGAGGAAGCCGGTCACCGCAGGCACCCAGGGAGGCTGCCCGCATCTGGCACCTCAGCTCTCGCTAGCAGCCTGCCCCGAGATCTCAAATAGAGAGGACTGCAGCTCTAGCTTCCCCAATGCACGCTCAGCACTTAAAATGTTTTGTGTCATCTTTCATCCAGACGGAACGGACCAGCCTTTAGCATTAAGCTGCGGTTCCCTTTCAAAGGTGGGGATGATGGGAGTTGTAATCCAGCACAGTCTGAATATCTGGAGAGCATCAGGCTGGGGAGCGTTCACTTATATACCCAAGTTGCCACATAGGTAGTTACGACTTGGCATTTCAAGCCAAGCCAAGCCGTCCCTCGCTCCCTCCAGGACAGGAGCAGAGAAACGGCGAGCCTTTAGCTGGTGTGTGATGGCAACTCCCATCATCCCTGACTGTCAGCCATGCTGGCTGGGGCTGAGGGAAGCTGGAGTCCAACAAGAGTGGGAGGCCTACAGGTTCCCCGCCCGGGTTCTAGGACAGGCAGCGGTGCCCCCAATGAGGGGGGAGATGGCATCTCTCCTGCTTCTGGATCACCCAAATTTAGCGTGTTTGCAAGTTATTTCAACCCTTTTCAGTGCTCTTGTAGCTGCGACAGTACCAAAACATTGCAAAAAATGCCAAAAGTGGTTCATTGAGGCCAATGTAACAACGACTTCCCGGGACCCTCCTTTTAGGCACCTCTGTGTCCTCTCCCGCTGCGAGGGAGGCCGGCAAGCCTCTTCTCTGCCCATTCCCTGTCTGGCTGGTCTCTCCCGAGGCTGCGTCCTGGGGTCGAGACTCGTACCAGGCTCTCCTGGCTGTCGGATTTCTTCTCCTACACCTCCTCTCAGTGTTGGCCTGAACCCCTGGGGAGACAAGCCCATTCTTCTCACATTTCGGTGTCTGGGAATTCTGCCTCCTATCCCCCCAGCCCTCATCCGACGCGTCGGACTCTGCTTGGCCTTGGAACCTGTGCCAAGAGTAACGGCCCCTTTGCTCCAGGCTCTGGCGGCACGGGGACAAAAGAAGGGTTCCCCCCGGGCTAAAACTCACACCTGGCCTCTCCCCGCAGATTGGTCCTCCAGACCTCGTGCTCTTCTTGGCCTGCTCGAGCCCCCGGCTCCGGCTCCGGCTGGAAAAGCGTTCCCAGGAGCAGGGCCGCCCAGATGACAACGCCCAGGCCGTCGCGCACCGGCTGGAGACCTTCAAGCGCAATGTCCCCTTCGTTGTGAAGTACTACCAGGAAAAGGGGGCGGTCGTGCGGGTGAGCTCCGGGCAGCGCCGAGGCAAGGCAAACCGGGGTCCGGGGGTGGGACCCCAGGCGCTGCGTCAGTCTTGCGGGTGCGAAGCCCGCGGGTCGCATGTGGGGAAGCAGAGCACCCGGGCAGTGGGAGACCGGCCAGCCGGCCTTGCTCATCCTTGGCAGGGCCCCACACGCAAACGCCCAGCCCCAGGCAGATTCAGGGCAAGAGGACGTGGCTGGATCACTGAGCCGAAGAGATTCAGCATAACCCACTGCAAACTGCTCCCTGGAGCCACCTCACGCGAGGGGTCGCCCCTTCCCCCTCATGGTGCTGCCCAGCAGCCCGTGCCACGCTGGTGGGGGTTGATGGGACTTGCAACCTTAAACCCCAGAGTGACCAGGTGGGACACTCCCCAGTGGAGGCGGCTGCAGGTGGGCCAGGTGGCCTAGAAAGCACCCTCTGGTGAGTCTCTCCCTGTGCTGCAGAAGCACAGTCCAAAGGGCCCTGATAGGGCAGGGATGGGAAGCAGGTCTCCCTGCAGGTGTCGGACAGGTGAGCCCAAGGTGTGGTCCAGCTTCCAGATGCCCTGCAGGCGCGCTGTGGTCCGGCCCCCGGCAAAAAGTGCAGGAAATGGAATGGGGCACTCTGGCATTTACTGGGTCTGGAGTGCGGGAGTGGAACGGACTATTCTCGAGTTTCGTGGGGGTGGGCTGAGAGGGGTTAGCGGCTCTCACACCCCCTTCCCCTGCTTCCCCCCTTCCAGTTTGACGCAGACAGAGACGAGGACAGCGTCTTTGCGGACATCAGCGCCTGCCTCCAGCAGCGGCTGCACCTGGCGGCGGCGGAGGCACCAGGTGAGAGGCGCCTCCATGGGTGTCCAGTCGGAGCTGCGCTCCGTGACAAACGGGGGCCGGGCCGGGCATTCAGTGCCAGCTCTCCCTCCCTCTGGGCTGCGGCCGGGGGTGGAGGGCCGTTTGGCCCCCCTTGAAATGTCTCCTGAGGAAGCAAGGGACCAGGAGCGGGGGTCCTCTGAGCAGTCACAGCTGTAGCATGGGATTCCTTGCCAGTGGCTCTGGACTGGGCCCACCCGGCCTGGCTCCTGGCCCGGAGGAGAGCGGCAGTGCCAGCCCTTCCTGGCACCGGTTCCTTGGCCGCCTTCCACCGAGCAGGGAAGGTCCACAGGTCTGTCCTCCACGAAGGAGAACAGTGGGTCTCCCCCTCATCTTCCGGGCCCTGCAGCCGGGGGTCTCCCCTGGGCACGGGGAGCCCTGCTCTGCCCCTCGGCCGGGGCGCATCCTGACCCTGCCAACCCTTCTGAGGAAAAGCCTCGGGAAAGCTCAGCATCTTGTACTCCTCCTGAGCATGACCATTCCCTCCGCCTTCTGTTCTGGGTCCCTCCTCCCCTCCTGTTCCTCTCCTCCTCCTCCTCCTCGCCTCTTTCTCTCTTTGCCACCCCTTTTCCTGGGCTAGGCGGGTCCCGGTGTCAGCAGAGGTGGGCTACCTGTGCCCAAAGGCACGTGCGAAAGGGGCAGCCGTGTGTGCCGCCCACGTCTCCCCTTTTTCATCCATAAAGGGGGGATGTGCAGGAAGGACCATTTTTTCAACATCAGGAAAGTGCACGGGGGAGGCCACCTGGCCTACCTCTCCATGCCCCATCGTCCCCAGGAGCTTCCTCAGCTGCTGCTGATCTCAGGCGTTATCCATGCTAAGCGACCCTCTTTCTCTGCCGCTCCAGGTGGACTTTCTTCGGCCACCTTGGGGCAAGGCAGGGGTTTGAGGAAAGCTCTGGATTGCAAGGCCCGTGCTAGTTTAACCCCCCCAAATGCCCCGAGGACTGCGCTTGCCCCCAAGCCTCATGCTGCCCAGCCCTGCACGCCAGGAGCCCCTTCTTTCCCGTAGAAGGCTTGCTGTGGTTTTCCCGCCGGACCTTCTGGCCCTCTCTGACACCCTGTCTTGGTCCTTTCTGATGCAGAGTCTTTCCAGCCATCTCCGTCGGACTGTCTGTTCAGCTCGAGCCAAGAATCTCTGGAAGAGGAAAGCGGAGGGGGCCAGGTAGGGCTGCCACTGAGACACGGCCAGGCCAGGCCAGGCCAGGCTCTTGGCAAAAGCCTCCGGGGTTTTTCCCGCAGAGCTGGGCTGGATATGAGCCCCACTTCCTCTTTTCTGGGTCGAAAACAGGAATCGGGGAGGACGGGGTGAGTTCTTGGTGGAAGCAGACCAGAAACAACAGCCAGGGTTAAAGGCTGGCTTCGATCAACCTGGGCTTGGCACATACCCCCCGGTAACTCACCATAAAGGGGGGGATGCATAGGTGGTACCAAGCGGGCCTGTGTGTCCCCCGTTGGCTGGAGCAATCCTCCATCCTTTCCTAGCCACCTGGCCCCTTTACCCACCCCACTTCCAAGGCCTGAGCCCCCTGAACATACGGAGCTCAGAGTTGTTTAGCCTGCTGCTTCATTCCCTGGCAGGCAGCCATTCCAGTTCTCTGGAAGTAGGAACTTTCCAGCCATCCACTGCCTAATTCTAGGGAAACTTCTCTCGGGAAAGACCACGCTGCCTCAGGGCCACCTGTCTAGGGACACATACCGGTGGGAAGAGAGCCAAAAGCACATGCCCCCGTTTTCTGTGCGGCCGTCAAAGCCCTTCTCTTCCTCGCTCTTCTTTGGATGCCGCCTCCTCTCTCCCTCCAACATGCTTTTCTGCCTGTAATTCAATGCGGGAGCAGCTGTATCAGGAGTCCATCACAGCCAGTACAGTCGACTGGGCTGGCAGCAGCGCAGCGCTGACCGGCAGTCTCGCCCTGCCGGCAGCAGACGCTGTGCTTGGGACCCAGACCTTTGCGTACAACGTGGGGCTTTGGCCCAGACTTTTAAGGAGCTGTCCGTGGTGCTAGAACCTGCCCTCGAAAGAGGAGCATTCACGTTCAGGCTGAAATCCGGAGTGGATTTCCAGCCACCAGCCCTGGGGACGCCAGGCATCTCTGCCTCCACTGGAGAGGATGGCCCCCGCTTGCCACCCGAGACTGCCACGCCAGGGCCCTGTTTTGCAAGCGGTGTCCAGGCTGGAAGATGGGTGGGGGAGCCCTTTCTCCCCTCTCCTGTCCATTGGATCTGCACCCGGCTCGGGCTGCAGGATCGCGGGCTTGCAGGACGAACTCTTTCGACAGCGCAGGCTGCTGCCTCCTTCCCCAGCTCCGAGCTCACTCTCACGGGGTCGGCCCGAGCACATCCCCTCTCTGGCCATCCCGCTTCCACTCGCTCCTGCCCAGGTTCATTGCCATGCAGCTCAGGGCGGCTGCGGGAGCGAGCGGGGCGGCCCGTGCCAAGCCCATCAGCCGCTGAGGGGGCCCCCCTCCTCCCAGCATGCCGTGCGCCTCTGACAGTATATACAGGGGTAAAAATAGCTTGCAAAGCCATGCAGGGAAGCCTGTTGGCTTTGCACGGCCTCTGCTCCTCCGCCCCCCCTTGCTCCCCTCCATTCCGCCGCTGAGAGGTAGGTGGGAGCCCCGCTTTTGGGGGGGGCTCTTTCTCCAGGCCGCTCTGATGTGGGGCCGGATTGCTGGGGGGCGGGGAGCACTCGCGCCACAGCAAGGAGATGCCTTGGGTCCCCCCCTTCCTTTCATTCAGCCGGTGCCACCCGGAGACGCGGAGTGGGGACGGAGCGTGTGCGCACGCGCACGGGGATGCGAGATGCTTTGTGCGCGGTGTGTGTGTGTGGGGGGGCGCTCGGCTTTGTTTCGCCTCTCTGCAAGCCGGCCGCCTCAAGTCCACCATGCGGTCTGCGCGTACCGGGATGCGATCCCCGCACCGTGCGTCCGTTGGTCCGTGCGCGCCCGCCCGGCTTGGGCTGCGCCTCAAGGAGACGTCGAGGACCCGCAGTGACCTTGGGACAGGCTTCCCCCCTTGCGGAGCTGCACCTGTGGCCCAGCACCAGCATCCATGCTAGGAAAAGTCTTCCTGGAGGGGGCATTTTGCACGTCCAGGCAGGGGGTTCCTAGCCCGTTCTTTCCAGAGTCTCTCTGGAACTGGTGTGGCCGCTGGCCTAGGAATACAGGGCTTGTTTCTGCTGTATTTGAGTACATTTGCATGTTGTCCGGCACTTGAAAAGGGATCAAAAAGAGCCCTTTGGAAATGAGTGGCAGCAAAGAGGATGAGGGAGCTGCTTAGAATACGCAGAAGAACTTTGGCGGAATTAATTTTCCTTTTTGCTTACCTGTTGAAGGGACAAGGAACATGTTTAGTTTGTGGACATACAATGCATTTTCTGTGTTTGTGCACAAATGCAAGGTAACTTCCCCCGAGCGGATGCCCTTTGTGGTTTGGACTACAGCTCCCATCTCCCCCATCAGCTCAGCCATTGGTTAGGGATGATGGAAGTTGCAGCCCCAAGCATCTGGGGGCTGCCCAGCTGGGGAACTCTGGTACTAGGAGTGCCACCCCAATTAAAGAAACCTTGGTTTATATGTGTGTTAAATTTCTATACCTCTCCTATAGCCAAAGATCTCTGAATGATTCACAAGAACAAAACCATAAAAAGGAGTATTACATCCACTATCGATGTTTAAAAAGTTTAAAACTACAGCACCAAATAGAAGTAAAAACCAATGTAAAACCTAGCGCAGTGCAAAGATTAAACACAATAGTGGTTTTAAAAAGAGATGTAAAACAACACACGTGGAAGGATTAAAATGGCTGGAAAACAGGAAGGTCTCCACAATGGAGACAGTGGCTGTGCCACTTTGGGGAGCTCATTCTGCCATTTGGGGGCTACCTCGGAAAAGTCCCTGTTCTTGGTGGGGCTCTGAGAGAAGGGCCACCGAGGGCAGTTTAACATCCTGGCAAGTATATGTAGGAGGAAACGATCCTTCGGGTAACTTGGCCGCAAGGTGTTTAGGGCCTTGAGTGTTGATATGGACGAAGGCACCTGTGCCCATGATTATACCCGCAAAAAATACACCTCGGAAAGGTCTTCCTTTTTTCAGGCGAGGCTCATGTGTCATGTCTGTGCCCCCCGCCCATGAGGAGGGGGTCCAGAAGTGCCTCCTTGAAGACGTTGCTAGCCATTGGCAGTCTTTCTCCAGGCTTGGCGGCAAAGTAATACCAAGAGAAACTCCTCTCTTAGGCGAGGAACTTCCAGTCTTGGGTTTTGGTTGTCTTGGACTGCTCCTGTTTTAGATCATGGAGGCAACTCATAATGGAAGTCACGGCAGAAATAGCTACCTAGAAAAACAGAATTTGGAATGCCCAAAGTCCAGATAGGCCGAGTTCCCAATTCTGAACAGGTGTTTGCAAAGATCCTTAACTCTGTGCTGGCTGGGGAAGATGGGTAGTTGTAGTAGGTGGAAGGTTCTGGGTTGAGGAATGCTGGGCCCCAGGGGAGACAACCTGTAGACCTCTTCTGGCCCACCAAGCCTCCTTTGATTTCTTCCAGGGAAGAGTGTGGACTTCCTGGAGGAATCCCTGGTTAACCCTGATCTTTATCAGAGAAAATGGGGAATTTTCTGGTGCAGGATGAGGGACCCAGCCTCCAAGGAATGAGACCTCCACGGAAGGGTTGGGGGCCAAGGCAACCTGGCTAGACAATTGGAAGCCGAGCGAGGAGGTCTATTCCTTTGCTCCTGCCACCCATTTGGACCAGGGGATTGGGACCACTTCCATGCCTCTCCATGGCTATGGGTCCTGACTACCAGATGTTGACCTCTGTTGTTGGGGGCTTTTACCAGTCCTCTCACATACTGGCCTGATCCTGTTTCTCTAGCAAGCTTTCTTTTCCAGCAGCCTAATTTGGTGGACTTGGGCGGGACGGGGGAGTTGTTCATTGTTGTGTTAGACAGTCTGGAACCAGAAATCCATTGCTTTTAGAAGCAAGCCACCCAGTGGTCAAGCACAGATCCAGACCAACCTTTCACCCGTCTTTGGCAAACCATCTTTGCAACATAAGCCCCTTGGAGACGCGTTTGTTGAAAAATAGCATCTAACCCTGCCAAATCAACGATTGCATGCATAAGGCCCCTGCATGGAAGGACTGCAGAAATTAAGGATCCTAAACGAGGGCCCCCAGTTCCTGTGCCTCTAAGTAGCATCTTTCCAACGCTTCTGTTGCTGTCCTTCCCGGTCTGTTCCCCCACGACTGCATTTGGCGTGAACTGCATGCTTGAGCGTTTCCCCATCTTAAAATAAAGCAACACTCTCTGCTCATGGAAATATAGCACGTCAGGGTACAGGGTTTCCCAGACCCTTGCTTTCCAGTTGCAGGGAGTTTCATGACAAGGTGCAGCATTAAAGAAACTCAGTATTCCCCTTGCAGTCCAGAATAGTACCGACCAAGGAGAACTGTACCGTGTGAGTTCTTTTAATGTAAGTGTCATGTCACCTAAGGTAATATCAGGTTGCATCACATATGTAGAGTCAAATTTAGCTCCTGCCTGCTTTCTCTCCTCCTCGGCAGCTCCTAAGCCGATTTACACATGAAGCTAAATCCATCGGTCACACTCTGTCAGGACTGTACCACTTCAGGTGGCAGGCAGGCCAGCATTTATAAGGTTACTACCCAAAGCCCAGCTTTCTGGTCTGCTGGGACTAGAGTCAGGACATTTCTGGTGATGGCCCCATATCTCAAAGGCCAGAGAACATGGCCTCCTTTTTGCTGGCCCTTAGAGGATGCTGATGGCGCTTTGTCCACGGCTGCATTTGATTCCTGCCAGCATCTTGTGCTTTTAACTAGAAATGTTAATTAGAAATGTTCTAATAATAATAATAATAACAACCAAGGCAGGGCCTGGAATGCCCCTTGAAGCAAGCTAGGCAGGGGGCAGAGTGGGCCATGTTGTGCCAGCCCTGTTTGAGCCAAGCACCCCAGAACACACCTGATGGGGGGGGGTCCATTTCCCCGCAGGGGGCCTTTCCCACAACAGCAAGAGGGGGCAGGCTTCAAACCCACAGACTGGGTTCAGACAACACGAAAACGGCACTCCAGGCTGAGGAGGGATTGCTTGTTGCGTCATCCGAACCAGCCACGTGAACAAGAAAGCGCTCGTCAGCCACGAACGGTCTACACACGTGTTCTTGCACGTGTGTGTGTGTTATGGGTGTGCCCATGAGAGCAGCATGGTGTTTTATATACTAATATACAGAGGTATAAACGAAATATGCAATTAGTGCTAAGGAGCGCTTTGCATTTTGCTCAAGCACTGTGATGTTTACCTTGTCCTTGGTTCCTTTCCTTAGTGGTGTGGTTGGGTTGTTTTTATACTGTACCATAAATATAAAAACAACCATGAGCAACATATTAAGAGGACAAAGGCTTGTTTATCCCTGAGGTTTTCATCGTAGTTTTTTCCCTTGAGTGATTGTGTGACGTCTGAACTTCTCGGTTGTTGTTGTTAGTTGCAAAGTCGTGCCCGACCCATCACAACCCCATGGACAGCACTCCTCCAGGCCCTCCTGTCCCCCACCTTCCCTCGGAGTCCCTCCAAGCCCACACCCTCCACCCCAGTGACCCCATCCAGCCCCCTCATCCTCTGCCGCCCCCTTCTCCTTTGGCCCTCAATCATTCCCAGCATCAGGATCTTCTCCAGGGAGTCCCTCCTTCTCATTAGGTGGCCGAAGTATTTGAGTTTCATCTTCAGGATCTGGCCTTCTCAAGAGCAGCCAGGGTTGATCTCCTCTAGGACTGACCGGTTTGATCTCCTTGCGGTCCAAGGGACTCGCAGGAGTCTCCTCCGAACTTCTCGGCAGACACATTTAAATGACCCAAACACAGAATTCCCAAGGGGCGCATCCCCTTAGTCTGCCTGTCCAGTCTGGGTTTTGCAGTTTTGCAGTCTTGAAGCCACGGTTCTTGCTGCAGTTCCGTCTTCTTTAGCCAACGGCCCGAGCAAAGGAACCCTGCTGTCAAGGCTGGCTAAACTGTGCCCCACTTCTGAGGGGAGCCATGCCTGTTAGCAGCCCCAGGCTCAGACCCTGCCTCCTGAGGAGGGGTCTGCCCTCCAGCGGGAAAGGCAGGACTCGAATCTGTCCCTCGGGCTGCTCCTATGCTAGCCGTCACAACAGTATCGGCCATAAAACCATTTATTTTTATTTTATTTATTTCATTTAGAACATTTCTATGCCGCCCCATTCGCAAAAAGCCTCGGGCGGCTTACAAAATAAATAGACAATCATATAACAATCATTTGCTGCCAGCAGCGGCCAAAAGGGGTCCTGCAGGCTCCAGCCACATGGATGCATTGCTCTTAACAAACATTGTTTAGGATGCAATGCCATGTTGGAAATTGTAGGGTTTTTTCCCCTATCCTAGCATGCATGGGATGAATGGTGCCCTTCACCCCACTAAACTCAGTGGAATATGCTTCTGAGTAGACATGCATAGAGGTGCACTCCTCAAGGAGAAAGCTAGGCCTGGACCTTGAGATGCTATCTGTCTATGTGCGGGGAATTGTATGCATCCAGGTAGTATCCATTGATGTACAGGATGTGTATCCGTGGCGCAATCTCAAAAGATTGCCAGGTGTCACTAGCACAAGTCTGGGACTGGTGGCCTTGGGATGCTGTGAAATACGGTTTCCATCTTCCATGCCCAGTGGTCAGGGATTTGGGGAGTAAGTAATTTTCTTGTTGTGTAAGCAGTAGTAGTGGGTGTGAGAAAGGGCTGAGATTACATGATAACCTTTATTCAAGGGCTGAGCATGGGTTTTTGCTGAACCCCAGGTTATTGTGTAGTCTGAACTCAGCCGGGATAGTAAACCATGCTGAACTACCCACAGAACAAAACCTTGGATTGCCTTCATGGGTTGTTTGTGTATTGTCTGAACCCAGCCATAATATAACTTTTGCACCAATATATTTGTTGCTCCTTATTCGGAATAGATCGGTGACCCTGGGGATTGTGCTAAAATCGAGATTTTATCTACAGAATCCGTACGATGGAAAGGAAGACCCGCCAGGCTGTTTAAATGCTCCATGCAATTATTCATTTCATAGCCTGCCTTTCGGCATAAATCCCATTCAAAAGTGGATTACAGCTCATTAAAGACACACAATACTTCACCAACCCCTGGGAACATGTGCAGTGCATGCCTCTAGTGATATTCCTCTCCCTCCCTCTGTAATCCATGCCTGACTTTTTCTCTGCCTGTCCCTGGAATAACAGTGAAATGACGACACACTTGCATGCTAAAACGGTCTCGGAGGTGCACAGCTTGTGTCTCGGAGGTGCACAGCTTGTGGGTCTTTTGCTTTGAAATGCACCCCATGTTGGGTGTTTCTCTGTCTAAACGTGCACCCCGCTTCCTCTCGATGGGGGATTACAATGTCCATTCTCTCGGTGCAAGGGGAGGGTGTGTTTTTCCTAGCGATGGCGCTTTTGCACACTTGCATGGGCCAAGCATGGCAAAGATCAGCGTTGATTTAACCTTTTGGGAAGCGACTGTTGCCATGCGCAACGATTCGTGTCCCGGCCCACCAGCACGGGGGTGGCCGCGACCGGCAAGACTTCCTATGGCTTTGCCAAACTTAGAACCCCGAAGCAAGCCGTCTGCAGGCCCGTCCGGCCTTATTAGGTGTGGCTGGAGGGGACTGTAACGGGACCCCTTCCCAGTGAAGCCAGTGAGGTGGACAGTGAACTTTGCAGAGAGACTTGTGCCTATTTTCAGTGCCGGCCTCCTTGAACGCCTTCCTGAGCCGCCAGCTGCTACTTTTGGGGTGGAGTTTCATTTGATTGGGGTGAATTACAAGCAGGTATGCGGTGTGGCCAGATGTTAGCCAGTCCGACGGGATCTTGGGCTCCTAACTGGTGTGCCCGTCTCCCTGGGAAGGAGGCCAATGTTGTGCCCATTTTACAGACAGTGAACTGAGGCTGAAAGGAGAAGTGACTTGCTCGGGGCAGATAATGTGGACTTCCCTAGCCTGAAGCTCTCTGGATGTTTGGAACGACAACTCCCGGGTTTCCTGACCGCAGGCCAGGCTGATGGGAGTCGTATTCCCAGATTTCTGAATGGGTCAGGCTAGTGAAGTCTGAGAGTATGAAGGAAGGACTTCTCGGCTCCGACTCTTTTTTCCCAGCTCTGCCCTCAACTAGAGCAGAACTAAGAAACAGTTCTGGGGTGGTTCCGTCCTGTCCAGAAACCACAATTGTGTACCTTTCAGGAGAGCCAAATATCTCCATCGTGCGAGCCACCTTAGGTTCCACCCAAAATAAGAAAGACCAGGTAGAAGTGTAATCTAATAATAATAGATCTCAACGGTGGGCAATTTGTAGGTTGGAGTCCAACTCCAAGCAACACAACAGTGGAACCGGCTGCCTGCAGAGGTGGGGGGCTCTCCCACACTGGGGACGTTCAAGAGGGAACTGGACGGCCATCGGAGTGGGGTGGTGTCACGTGGTGTCCTGCAACAGCAGGGGGTGGACTAGATGGCCTTCATGGCCCCTTCCAACTCTGCTATTCTATGATTCCCATCTCCCATGGCCACAAATTGCCCGCCCCTCAAGGGCAGTGGGGCAAAGCTATTTTCTTCCCCTTGTTCCCTGCATGGAAGCGTCCTTCCCCCTCTCCCCTTGTTTGGAAGCAGGTGAGCAAAGAATCTGGCCATCAGGAAAGGCTGAAAAGGGAAGGGAAGCGGCGGAGACCTGGGCAGCCCCTTCCAGACTCTTGACCTCTGTGACATCGGAGGGTTCTGGGGAGTGGGCAGAACCTTGGCCGGGCTTGGCCAGCTGCTCTCCGCCACCAGCCTGGACAGAGGGGACCTGATGCGACCTCGGGACCAGACCCAGGTTCTTCCCCAGCTCGTTTTGGGCAGGTCTGCCGCACCTGGTGTAACCAAGCCTTCTGTTCTCGTTTCAGCTTGACGCGCCTCTCGCCCCGGCCTTCCCCAGCATGGCAGCGGGTGAGTGGATTCTCGTTCTCATCTTGGACGCTCTCGTCTCGTTCTCTTGGCCTGGTTCATTGGACCCGGTTTTGGGTCCGATGAATCCACCAAAGGGGAGACACAAAGGGGGAACTTTCTTCTGGTCTTCTAGAATAAACTGGGCAACTTGTTGGCCTTGTTAGGGTGCCAGTAGCACCTTCGGGCCCCGGTCAGTGCCCATTGTGGCCCCCCTTTGCAGCTGACTCCACTCCATCCCCCGCTGGTGGTGGTTCCAGTTCTCGGAGCCCGCTTCCACATGAGAACTGCTGTGGCACAGTGGTTAAGAGCATGGGACCTGGGACTCAGGCGATCTGGGTTCGAGTCCCCGCTCGGCCATGGAGCTCCCTGGCCCAGAGACAGACTCTCTGCCCAGCCTACCTTGTAGGGCTGTTGTTGTGGGGATACAATTGACAGCAGGAGGAGAATGCTTTGAGTTCTTTAAACTGAAAAGAGGTGGGATAGAAATCTAATAAATAAACAGAATAAATAAATAAACCAGGCATGTTTAGCCTTGAGAAGACTGAAGGAGGATTAAAAAATAGAAGGAAAAAAAAGCAGGCTAGAAATCTAATACATTAATAAACTATATGTTCAGTTTGTGCTATAGCAAGGAAATCTGTCCCGGCAGCTGACCAAAAGCTCCCGAATTCCCCTGGAGCCTTTTCCTGCCCTGCCTGGCTTGGGTGTAATTCTAGAAAGCTGTAATTAAAGCAGCCTTCTCCACGCAGCCTGCTAATGAAACCCTGGACTACGAGCCACTCAGAAAGCACCATGGTTTTATTTTTAGCTCTGCTGCTCCGCTGTCATTAGGTTTCCGTCCATCTCGGACTGGGAAATTTTCCATGCTCCGGAGCAGCCTTTCTCCAACCTGGTGCCCTGCAAAGGCCACAGAAACATACTCCCAGAATCCCCCAGCTGGTTCGAGATTTGTAGAGAATTCTCCTCTTCCATCTGCAGATAGGTCTGAGTCAGATCCTATTTAAAAAGGGAGCATCTGGCATCTCGCACCAGTGGTCGCCTCCTCCAGATGTTCTGCGGAGCCGTCGAGGTTTGGTATCCGCTGCCCCTTAGCAACCATCTCCATGGCGACCTGCGCTGGATGCTGAACCACAAGGACCTTGTGGCTGTGCCCAGTCACAGCTGGGAGGGTGGAGTGGCCGAGCAAAGGGACGTGAAACCCAACCCAAACCCACAGGGCCATTATGGGGCAGGGGTGGGGAAGAGAAGCAAAACGGAAGACACGAGCGGGCCAGCGATTTTGGAAAGATGGGCTCCGAGTGCTCCTGTCTAGCCGAGAGCGCAGCGACGGCTGGCACAGGTAAAGTCGGGCATTCTCTGGTCCTTGGGTCTGCAGCATCAGGCGAGGCTTGAAACCCCCCCTAAAACCTTTCTCTTGGCAGCAATGCTTCCTTTCTTTGTCAGTCATCCCGAGAAGAGCTACACCGGCTCCTCTCAAGAACTTCACACTTACCCTTCTTTTCTTCCCTCTTTCCCTGCAGAAAAATTGAAAAACCACAAAATCATCTTTGTAGTAGGTGAGTGGTCTCCTTGCATGCTTATTGCCGGCCTTGGGAAGCTCATTTCCAAGCTCCCCAGGACGGCTTTGGGGTCTCACCCTCCATGGATTCTTAGGTCAGCTTGACCAGGGAAGAACGTAATCACCTGCAGAAGGCCAGCAAGAAATTGGCTGCTAGCTTTGGGAGAAGCTTGAAGCTATAGCTCTGTCTGCCTGTTTTGTCTAGTCTAGTCTATTTGATCCGTCTTTATTCCCAGATTTTGCCATCCTGCTTTCCCAGTAAAAAAAGGAAGCAGCAAACCAAATGCATCAGCTACAACATCCTCACCGTTATGACGGGATTCATTTTGGGCAGGGCGATTCTGTGGCGACCAGGCTGTGTTTAGCTGGCCGTGTGATATTTCAAGCTACCCGCTATGTCCGAAGAGTGATGCTAGAGAAGGGTTTTGGGGGGTGCCCCAGGAGGTGTGGGGACCCCAAGAAACGATGTATGCTGCAGCATCACAGCCTCCTTTTCTCCCAACTTGACCCACGGGACTTAAATTGGCCACAGGACGATTAACATAGTTTCTCACCTTTAGGGAAGACCCGAGACGATTTACAGTAAGACAGTTAAAACACCCAGCATATAAAATAGGTAGAAACAATTGAAATATTTTAAAAATAAGAAATGAGCAAAGGCACTGGGGCTGAGCATAACCAGTGGGGGCGTCAGCAAGGGTCTTCAGGGACAGGCTAGACACGCACATGGTAGGCATGTCATGAGTGGAGTTCCTTGTGTCGGTTGTAGGTGGGCCGGGCTCGGGAAAGGGGACCCAGTGCGAGAGGATTGTCCAGAAGTATGGCTACACCCACCTGTCCACTGGTGACCTCCTGAGGGCAGAGGTCAGCTCTGGTTCCGAACGAGGGAAGAAGCTGTCCGCCATCATGGAGAAGGGCGAGTTGGTCCCGCTGGTGAGTCTGCGGCTGTAAGGAATGGGGGCAGGCGGGAGAGACCCCCCGCCCTATCCAGAGGTGCCAGGAGATGCGGCACAGGGATCCTGCCGCTCATGCATCCCCAGGCGGGCCCTTATCGGCCTTTCCCCATTCGCCACACTACTGCCGTGTTGCGTTCCCATCATTCCCAGCCAGCACAGGTAACTGCCATGCTGGCTGGGAATGATGGGAGGTGTCGTTCAGCACGTCTGTAGGGGGCTGAACTCATCCGGCCCTACCCTTCTCCCCGCTGCCTCTCCTGCCTGAAACGGGCTCCCAGGACACCCCCGTGAGGCCACCTTTGGGTGCCGCCCCCAGCCTGGCCCCCCAGCGCTCGCAGCCCCTGTCCCCTTTTCCTGTGGTACGCAGACCCTGTTCGGTCAAAAGGAAGACCAGCCCCACCATCCTCAGCTGCAGGCACGCTGGCGAGCGGAGGCCGAAAGCTGTGAGATCCAGGCTCTTCTGGAGCCTGAGCGAGGCCTGGGGCTCCGGTGTCGCCCGAGCCCCCGTGCAGTGCAGGGCAAGCGCTCTTCCACACCAACATGGTGGCCGTCGTCCTCTCTCCCGCCAGGACACCGTCCTGGACATGCTGCGGGATGCCATGTTGGCCAAGGCGGACTCCTCCAAGGGCTACCTGATCGACGGCTACCCCCGGGAGGTGAAGCAGGGAGAGGAGTTCGAGAAGAAGGTAACGGTGGGGCAGGGAGGGTGGGGTGGCCCTCCCGGGGGGGATCTGGGCTTGCCTTGGAAAGGAGGGGCTACCGCAGTTGACCTGGGCATTGCAAAAGGTAGCTGCCAGGCATTTACCCCTCCCAGTTTAATGCTCAATTGTATTAATATTACCTTAATAATACACACTCTCCCAGCATTCGAGGGTCTCCGTTACTTCTGGGTGTAGCATCCTTCTTTGCTGTGTCTGGGGCAGCAAGGCCGAGTCAGGGAGGAAGGGCTCCCCAAAGGCACGCTGCGCGAATGTTTAGCGATGCTCTGGGCATTGCTCCCTGTCATGCTCGGAAGCAACACTAGGGGGCAGTGCACCCCTTCTTCCAAGCCTCCGCCTGGCGAGGAACGGCCACTGCAGGCACCCTTGGGCAATGGCTTGCTGATCCAGCGCACGAATGCGCTTCTCGTTGAGAGCCAGTGTGGCTTGGTTGTGAGAATGCCAGACTGGGGAACTGGCAAATCTGGGTTCAGATCCCCCCTCGGCCGGGAAGCTTGCTGGGTGCCTTTGGGCCAGGCACAGACTTTCAGCCTACCCTACCTCGCAGGGCTGTTGCTGGGAGGAAGAAAATGGGGCACAGGAGAATGAAGGCGGCTGCTTGAGTCCCCCACAAGAGGGGGGGAAAGGCACCATACAAATGGTGCAAAGTATGTGAAGGGCAGGATATAAAAGCTTTAAATAAACAAAGAAACAAACACACAAAGTCATAATAGTACATTTGTTTCTGTTCACCCATAATTCTATAATAATTCAAAACTGGCACTTATTCGGATATTATTAGTATTCTATAGCCAGCCATTTCCCCAAGACCGCTTGCATGATCTTCCTTCTCTCCCTTTTATCGTCTCAACAATCCTGCGCTTGAGACTTGGACGCCATGCCAGGCCCAGTGAGCTTCATGGCTCAAACCTGAGTCCCAGTCCAGCACCCCCATCATCCCCAGGCAGCGTGGCCAGTGCTGGTGGATTGGCTCAAGCGCCAGATCCGAGGTGGATTTCCCGGACCCCGTTTTGGGGCAAAGTGTCTCCGGGAAGGCTGGAAGTGCCTTGCTGAGGCGGCCCTGATCCGCCGCATGCTTCCTCCTCGTCTCCGCAGATCACGGCCCCAACGCTGCTGCTCTACGTGGACGCCGGGAAAGACACGATGGTGAAGCGGCTGCTGAAGCGCGGCGAGACGAGCGGACGGGTGGACGACAACGAGGAGACCATCAAGAAGCGCCTGGAGACCTACTACAAAGCCACGGAACCCGTCATCGCCTTTTATGAGAAAAGGGGGATTGTCCGCAAGGTACGTCCGTCCCCAGAAAGCTTGGAGCAGGCTTCTGGGCATCCCGTCAGCTTAAGCTCCCTTGCTGGCTGGCTATCTCTCTCTCTCTCTCTATCTCTCTATTTAGGGAACTTCTATGCCGCCCCATTCGCCGAAACCTTGGGGCGACTCACAAGCATCAATAAATAGCATCCTATAAAACAATATAAATTAAGTCGCCCTGGCCAAAGACCATCTCTCTCTCTCTCTCTCTCTCTCTCTCTCTCTCTCTCTCTCCCGTCTCTCTCTCTCTCTCTCTCTCTCTCTCTCTCTCTCTCTCTCTCAGATTTGTGTGCTGTCCAATTACTAACGTCTCTGGACAGCTAACAGCTTTCTTAAAGCAGACCTTGCTGTGTTCTGTGTTATTGTTCCCCATCTACCCCAAAACTTGTCTCCTTGTTCACACAAGGATAATGCCAACGGCGGTGGCAACAACGAGGAAGGAAAGGGATGGAGCGGTGGCCACGGTTTGCCATGTGCGTGGTGCTTGACCCAGTCCCGGGTCTCTGCCCCGAGGAGGCTGCATTCTGCAGTCAGACCTGATAGAACGGTCAGGCGCTTTTGCACTGCCTTTCAGGGTTAATTTTCCAAAGCAGGATGCGAGCTTTGAATGACAACAACGAGCAGGAATATTGTGAGATGGTTGGAACCCAGACCCGATTCGCGTCCAATTCAGGGAGGGTCGGCAGAGGGGAAAGGGGAGTCAACCGGCTCGGCTGGCCAGAACGCCAGCGAAGGGAAGGCCTTCACGTGCCCCCGGATGGCCAGGGAGGGAGTCACAGGGCCTACAGCAGGGAGATGCTCCCAAGCCCCCCAGGAAAGGCCAGTCTCTAGGAGGCCCCCTGGCTGATCCTAGCAGGATGAACCCACGATGGGTTCAAACTGGCCTGGAAGCAGGAATGCCCTCACCTTACTGGGCAAGATGGGCCGCTCACGCACGCCATCTTTATTCCCTGTTTATGCACACAAAGTCCAGGCTGATGGAAGCATCGGCTGGGGTTATGGCACCACAGGTGGCCCAGAAGCTAGAAAAGCAGAAGGACCAAACCCAGGTTCGAAGGAATGCTTCAGCTACAAGGATCGGCAGGCAGCTGTGACGAGCAATTTAAAATTTGCCCGCAAAGCCGAACAGGACAAAAAGTTACCCATGCTGAGAAGCTGGTCTAAGGTCACCAGCAGCCTGTTTGCCCAGGTCTGCCCGGCAAACAGGGAGAGCCAGCGGCTCAGAGCAAGGGCTGGGAATGGGGCGATTCAGGTTCCGGGCCCTGCTCAGCGGTGGGCCCAGGTGGGAATGGGAGTGGGTGGGGAGGGGCCCTCCTGCATGCAAAGCACAGAGCCACAGCCCCCCCCCCCCGTGCAGAGGTCGGGCCCCTCGGGCTCAGCATTGGCAGCCTTGGGACGGGGGGGGGTGACGCTTTGGCTGGAGCGTCCCCCGAAGATGCCCAAATTTCTTTCATCGCTCTGAGGAAGTTCCCGCAGAGATGCCGGACATAGCGAGGCGATGAGTCACCGTCAGGCAGGCGAAGACGGTGCCGGGATGTGGGGGCAGAAGTGGGGGGAGCGGCGTGGGGGGGGCAGGAAGGAAGCGCCTCCCTCCCGGGCTCGCAAGCAGTTCGCCGCCACTGCTGCCTTGCGCCTGGAGGGCGTCTCGCGCTGGGCTTGACTGCGGAAAGAAGCCAAGGAAGGCTTGGTTTTCTAGCTAAACATCCCGGGGTCGGTGCGGGTTGTCACTGCTGCTGACGACAGATAACCCAAGAAGGGCCCCCGGTTGGTTGTTGGAGATGGGAGCTGTGGGTTGTTGGTGGTTCATAAACCGCCGCTTGATTGTGTTTGGCTGGATTCAGACAGCACCATAAGCCAGGTTGGAATAGGAAGCCATGGGTCAAACGCTACCCATACTCAGCCTGTGAATAGCAATAGTGTTGTCTGAACCCAGCCAATGCGGGCGGGAGGTTCTCTTTGCTGGTGGCACTGAAGCAGACGCTTTCGGGACAGCTTTCCCCCAAGGAGACGTGCTCCAGGGAGCGAGTGCTGGGCTAGGTTATCTTCCAAGTCTCTTCCAACTCCGTGCCCATCAGTCAGGGCTGCACAACCTCACATCCTTGTTCTCCACAGCCGGCCCCGTGCTGTTCTTCCAACAACCAACTGTTGGGTCCTTTCCCAGCTTTGGTGATGTTTTTTCCTGTATTCTGGAAGGCTGAATTAGGGGCAGAGCAGAGCAGTCAGCTTCTGTTTTGGCTTCACCCTCTCGTGTTTGTGCCCAAGAGCTTCTTGGCCCCTGGACTGAAAAAGTCCAGCTCCTCGGCCCTGTGACCCTCCACCCTTTGGAAGCCCACGGGGCAGATTGGAAAGCAGTTTGCTCCCAGCAGCTGGAATCCAGTTGCACGCAACGTCCGGCCCGTGTCGCCCTTGGCGGCTGAGGCGAGAAGGCCTTGGCTGGCTGCCTCCTCCTGGTTGATCCCCTTTGGAAGCCACCTAAGTTGGTAGCCCTGTGGCGTCGCAGTGCTAGCTGATGTTCTTTTGGGCTTGCATGGTGGTGGGGGGGGTGTTGAGGGGTGGATGTGATCTGCCAGGGAAGCACCACCTTTGGTGTCCTGCAGCGGTCAGGAGGGGAGCGGATTTGAAAGCAAAGGGCCGCCGTGGGTGCCAAGGTGGGGCAAAGCAACTTGGAGCAAGACACAAACGCTCTCTCTCGCCCACAGCTGAATGCAGAAGGCACGGTGGAGGAGGTGTTCAAGCAGGTCTGCACCCACCTGGACGCCCTGAAGTAAATGCCGACGGACCCCCCCTCCCGGCCTCGGACCCCCCCTTTCCTCCCCCCCACCTTCCCCACTCGCCGGACGTCAGCTCCTGCCGCTCCCCCCCACACACACACGCACACACAAACATGCCGGCACCACAGCCATCCTCTTCTCTCGTCTGCGGCATCTCCGGGTTCATCTCGGGGTTGAGACAACGGAAGTGACTCCATCCTGTTTTCATGGAGGAAACTTCGAGGACATTGTGTTTGGCTCCCAAGGCCTCCCTCCAAAGTAAAATTCCCTTTCATGAGTCCGAGATAGTTTAATCTTTTATTTTTTCTTCTGTGGCTGCAGCTGCAACAGGAAAAAATTGTTCTACGTTCCTCACTCCAAAGGTTGATTAAGGGCAGGAAATGCCCCGTTATACCCCAGTCCGGAGCAGAAGCCGGCGGGCTGTTCGCTTTGGTGGGGGAAGAGGCATTCTTTTATGCCGCTCTCCCCTACCCAGCACCTTCCAGAGAGTGTCAGAGAGAACCCACGTCATCTTCAGCATGGTCGAGGATGATGAGCTTTGTAGTCTTGCATTGTTCAGAAGGCGCCAAGTTGGGGAAGGCTGCTGTAATTCCCAGGATAGGGAGCTGGTAGTCCTCCCTTCCAGATGTTGTTGGAATATATTTCCATCATCCTTCTTTCATCGTGGCCCAATCATCCAACAACTCTATAAAAGGCCCAAGTGCCGCATCACCCCCACTTTAATCCTGATAATTTGGCAGAACTCCTGAGCAGGGTGAAGACTGGACCGTGATATTCTTAAAAGCAAGAGCTAAACCCTCACCTTGGAGATTTTCCAAGGTTTTTGCTTCTCTCGGTCTGCTCTGAATGTTGCTTTTCCACAGAGGCAAATTTCTCATCCGCACCCCACCGGAGGAGGAATCCCTGCACCTCTTCTGTGTTTTTCTGCTGCAATACATATGTATATGACCCTCTCATTTTTTTAGGAAGCACAGAGAAGGGGCTCTGGATTTTTCTGACTAAAGAAAGCTTGTCTTTTCCTCTAGCCTGTGGAGAAATACTGCTGCTTTGGTATAACGCACCACACCAATTCGGGCGTCACATGCTCAGACGCTCCTCCAATTCCCGCATTGCAGACGGAAAGCCAGCAGGTCGGAAAAAGCCGCAGCGGAAGGTTGGATTGCTAGCTTTCCATGTGCGAGCTCACTTGCATGTGTGGAAGGGGTAGCTTGGGATGGAGGATGGATTTATTTCATAGTGGGAGCCCCCACCTGTGCCGTGGTACAGCCCTGACACCGGCACTTTGAACCCTTCCTCCAAGAAGAATTCAGAACAGTGGCTATATTCCCCCCCTTCCAAAAAAAAAACCCTTGTGTATCCTGCCTTTAAAAGACAGAACAAGCTTGCAAATTCTCACCTGGGGAAGGTGCCTTCTTGAAGGCCAGACTACCTCTTACTTGCAAAGGGAAACATTGCATGACTCCCCAACCCCATTTCTGCCGTTGCAGCATCCTCTCAGAATGTCTTCGCGCAGCCACAAAACACGTGCCTTTTTCTTTGGTGTAGCCCATGGGTGGCTCCTCTCTTCTGCAAATCTCCATTTTTCACGCTTTCACTGAACTGCCTCTACTTGCTTTTGCACAGACGAGGGGAGAGTGGGGAGTGCGAATCCAGGACGGCGTGTCTCACCTGGGGGGCAGGTTCCTATTACAACGCTGTGCCTATTTTTCTTTCGGGCCTCTCGGCGGCTCTGCGGCCCCACGGGAAATCTTTTACACTCACCTGGTGCGTTCTAAAGTGACCATTCTTCTCGTCGTCTCCTTCCCTCTCTGTCTTTTGTATACGGCTTTCTAATCTTTATCAGCGGAAAGGGCAGGATCGGTGCGGCCCCTCTATTGTCCTGCCCAGAGTCTTAAAGGCCCCGAGTCTGGCCCACCGTCTGAATGTATTTATCGTATCGTTATTAAAGCGTGTAAAAGACGTGTCTTTGTGTGTGCGGTTTCTCTCCTGGTTCAGGAAATGATGTGCGGAAAACACACTGTGGAAGCCACCAGTGTGGCACAGAATATGTTGGACCAGGATCCGGGAGATGTTGGCTTGCATTCCTACATAGCTGCTAAGCTCACTGAGCGACTTTGGGCCAGTCATGGACTCTCAGCCGAACCTACCTCGCAGGACTGTTGTGAGGATAAGCCTGAAAGGAGGAGGAGGAGGAGGAGGATTATGTAAGCTGCCTCAAGTTTATTCTTATCTCTTATTTCTTTATTAAAAACTTGTGTATGCCATCCTTTATACAGATATCTCAGGATGGCTTACAGCAATTTAGAAGGACAAGTTAAAGCATCTAATAACACCCAATAACAAATTAAACAGTAATACAGTGTAAAACAATAAATAGACAACAAATAGATCAGATTGAATCAAAATAAAACAAAGCAAAAGCGACTGCAAGAACCATTAAAACTATTAATTTGTAAAATATCGCTTGAATAAAAAGGTTTTGACCTGGCGCCGAAGAGAGTATAAGCTCAGTGCCAGGCGTACCTCTCTGGGGAGCGCATTCCTTGAAGGATAGATCGATCGCTGGATTGATTGATTGATTGATTGGAAAATCCAAAGATGTGTGCCTCCCATGGGCCATGATGAGAAACCCAAAATCTATAGCGTCTTTCTTGTTGGTCAGAATCAGAAAGCTGCAAGTGTAATAACACCTTAAAGGGGATTCTGTCTGCTAAAGGTAAGACAAATAGGCTTAGGGGCTTTGTGTCTCCCAAGCTTAGCTCCTGATTTATTTTAAAAGCAACTCCTGTTTTATTTTTGGGCAAAAACCTCAGGGATAGCTGAGCCCGCGGAGCAGATGCGGTGGTCTTTCCAAGAGGGGACGTGGTGGTCTTCTGAAGAGCAGAAAGGGGCAGTGCGGGGTGGGCCAGTGTGTGGAAGCTTCCCAGAGTGCAAGGGAGGCGCCGAAATGAGGATATCGGCTGATTTGGGGCCGGTGTTTCCTCGACGAAGCCTTTTCCAGCCATCTAGGTGAGGCCTGGGACGGCAGGGAGGGTGTGGCGCCAGGAGGAACTGGTGCAGGTAAGCGAATGAGCCAGGCTCCCCGGTTTGCTCTCCAAGGTGCATTCCTCTCCTTGGAGAGGCCGTTGGGGCCATCCTTTCCACACCAGCTGCAAGAGGGCAGGGCAGCGTCTTGGCTGTCGAGGTCAGGGCTCTGAGATCGGAGGACCTTGGGGCTTGGACTCCAGAAACGGCGATCCCCACCACCTCCGGACAATGACAGGAGGCCACAGGATGTTAGCCGAAAAGCATCAAGGGGTGAAGCAGCTCAAGGAGGAAAACTTACAAAATCAGGAGCTGCTTCTTTTAGTGAAACGGCGAATTGAAAAAAGACCCTTTGAGAGTCTGCTGGGGGTGTGCAACCAAAAGATCCTTTACCGCTTATTCCGATGTACAGGAAATACACGCAGCATGTCGACAGCCCCTGAAGGGACCACCAAGATGGGGTCTGTACAAGGCACTTTGAAAGTAAGCTGGGGCGGATTAGAGCAATAGGAATTGAATGGGGTTAAGGCAGCACAGCACAGAAAGACGCTCCAGGACAGGTGATCCCTTAGCATCTCAAAGAGTGTACCTGCAAAGGACAGGAACACCTGAGCCTCTAAGGTGTATGTGAGAAGCAGGACCTGCAACATGGATGTCTGAACAGATCAGGCACCCGGCCTTAAGTCTGGAGCTGTTCTGACAGTGCCAGGGCTTTTATAGCAGACCTTTTGCTCGTTTTGTCCTGGCAGGGGCCTGGGGTGAAGAAAGGGGGCAGGACCACCTTTTCTCGGCCCCAGGGGGGCCATTGCAGGAGGATGACAGGTGGGAGGCTCAGCAGAGTTTTAAGGAAGAGCGTTTTCGTGCCATGGAGTTACACTTCCAAGAGATGTCACGACAGCCACCAATTTGGACGGCTTTCCTAGGGGACGGACCCATTCCTGAAGGAAGAAGCTTTTCCACGGCTCCTCGTCTTACAGGCCACAGATGGTCTCCAATCTCAGAAGCAGTGTGCCCCCAATGAGCCCTTGCTGGGGAGCATGAGCAGGGTGGTTCCACTGCTGCTGGGTGCCGTGGGAACCCTCCGAAGGATTGGATGCGGCTCCGCACGTCCTCCTGGCAATTTGATGCAGGCCAGCAAGCGGCTTGCCTCTGAGCTCGGGGGCAAGAGGATTTGGGAAGACGCTGAGGTCTGGCAAGGCTGGAGGCCGGGGAAGGAAACGGACTGTGAAAACATGCTCAGAAGTCCAAGTCATCAAATAAAGTTGAGGCTGCGGAGCGGTAAACAGGAACAGCGCGCCAGCGGTGACCAAGAGCGACGGCCCCGTCTGCAGAGCCGCAGTGGGACGCGGCACGTGCCTGGAATGTCGGGGAGGATACGGCGCCCCCCCAATGCACGCACTCCCAGGCTTCCCCCTCCCGTTTTCACAGGGGCGGGAAAGGCGGCCCGGCAGCGCCAGCGCATCCCTTCTAGGCAGCAGCCCGAGACGGGCCAAGCGAGGTCAGCGGCGGACAAAGACCTCTGCAAAGGGGGCAGGTTGGGAAGAGCTCAGCTACCCAAGCCAGGCTGCCCTACAAGGCCTCGCTGGAGGTCGACCGAGTGGCGCCTACGAGGCCTGGTGCGTCTGCCGGCCTGGGCCCCCTCCCACCTTTATCTTATTCTAGACTTGAACAAATGATTGTAGCTGGATGTGGCGAGGCGCCGTTTCTTTCCGGGTGAAAAAATGGTTTCAGGGCTCAGGCCAGTCCTCTGCCTTGCCGTTCGGTCTTTGCAGAAGCGGCTTCTCTGTTTCTCTCACAAGGACCAGACACAAGATTCAGCTGCTGTTGGACCGACTGGAAGTGGTGTCCAGAGCACTGTCAAATTGAACATTTTTATTTAGGGGAGAACTCTCCGAAGAAGTCTAAGACTGCCCCATGTGAGTCCACAGAGGAAACTTGCTAAAATGAGGAAGGTGGTAAAGAGAAAGTTGAAAGGGGATTTCAGAAGGGTCAAATCAATCAAAATGCTTGGAGGTTACTCCAGACCAGCTGGAGTGCATGCCACAGGTTCCCCAGCAACCGCTATGAAAAGACTTAGATATGCCCTCAGGGCTAATAGCCATGGATAGCCTAACATGTCATGAATTTTTGTCCGGTCCTCTTTTAAAACCATCCACATTGGTGGCTGTTGTTACATCTTGTGGCAGTGAGTTCCATAGTTCAAGTACACGCAGTGTGAAGACTGCCTTCCCTTGGGTCTTCCCGGGTCTCGCACGAATCAGCCTCGAGGGACCACCGCGCTGGGGTCTAGCATTGCAAGAGAGGGTGGAAACTGCAGTGTTACTAAAAGGGAAAGCTTTGGAGAGAAGTTTCCAGTTTGGGTTGAGCACTCTTCACATGAGCAGAGGCTGATCTTTCAGCTTGCTGGAGGTCTTCTAGAGTTACGCTGTCTTGTTAGCTGCAACGGGCCAAGGAAGACCTGTACTGCGAAGGAACGGCTGGGTGTTTTCCTCAAGAGCTTTCAAAGCTAATCAATGCCAGACCTTTGCTCCTTCGGGAATTGCTCCAACATGTTGAGCATTTCAGCTGCTCCTGTCCACACTATTTCAGACTTTACAACCTAAGAGAGATGGAAACGTACCTTTAGAATCAAGGAACGAGGGTAGCTGCATCAAATAAGAAAATAAGGAACGCAGAACTTGGGCTACAGCTCAAGATTCTCTCTCCCATCTCTCTCTGCTGGGCCAGATCGCCGCCTCCAATAGCCCTCTGTACGTGTACGAGTCCAGTATCTCTTTCCCATTCCCTTGCCAGCTGGCTGAGCCCAAGAGGAAAGAGAAGGTGTTTAGAGGAACTGGAGTCTGAAAACAGGATCATAATCAAAGTAACCTGGGAACTTCAAATGCCTAGAAAGTTCGGTGTTTTTTCGCTGGAAAAACAAAAGCAAGGTATCCAGGAAATTCTTGGTGTGAGGTTAGCAATCTCCGCAGGATAACGAGAAAGAGCTGTGCACAGGGACTGGAATTTTACGTGCCTGTGCCGTTCCATCGGAAATATTTCATCCTGCTTGCTTTTCCCTAGCTGCCCGAAAGGCGGCAGGCTATGGCCAAGAGACACGTGTTGAATTCAGGATAGTAAGACTGTTCCTAAAAGGAACGTCAGGGGAATCCTCGTTAGCCTGAAATGAGTCTGAATTTCTAAGAATCCTGCTACACATTCCACAGTGGGCTGTTTTATCCTGAGGGGCAAAGAATCCGCAAACATTTGAGCCATTTCGTTTTAATTTGTCACCATGTCTCCGCATTTGGTTGGAAAGAAACCCATTTTTAAAAGTAACCCAGCATGTGTGTTTCCCCCATAAAGCAAGAGAAAATGCATCTTGCAGGCAGTTGTATCGCCTTCGCCTCCATGGATTTTTTGGTCCCCTTTCAAAGCCGACCAAATGGGTGGTCATGGATCTGTCCCGCGGAAGTGAGTTCCACAGTTTAATGAAGTGCAGTGTGAAGATTTCCTTCCTTTCCTGTGTCCTGGATCTCCCACCCTTCGGCTTCATGGGATGGGCCCATTGCAAGACCAAAGGTCTCCTTCTCCCCGCGGCTGGTGCATTTCTGAGCCCCTCTCAGGTCTCCCCCTATGCAAGATTCCCCTGAGCCGAACCATCCCGGCACTTCCTCGTGGGAAGGCGCTCCGCCTCGTGCCTGCTGTCGCTGCAGGGTTATCGTCACCGAATGATGGGGATCCTAGTGTGAGGTTTGGCTCGGGGTCCGGGGAGACCGTGCCCCTCTGCTGCACCCACTGATCTTTTGGGGGTTTTCTGACTTGTGTTCGGTTTTTCGCATTCCAAACGGTTGCAGCATCTTTCCTAAGGTTCAAGAACTGGCCAGAGCAGCCTTTGGATGTAAGATGCTGGGTTGGTAAAAATGCCCTTCTGCCTTCGGCCACGCACCCCCCTGCCTTCAGCCCCCCCCCCCCAACGGTTCCCCAGCCCTAGCCTAGTGTGGGACTACGAGGCTCGGCCGGCTGGCACCCTCCACATGGATTCCCCCCTCCATCATCCTGGTGCCATGCCAGCTGGAGCTGAAGGGGGTAAGCAAACACATCGGAAAGGTCCGAGCTGACCAGAAAAGTGGGCACCATTCCTGGCTTTTGAATAGTGGAAGGCAGGTAAGCTTGGTGGTTGTGGCGATCAAACGGGAAGGGGGTGAGAATTGGCTAAGTCGTCTTGGGTTCCTGGCAGAAAAGGGGAGGAACAGGAACGAAAGAAAAGGAAGCACGGTGCTGGGGGAGCGGTGGGGAGGAGAGAACTGTCAGCATCAGCAACTCCTCTCGTCCCATTTCGTTATCCTCATGCTGAGATGACGAACAAGGTTGCTAGTCCTCATGAAGCTCAGGGCTGGAGACACGGGGGGTGGAGCCTGTGGCATTCAAGGCTGGGCTTCTTGCGCCCAGAGTGTTGTTGCTTTCAAGACATCTCCAGCCTCTCCTCCTACCAAAATTGCTTCTTCCGTCTCCACATAGTCGTAAAGTAGATTTATGAGGGTCATCTGCCTCTCAGACTTGCAGCCCCTCTTCCCAGCATGGGGAAGGAAACAGAACAGGGCGGGGGGGGGCACTTTGAAAATCGACGGTGAGGAAAGGCCAAGGACGGCCTCGCGGAAAGCGGCTCGTGTGTCCCCCACCCTTCCTTACTTCTGCCCTTCTCGCCCGGATTTAATTTCGGGTGACCCTGGGAGGGGCCGCAAAACACCCCAGCACCGGGGAACCCCTTGTCCTGGCTTGCCCTCGTGCGAGGCGCTTGGCGCGTTCTCCGCCCGGCGTCCGCCCGGGGCCGCCGCAAACGCCCCCTCCCAAGCCGTGCGTGACCAGCAGCTGAGGAGGGGGCGGACCGCATCCTTTGAAGAAGTCTGAAAAAAAGAAGAAGCCGCAAAGAGCCGCATTTCCTTTTGCTGTTTTGGCAGGCCCAGCTCTTGGCAAGCCTCCCTCGAAAGGGAGTCGGCTTCCTGCCTCGGGGGTCATCAGGGCTGAGCACGGCCAGCGGCCAGCATTCAGGCAGTGGCGCTCCGAGGAGGCACAGCCGGCCCGCGTGGTGAGCCCAACCGGCCCCGAGGCGCCTGCCCTGCTCTCCCGTCGCCTCCGATCCCCGGATCTCCCTGACACTGGAGTGGAGAACGGCCCGGCGGCGCCGCTTGCATCCTGTCGCGAAACGCCGCGGCCCGGCAGAGCGCTGTGTTCCCGGACCCCTGCCCCTCGACACGGGCTAGGAGCGGCCGAGCGAGGATCCGGCAAGGCGGTCCCGGCACCATGGAGGTTGCGTGGCCCCTTGCGGTGCTGCTGCTGGCGGCTTCGAGCGCCGTGGTGATGGGAGCAGGTAAGTCGTCCCGGGGTGGCCGCGAGTGCTCGCAGGCGCCGGCCCTCGGCTCCACATCTGGTCTCGCGGCTCCGCAGATGTTTGGATGCCGTTGGAAAAGGGCAAACTGCGTGAAGCGGAGGGAGGGAGGGAGGGAGGGAAGGACGGGGCCGAGACCCCCTGAAGCGCAGAATCAGCCAGAGAAGGAGGGCTGTTTCTTGTCTGTCTTCTTCCAACCAACTGGGAATCCCTCCCAGAAGGGAACAAAAGAACATGGGATGGTGGCTCACTCTGCCCCAGGCCCTGGGTCCAGTTCACCCAGTATCTGTCACCCCTGACTGGAAGAGAGTCACTTGACTGGCCAGTGTTTCTGGCAGGAATTTTCCCAGTTTTACTGGGGCCACCAGGATCCGGCTTTGCATGCAAAGTGAGAACTCTACCACTAAACAAGGGCCCTTTGCCCAAACATAAATTAAGTTTCTAGTCCTTAGGATTGGGCATAAAGGGCTGAATTGAACCGGAGCGGGGTCCATTTGCATTAGAAGGGCCCATGGGTCTGTTTAGCCCAAATGGTTGGCTCTGGGCATCAGTGGGTTGGAAGGGGGCATTTTTCCTACCTGGGGATGGCGGAGATGGCGCGGGCGATGTTTGCTGGCAGAAGGGGTCTTTATTGTGGCGCTCCAGTCCAGAGCTGCTCTGGGGGAAGATCTCGTGGCAGTGGAGGTGAGCAGCCAAGCCTTCTATGCACGCCTCGGAGATGAGAGGGGGTGCTGCAGACCATGCAGAACGGCCTTTGGGAAACCAGATGTTTGGACCCCCATAACCCTGCCAGCAAGGCGAATGGACAGGGGTGCTCGGAGTCATGGTCCGAAACATCTGGGGAGTGCCAGTTGTAGGAAAACTGTAGAAACAGACCACAGTCAACATGAGGTTGCATGACCTGCAGAAGCATCTCCTGGGACAGGCCGGGCTGTCTCGGTACACCCCTCCTATCCAGAATAAGATGCCTGGAGAGGTTGCCTTTTCTCTGCTAGGTTGCTTGCAGCCCTTTCTGAAACGCCTGGGCCGTGCGCAGGTCCCAGTGATTTCAGGACAGGTCCTTCCCAGCATCTGTGAGAAGTGCAGCTTTACAAAAGCCCGAAGCATCGCTCTGGCTGACGCTGGAGGCGGGTGGGTTAGGGGACCGCTGCAGGAACAGGGCTGGATTCTGCTTGGAGCTAGGTCCCTTCTTGGAAAGAGAAGCAGCGTCTCTAGGAACAAATCTGGTGACCCTTTTGGAGAGTTCAGTTGCTGAACCTTTAGAAGTGTTTAATTCAGGAGCTGGATAAGCAGTCTTAACAAAACCCTTTGCAAAGGAGAAAAGAAAGAGATCAAAAACACGAGAGAAAGAGAGAAAGACCTTTGCATCTTCATATATGAGACTTAAAGGAGATGCTTCGTGCTTTTTTTTGGTATTGGCCAGCTTGTTCATTTGCACAACAAATGTCTCTCTTTCCTTTCCCACATGAGTTCCATGCTGTGGAGATGTCTGAGAGAGTCTCCGGCTAAACAGAACTCTTGTCTATGAAGTTGTTTCTCTGTCTCCTTTTTCCTTCCTCCTCCTCCTCCTCTTCTACTGAAGGCAAAGCTGAAAAATGGCTCTTTAGGTGTTTCTCGTTGCCTCGTTGAATGTGAACTCCCAGCTAGGTTGGGCAATGGTCAGGAATGATAGGACTTGCAGTTCAGCACCATCTGGAAGACACTGTAACAGGCCAAGCTTTTATCATAATCATACCTGTGTGACATGCTGAATTTTAACCAGTTGCATAGACTTACCCTTCTGGAGAAAGCCCCCAAAAAGAAGATGCAAAGCCGCATCCAAGTTAGTGCTACTTAGAGTAGACACATTGAAATGAATAGAAAGCACAGATCCCATTCATTCCACCAGGTCTGCTCTGAGTGGCATGAACTTCGGATGCGGCCCGCACAATCATGTAAGGTTTGTGTGTGCGAGCTTCGGATCATCAGAACCAGAATCGGCATCCTGGCACGGATGGCTCTGCTCATGAATGTTGCATCCACCTGATTTGGTGGGGATCCCTCTCTCCCTTGCACCAAAGCCGGGGCAGGACATGGGCGCTCTTGGGCTCTGGAAGGCTTTGCCTTCTGGAGGTTTTCGCCTCTTGGACTGGACACCCTTTCGAACAGAGAAGTGTTGTCCCCAGTCGAGGACACTTGGCCCAGGCAGCCCTGCGATTAGAGTGAAGCAGCTGCCCCAGGCAGCGGATTCTGTGGGGTGGCGGCAGCCCTGTGCTGCCCCCCCCAATCCCCTATTGCTTGACTCAGTCCTCACTGCTCTACCCTCCTGCTCCCAGTTAAAGAACCAGCGGTTCTGGGGAAAGCTTCGGCTTTTCTGTATGTGAGGCTTGCCGCTCACCCCACGAGCGAGACAGTTGGGCCAGCCTTCTAGGCAGGTGCACGAAACACTGAGCTCCAACTGGATGGACAGCGGGTGGCCTGTTGTAAAGCCAAGAGAACACCAGCAATTCGAAATATCTGTGTGACGTGGAAACTGGACTTTACTGGGTGCCTTAATATGTAGGTGCGTGCGTGTGTGCTAATGTGTTGGTACACTACAGCATGCACGCGCCTGTTCAAGATCAGGCAGAAAGCAAGAGAGCAAACCCCGAAAAGGGACAATTTGAGCAACTATCCACTTTTTAATTAGACCCCCTCCAAAAGACAAAACTAGGAATGCAATTAAGCTGTACCAGAAAGTAAACTGGGTAGTTAGAAGGCAGAGGCCGGGGCGCCAGCCATCTTTCATTATGTAGGCCACCAGCTTGATCCCATATTTTAAATTACTCTGTCACTTCCAGTTCCTCTCCATTTCTACTATTTCAGGTCTTGAAAATTTGGATACTCACAAACTTCGGGAACTTTTCCATCTTCAGTTCCTCCTGAATGTTGTGATTTTTTTTCAGGCTCACATGAATGTTCTTAAATAATTGCATGCAAGCAGTTTTCCTAATATTATTTTGAATTTTTAATATTTTCCTCAACATTGGTGTTTTTCAACTGGCAAACTCCAAGGCAAAATTCGGAAGCTCGTGAATTCGCAGGATGCAAATTTGGTTCGGTGAAGATAGTGCAAAATTAGGTGCATTTGCTTTAAAATGCAAAGGAGAGGTGTGGATACCAAATAGTTATGGGGCTCAGACCCACAAAAGAAAACAAAAAGGGACGAATTTGCATAATGTAGATTTACATTTGCTTTAACATATGTTCATGTCTTTAAAGGGCCCCGTCTCTTAAAGAAACCCTTGTTTGTTAAAAGGAATGTATGTGTGGGGAGAGAGGGACCTTTCCAAATTTGGGGCAACTCCAGGTGGCCCAGGGGGTCTGATGCAACAGGAATCATGGGGGGGGGCATCGCTTTATGTCAGCGAATGCACAGATTTGGGACTCCAAATAGGACCCCAGTTTTAGTGGGACGTCACGGATGTTGCCTACAAGTAGAACCTTTTCTGGCTCAGAATTTCAGCTCATCCACTCAACAGTTCTACTTTATCCTTGCAATTTGCGCCTCCCACACATGATCTGGTTTAAGTGTGTTGGAAACTATGATGAAATCAAGCTGTGATTTGACCGGGACAAATGCAGGGGGAGAAAAGTTATTCGTACAGTTTAGGAAAGAGCTTTAAAAAATGTTAGCGAGGCGGGGGGCGGGGGAGAGACTCCCGTGATGCCAGAAGAAAAAGAGGAAAGTGCAAAGTTTCAGATATGTTTGCATTTTTACTCCTCTGCAACTGCAGGAGAGGCCAGGAGGCAAAGAAAATGGGGCAATGGGGAAATGAAAATTTTGTGGGCGTTTAGAAAATCTCAGCAGTGAAGGACGAGCCAAGTCGTGCGGGGGGAAGGAGGTAGAGTCTTCCATCGGGAGGTAAGAGGGCCAGCTCATTCTCCTCCTCCCAGATTCATTGAAATAGCACCCCCTCTGCCTTTCCATCAGCGCGCAAGGAAGAAAGGAACATGGGCACTTGCCGCAGGGGGCATGGGAAACTGAAACATGCAAAAAGTTTGGGGCCTTTCCTGATTCTTGACTGCATCCCAGCAAGAGGGACCTGAGCATTGTGGGCTTCGGTTCACACAGGAGGAGGGCGCCCCCCAAAAGCTGCCGTGCTGTCCAGATATTTGTTGGTGCCGGTGCCATCCAGTCACCCCTGACTTATGGTGACCCCATGAGTGGGAATCTCCGAGCTCCAGCAGCCCCTCTCAGCGCCCATAAACTCCACGCTGTGGCTTCATGATGGAGTCCATCCACCCCACCTCTGGTCTTCCTTCGCTTCTTCTGGCCTCCATCTTCCCCGGCACACGACGGCCTTCTCCAGGGACATCCTCAAAATACAGCAGCCTCACTTTTGCCATTTTTGCTCCCAGGGAAAGCTCTGGCTTGATTTGAGGCTCATCTTTCCGCAGGCCCAGCGTACGTGACATTTACCTGGGAGTAAGTCCCTCCAAGCTCGGCGGGAATTGCAGACGGTGCCTCCTAGAACGGCACAGAGCGGCTTGCTCATTCAACCAGCATGAAGAGGTGCTGGTTGGATGTCTCTAAAAGGTGGCAAAAGCAGACACCTTACACCTATTTCTGTATTTTCTTTTAGCCTCTCCGAGCATGAGGCCTAGGAGGCCGTCTTGCATGCTGTCCCTCTAGTTCCACCAGCTCAGATGAGAAACCCATTCCTGGGGTTTTGCTCCATGTCACCTGCTACCTGATTGTTTTAATGGGAGATGCTAAAGTTTGAACCTTCTGCATGCAAAACGGGGGGGGGGGGCTCTGCTTTTACTGCCCCTCCACAGATGGTATTTGCAGATGCTGGCAGTGCAGGATAGAAAGCAGAACAGAAGGGCTCTCCTTTTCCTTTCTTTGGATAAGTCCATCCCTTCCCACCAAATCCCTCTGTTCAAGAAGTTAGTCCATATGATCTTCCTTTGTGCACTGAAAGGAAGGCCAAAACAAATAGGGATGGAGGAGATCCCCTCCCGGAATTTCAAGGTGGTGGTTGTCATTTAAAGCACCAATTTTGAGCAGAGCAGCAGTTACGGGATAGAAGGTATTTCGCCATTTGGTTGTACTCCTTTTCCTTTACTTAACCTCACCCCTGAGCCTGCCGTTCGTTCTCCTGTGGGAAAGCTATAAGCATCAAGTGCTTGTGTGAATGTGCGTTTTTAGTTCAGGTAGGCTATGGGGCAGGGAAGGGCTCAACACCCCCTCCAAGTGCCATTGCTCTAATCAACAAGGAAGCCCCCCCCCCCCACATGCTCTGCTTTAGAGGAGAGAGGGGGACTTTGGGGCCATGCTCAAAGGAGAAACATGCCCCAGGTGGCATTCACAGCCACCTTTCCGAAGGCAGAAGTGCCCAAAGCTTCTGAGTGTGGTGTGGAGACCGGCTGCTGAGGAATGCCCTCCCAGCTTCGATCCTAGAGCTCCTGGTTTTCATTTCGCACATGCTTTAGGCGTTCCCTGGGTTTGCCCTCTCCCCTTTGCGAACGCCCCCGTCCACCCGTAAGACGCGGGGCCCTGCGGGGACTGGCCCTCTGCACACCCCCAGGAGCGGCTGTGTGGTGAGGATATGCTGTCTGGCGCGCAGAGCACTCCTTGAAGACATGCTGCGCCCCACCCGTCATTGCTGGGGGGCAGGAGGAGCGCGCACAGCATCCGTGGGGCGCGCTGCCATCGGCGACCTCCGGGGCCTGGGCTTCCCGCGACGGTCACATGCCGCAAAGAGAACTCAGGCGGGGAATGTCAGAGTCCATGTGCGGCATCTGCTGAATTGCCTCGATGCCACAAATGTTCGCTCGCAACAAGCACAACAACAACAACAGCAGCGACACATTGATTAGGTGGCTCCACTGGGACATCTGGGAAAGCTTGGAGTTCTCGTTAGGCAACGGTGCCTAATTTCTGAGCACCTAGGAAGGTGAAACTGGGTGCATTCCTATTTCGTCTGCAAACTGCGATGTCGGAGCTGCCGGAGGGGCCCTCGTGGTCTTAGCCCCCCCTGTGATGAGCCAGGAAGGGGAGGAGACGGGTGGTCGACATGTGTGAGTGCTCTCGAGGTGCTACCCATTCAAACACTGACGGCTTTTTTGATCCGAAATCCACCACATCACAGTCCAGCGTTCCTCCTTTCAATGCCAGAACGGCAGTCTTTTAACTGTCGAGAGGCGGTTAATCATACGAGCACGATGCCCGTGCTAATTCCGACAACATCGCTCGGATTAGGGTTGCGGTGTCCGCCTGCGAGGCAGAAGGTCCGAGCCCAGCGAGCCGCACTCTAAAAAAAGGAGTTTTGCTTTTGTGTGTCCCCAAAGACGCCTTCTCACCCCAAGGGCTTGCAGATTCCTGCGTTTCTCTGGGTTATCCCCGAATCATGGAAAAGAGGAGTAATAAGGGACCAAAGAGACACTGGGCCCACCCCCCTGCTCAGTTCAGAATGCCGAGTTGCGCCATCCCTCTCGGGCGGCTCTCCAGTCGCATCTTGAACGCCTCCAGTGTGGGGGAGCCCCCCACATCCCTAGGTCTTTGGTCCCATTCTGGTACTGCTCTAAGAATTAGGAAGTACTTCCTGCTATCTGGCTGGAATCCGGCATGAGCCCGTCATGCCACGTCCTGCGCTCTGGGATGATCGAGGGGAGATCCTGTCCTTCCTCTCCGGGAGAGCTTTCCGAGTTCTTGTCGAGAGCTGTCCATCTCCCCTCCGTCTGCTCTCCAGGCCAAGCGTGCCGAGCCAGGGCTAAGCCGCGTTCACCAGCCGCGAGGGATGCTGCTGTGGGGCCGTCCCCAGACCCGGCTTGGTGGCGCAAAGCGCCCCCGCCCATGCCCCTCGCGTGGGAACCCTCCTCCTCTCCTCCCCGTCGCCTCCCAGTCCACACTGCCCCGTTAATCTCGCTCAGACGCAGGCGCTCGGTGCCGCTCGCGTTAGGAATGGCCTCCGAGCAGTCCGATGTCGCCAGGCCGATCTAATCTCCTCGGCTTTTGTGTGAGCCGGCCCCACACGGAGCCCTGCGCTCGGGCCAGGGGGAGCACAATAGCGCGGGCAGATAACGCTTGTCTGTGGAGCTCTGCGTGGCTGCGAGGCGTCTCGTCCTGGTGGTATTTTCCTAGACTGGCAGTGTGGGGTCGGACCCTGGAAGGGAAGGCTGGGGCAGCCTGCGGAGCCCAGATAAGCGGCTGTTTGTCTTCTTCCTGGATGCTGCCGGTTGTGGGGCTGGCCTGCTTGGTACATGGAGGAAATTCAGGACAATAGATGGCAGAGCAGGCCACGTCATGGAGGCAGCTGGGACCGTGACCTTGAAGGGAAGGACTTGGAGGAATCTGCCGCGGCCGGCCGCAGCTTCTCCTCCCTCTTGCCGAGCCGATTTGTCTTCTTGGGTGTCTTATGTTGCCCCCACCCCCATTTTGTATATATTATAGCAGCAGCTGCTGCTTCCTTTCAGCGGAATCAGGAAACTGGGCTTGACACCTGGCTGGAGCCCATGAATCATGTGTGATATATGCGCATACAGATCCTACAGCGTTCCCTGTGCTCTAAATGTCCTAAGCATTTTGGGGGGGGGGGGGAATCCTGCGTCTTTCAGCACTCCCCAGCCAGCGGACGTTTTCGTCTCCGAATCTGCTTGGGAGTGTGTCTTCATCTACTGTTTTGGGATCCATGCGTCGTCCTTCATGCAGGAGCTCCACAGGTCAGGCCTGCAAATTAGCAGCTGCTCAGAAGTCGGTTGAGTGTTCCTAATTTGCTGCATCTAGTTGCTGGCCCTGGAATAGAAAAGATCTGTTTTCCAACAGTGTGTTTGCCATCCAATAAAAACCAGGGTGATAACAGTGGCATTTTTTCCCCATATGTCCTTTGCTTCCGTCATCCTGAGAAAATTCCACAGGAACTGAGTCTGGGAATAACTTAAGTGCCAGACGGGGAGGGTCCTGCTGTCCACCATGGACGCCCCCCCCCCCCCACAGCCCCTGCCTGGCCCATGCATTAGTGGAGCCGAACCCCCCCTGGAGAAAGGTAACTTCCTTGTTCCAATTGTTTGTTGGATGCATCGTGTGATTCCCAGCAGGAGTAGATGTGGCAGGAAATCTACCAGATCCTAAATGCATTCAGCTCATGTGACAATTGAAAGGAAGTTTGCTTTTGCTTTTTACCCTTTTTTTTCAAGGAACTCGAGCGTAATGATCTTGCCTGTTGCAAATCAGCGTTGTTTGCGTTAGGCCGAGAAATCCTGAGTCAGATTCTTCCGGCCATTATTTTGATTCCTAGATAGATCCTATCATTTCTCCCTGGGCAAGGAGAGGCTCCAATTTAAAGAAAGAAAGAAAAAGAGAGAGAGAGAGAGAGAGAGAGAGATCAAACAACATCCGGACTGTTCGTGTGCATTAAATACTCCTGTCCTTTGTCACCCTTCTGTGACGACATGGCCGGCGCTTGAACAAAAATAGCCATTTGCAGTAAAAGTGTGTTCGCCCTGCGTGTGCGAACGCCCTTCCATCCGAACCCCGCTTGTGTGTGCAGAAACTCTCCCTCTCTCAACTTTGTGCTTCCCCGGACCGTTAGGGTGCACCGTCCTAACCATTCATCCTCTTCCTCTGGATTTCCTCCTTCTGGGGGAAACCCACAGTGGCTGACCTCGCTCTTCTTTCCTTTCCTAGGCCCAGTGACTTCGGACTGCATCCTCGAGCCTGTCGGGAAGGATCAGAGTGTCAAAGTGTTGTACACAACCAGCAGGGTGGCAAGCGGCTGCATTAGCCGCGGCCCCGCAGAAGCCGGCCAGGAAGTCCATGTTCTCTTCGTAAACTTCAGCAACCAAGTCAAGGTGAGTCGGGGTATCACAAGCCCAGGCCCTCTTTCCTTGTCAGATTTCCAGGCTGAAGCTGACGTTTCGGGGCTGCTGTTTTTGACAGCTGTTGCTTCTACTTGCTTTCCGGTTGCATTCGGTTGGCTCCGTTTTTATCTTCGTCTAAGCTGCCTCGTGTGGCTTTTGTGTTAAAAGGTGGCGTACAAAAGAATCGTCATCGTCGTTATTCATTCTGTTTCTAATGCTGAGGTCTCCGTCCTCAAACCCGCTGCCCTCCAGATGCATGGGACTGCAATCCCCATCATCCCCAGACATGCATATTTGGGATGCCACCTGCCTCTCCTCCTCTCTTCTCCTTCCCTTCCCTGCCCATCTCCTCTGCTTGATACCTTGTTCTGAAGGCCCCTTCCTGGCAGGCAGGTGGGCTTGGAGAGACGCTGTGAGGTGGCCGAACAGGAAGGCTCTGGAGGCCTTTGCCCAGAATGCTTTGCTCTGAGGAAGGATTGCTCAGAGCAGAGCTTTGGGCCAGGTGCATTCTGGGAAAAGCCACCCCAGATGCTCCCCTGCTGAGGCATTTGCCCCAGGAACCTGAGGCAGCACTCAGAGTTGCATCGGGCACCCTCCACAAGGCACCTAGGGGGATCTCGTAGAGCAGTGGTGGCGAACCTGTGGCGCACACAGCCTCTCTGTTGGCACACGAGCCCAGTCGCCCCAGCATCGCCCCAGCAGCCGAGCATCGGATAACAGTGCACAGAGGGGCCATGCGCATGCTCGGAAAGGAGTCGCGGCGCCAGGCGATGACGTCACGAGCCGCGATTCATCAGCCGCGACTCGTCCGAGCTTTCGCGTGGCCGGTCAGTGCGCTGCCAAGGACAGAGAGAGAGAGAGAGAGACAGATTTGCTTGGACTGGCTGCGAGGTGTTTTTTCTATACTAAAACCTCCATTTTCAGGTTTTATTGCCGTGTTGGCACTTTGGGCCAAATAACTGGGTTTTGGGTTACAGTTCGGGCACTCAGTGTCTGAAAGGTCCGCCATCACTGCCTTAGAGGAAGGCATCACCCGGTGCTCCAGAGACGCCACCCGCCAGTGGCTCTCTCTGGGACGTAGGGTGCAGTCGCTCCAACAGCCTTTCCCCTCCAACGGCGCTGCAGCAACAGAGCGGCCGGCGCAACCCTCCATGGCTCTCCCCTGTCCCGGGCCTCCTGATGCAGAGCCTCGGAGACCGCCTGGGTTCCTTGCAAGAGGACAGACGGGATATAAATGCAACGGAATGATAATTTGGCGGTGCGGAGCCTCGGCAGCCGGAGCCAGAGGGAGGGACCCAGCCCACATCACTGGGGGGCTGGCCCCACTGAATAGGACGGCATGGAGCAGGTCAGCCGTGTCGGCAGATGCGTCGTCACACAGACACGCGCCTTTGCCAGGTGAGAATCTGGCCCTCCGACGGCTCCCAACTCATAGCAACTTCAGGCGAATGCCAACCAAAACTCAGAACAAACCGACTCTTCTTTCTCCAAACGCCAGCTCAAGTTTGTGGTTATTATGAGGCGCTTCACAATTCCACGCACCCCACTCCCCCAGGGAGAAACCGGACGCTGGAGGCACCGTCGCCGCCTCTTCCGGTCCCATCGTCGGCACGTGTGCTGTCCAGGTGTCGCCACGGCACGTGCCAGCTTTCCAGAAAGCAGGAAGCTTGCGCAACGCCCTTCGCTGCTGCCTGGAGGAAAGGGAAGCGTTGTGTGTGCGAGAAGAGCCCGTGCACCAGCGCACCACGGCTATTTCGGGAAGACACAACAGATGCGGTCACAGATTTGCAACCTTGAAGCTGCCTTTTTTAACGCGGAGGTGAAAGACTCCCCAAAGAGCCAGGCTTCTTTTGGCTCAGAGCTTCTGCTAAAGAGCCTCCAGGGCAGCCGAGAATGGCTCCCAACGTCACCCCTTGGGCTGCTGGAATCGTTCTTGGTGGCGCGGCCCATTGTCTGTGGGGAGACGGAGATTATATTCTGAAGTCTGGCGAACCGAGAGTATAATTTCACTACGCCATGCCGATTTCAGAGCTGTCACTGCAGTCGGTCATCTTCCCCTTAACTATGTTCCACATCAGTTTGGGGAAACCTTCCCTCTCTTATTTTAGAGGGCACAGTGATTGGCATCCCGCATCTCTGTTCACGTCGTCCTGTGGTCCCTTCAGCCGAGCTCACGGTACCATTTCTTACCTGCCGTAGACATGGCCGTAGGCCAATTCGGAGTCCCGACTCCAGCCTCGGAGAAGCAGTCTGAGGCCGGACCTGGGAGCCTGAATTCGAAGCACCACACTTCCGTGCGTACAGCCAGCATACGGTGGTTGTTTCCATGGTAGCCGCGGATCCAGGGTTGCAAGGTCCGCCTCGGAGCTTGTGTCCTCTGAGAGGGGAGGAGGGGAACATGACTGCCCTGTGAAGAACCCGGGAATGCCCCCAACTCGCGTAAAACCCTTGAGACAGCCGAGACTTCTAAGTGCTTCAGAGGGCTGGAGCAAGCAGCTTCTTCTGCCCTCCACTGGATCCCCCAAATCGGCTGATCAGAGAAGCACGGCTTGCTCCAGCCCTCTGCCCCCGCCACAGCATGCAGGGCTTTGCGTGGGTAGGTGGGCGAAGTTGTGCCAGGGGAATGCTGGGAACTGGGGGAATGTCACCACGCAAACATGCGATAGGACGCTTCATCCACGGTTAGACCACTGACTCCGAAGTCACCCCGTCCTCCTCTGAGACTGCCAGGCACAGGATGCACAGCAACCTCAAGCGACGTGCCGGTTTGCTTGAGAAATGCACGATCCTGATCCAGGCGGTCAGCCCCTCCGGACACCACTGGAGCCATGAAGCTTGCGAAGCTCGACATACTTACCCCAGAGAAGGTCCCGTGGACCTCAGTGGGACCTATGTCCATCAGACACACGTGGGAATGTGCTGTCAGCCCGTGTTCTCCGGAACGGATGTGCCAGCTGTCAGCTTCTGCCTGCTGGGACGTCCAAGCAGATTAGCCAGTGGCATCAAAACAGGCAACGAGGAGCAGATAAGAAAGAGGCTTGCAAGGCTTCAAAGGGAGCTTTGGCAGCTCTCGGGAACTTTATCTGGCCATCTAGGGCTGTCTCGTTTTAACTGCAGCTTTGTGGCGGTTTGTCTCAGTGGCGTTGTGTGATAATACGGCCTCCGTTTGGCTGTTGAACCCATGCGCTGCCAGAGTGTCCCTTGATAAGCTGCCCGTGTGTTTTGAAAGCACTGCCGGGGCTCCAGAACAACGCCGGCTCCCGCATCCTTGCACAAGTCCCGACTAAACGAGGTCGCGCGAAGCATCCATTCTGGGGAAAACATTCTCCTAGAGTTAGTCTTGCGTGGTCTCACCCTTCGACTCTTCCCTTCTTGGCTGGCTTGTACTTTTGATTTATGTTATTTAATTTCTATAGCAGCTGAAACTCTCTGGGCAGCTCAAAACAGCACATTAAAAATAATAACAGATACATCATAGTAAACATCATAAAAAGTTGACAATACAAAATGTAAACCAAATGCAAAATAGACTTATTATTAGTCTCATAGCCAAGCCCATGACCTGGGAGTTAATTAAAGGCACCACTTTAAGTGGTGGGAGGTTCTCCTTTGCTAGAGATATTCAAGAGGGGTAGAACAGCCATTTGTGACAGATGTTCTCCAATGTCCAACGTGGTACTAAAGGACCAGCGGGCCCAGAAAGTCCACTCGGGGTGTCTACCGGTCTCCCTGATCCTCCTCATTTTAACTGTCTTTCTTTTTTAAGTCAGCTATTATGATTTTTAACTTGGAGACTGGCTTGCTGCGAACTGAAGTGCTGCCATGTAGCGCCATCTTTACCAGGGTACACAAGCTTTGAAGCTTATACTCTGGGTTTTGTGTTTTGGAGTAAGATTCTAGTTCTCATGGTTCTGGATAACAGACTGAATGGAAAAGCAAGGTGGGAAACACCTTTATTCGAAGTCAGGCCACTGGGTTATTTCAATCAGCATCGTCCTGTCCGTGAGAGACCTGCTCAGCTCTTGCAAACCCAAGTCCAGCTTTCAAACCCGTACATCGTGATCGGGAAGACAGTAGTGTGGACTGAATATAATAGCGGCACCCCTTGAAATGCAGCTTCAGGAAGAATTCTGCAGAGGGACAGCAGTAAATTTCCCCACCACTGGCCACGTTAGTAAATTAGCAGGCAATGGAGAAGGAGGATCGTGTGAGACACTTTAGATTCCTTGGAGAAAAAGAGGCAGAATAGAAATATAAAACATCAGCAAATGAAAAGATTCAGGACACTTGTATTAATAGAACTGGTGCCGTCTTCACCGTTCTGTGATTCCTGCCTCGAACGCATCACTGGGTCTCATTGTCTTGAAAGGGTTTTTTGCCCAGAGGGAGTCCCCTTGCAGCTTCTTGTGAAAGATTTTAGACATATGCAGATCTGGAGGTTTAACTGAGCCCCTGGAGGTGCAAACTGGGAGCTTTAACCCGTGTGCCTGGGACAGGGCTGGCTATCAACGGCCGCAGAGGCGGTTCAATCAGCCAGACTCCTAACCAGAGATTAAAGCCCCTTTGCAGACTTGCCGAAGCTGTTCCCTTTCGCGCAATGGCTGCCTGGCTCTGGATGCAGCGCCGGAGACCTCCCAGGCGCCTGCAGAGGATGAGGAGCCAGGTCACCTGCACGTCCCACAGAAATAAATGGCTGAGAGACAGGCAAGGGCAAGCAGGGTTTCCGTTTCCCTCTCGCTTTGTCCCTAAGGCCTGGGTGTGGCGCTGATGCCCTGCATTGTCCGCAGTGAGGGGGAGACGGGGAGACCACCCCGAACGTCCTCCATTCCGCTGGATCTTTGGGCAGGTGGGGAGAGCTCTTCTGCCAGCACATGAGGCTCTGCGGTCCTTCTGATCTTTCTGGCCGCACCATCCCCGCGGTGGGCTTGTTGCTCGTGGGCAGCTCCGTTTCTGGCCGTGCGTCCCAATACCAGGGGGATGACGGGGTTTTGGTGGGTGTTCCAGGGGGGACAAGTTGTCCCCTTCTAGGTTTTCTCCTGTCCGCTCTCGCCACCGGCTAGGTGAGCAAGGGCCGGGCGGTCACAACCCACCCACTCCTGTGCCATCCAAGGAATGCCCGGTGCAGAAGGAGGCTTCCTCAAGGGGGCCCAGGCGCAGTGCCCGCCTGACGTCCGTCGTTCCCAGAGGGGCATTCCTCGGTAGCCACCGGCCTCCGTAGGCAGAGACGGCTGGTCCGGAAGCAGCAGGGGCCTCGATGCCAAGGAAGCGATAGCGTGCTGTCCCGTCCCGTCCGTAAATAGCTTGTAGGGCCTCTTCCCTGCCGTGTTTACATGAGAGGGAGACGGCGAAGGGAGAGATGGGGGCTGCGTGGCAGGAGCCGGCCCTCTGATGTCACGACGGCGGCATTCAGACAACTGGCTCCCAGCCCCAGCCCGGTGACGGGGGCGCGCAGGCCAGGGAGGGCGGCCGTCTCCAGCCCGAGAAGAATTACTGGAAGCCACTTTCTATAATCAGATCCCCGTGCTGGAGGGGGCAGAAGAAAGCCAGCCGCCACGCTGGAGGCGAGGAACAATGGCTCCCGAGAAGGTCCTGGGACAAAAATAGAAGCAGGCCTCCGCCAGGACGAGCCTGCGGGGGGACGAGGGGTCCAGCTCCCCCGGTCCTATGCCCAGATTGGCTGGATGTGCTGGGGGAGGGTGGTGTGTTGTGAAGGGACCACTGAGGCTCTCTCGGTATGCTTTTGTTTTGATTTTTGCTGGCCCCTGAATGAAACGGCTGGGAGAACCGTTCTGGTGACGGGGCCAGGGGCAGCCTCTGCCCTCTGGCTCTTCCGTCCTTTTGCACCTCCCCTCTGCAGATCGGCATCTGTGCTTGGCTTGGACTACAATGCTTATCGGCCCCAGCCAGTGGGGCTAATTCCCAGGGTGATGGGACTTGTCTGGAAATTGCAGGCAGCTGCGTTGGTCCAGGTCAAGGCGCGAGTTCTAGCAATTTTCCTCTAACCAGGAGATCGGGCCGCCCTGAAAACTTGGGCGTTATTTTGCAGCGATGCAAAGAAATTCCTTCTTTTCTTCGCACGCGACCCCTGCTACGTCCAGAGGAAGAGTTGCAGCTTGGGTCAGAGGGGGCTATGAAGGCTAAGGGAGGTGGGGTGCCGGCCAAGCAGCACCCCTGCAATGAAAAGCTACCCATAAACCCCACGAGCTCCTTCTGTGCTTAGACGGAGGGTGGGCAGGGTATATTTGCAAAACTGGGAAATTTGTTGTAAACAGGCACTTTGAAAGGGTGCTGCTAAGTGACGTTAATATTTTCAGTAGGCTGGCTGGCTGGCTCTCTCTCTCTCTCTCTCTCTCTCTCTCTCTCTCTCTCTCTCTCTCTCTCTCTCTCTCTTGTAACATTATTAAGTGCCTAACGGACTGTGAAACTTGTCAAGCCATTCCATGAAATTAACTGGAAATGCGTACTTTCCACCGAAAGACAGGATATGTCAAAATAAACAGATTTATTCCAAGCAGCCCTCTTAGCTGGTTGGAAGAACAGCATTTTCCCAATGGCGACCTGATGGTGCATTGAACAACCGGGGAAATCCCTTCCCTCCTGAACAGCCTGGAGTGCGTCCAGATTTACCCCTACTTCATAGAAACCTATTTACCTGAGTGGGATTTAAAGTAGTCCTGCCTGAATGGAGCCTTTCTTGTGGCTCTCTTTCATTCAAACACATGGGGCTTGTGAAAATGAGGAACAGCCGTCCCGTCTGCCTGTGAATGGGTTGTGTGGAAATGTCTTTAAGGGATCCTGCAAACTCACAATATAAACTCACTGTGCAATATATCTCTTTTTCCCTAACACTTCTATCTTCTTGGTTGCTCCAAATATTTTCCCTCTGGCCAAACAATACAGTGAGATTTCCTTTCTCTTGTCTAAGAAACTTAATGTATCCCTCTGTCTTTTGTCTCCAGGTACCCAGGGTCCAGTTCAGTGTGAATATGACAGAACTTAAAGGAAACCGGGAAACCATCTTCGTGGTGAATTCTAACACTCCCTTTTATGAAGTCAGTATGGACTGCCAACAGAAGCTTTGCCAACTCACCATCATTTCTGTGAGTACCTGGTCTGATGTCTCTTCTTGTAGAGCAAGATATAAGCCGAGAGACTGGAAGGGTAGAAAGGGAAAAGGGTTTAGAGTCCAGGAAAACAGACAATTTCATGGAATGCTATTGGTCTAATTTTTATTTATTTTTACATAGTTATAAACGGCTTGTGTCTGCAGAGTACAAAGCAGTCTGCACGAATCATAAAAAACTAAAAATATAAAACCAATACATAGAGTTGAATGGGGAGAAGACAATGACAACGATGATGTTAAATTTCTGTTCTGCCACTTAGCCATAAAATGTTCTCAGGGCAGTTTACAACAACTAAAATGCAAGATACGTTAATACAAGTACATATAAGCATTTTTGACCTTGCCTAAGATTTTCAAAGAGGAAAAGTACACATTTGGAACAGGAAAATTGTGTATTTCTGCGCACGTTTTGCAAAAGTGTGCCCTTTCCCCTTGAACTCAAGTGTGAAAAACTTTTTAAATGTGCATTTCAAAGTCATTTTTTAAAAAATAAGCGTTTGTTCAAATTTGGGAATTTGACTCGATTAAATTGAATCAGTATGAGGTAGCGACATCATAAGAAAATCCATGGTGAGCAAAATTACCCCAAGAAGGTTTTCATGAATAAACAGAGTTTCAGCTTGAGCCTGGTCAGTATATTGGGAGAAATTATTCCACTTAGAGGGTATCACCACCAAAAATATGCTTCTCCAAAGCATCTCTCCAGTAACGAGATTCCAAGCTGCTAGGGATTTGTATACCAGGAAAAAACCATGAGAGCTTGCCTGGTGTATGTATATTGTACACTACAGTTTGTGCACTTGTGTACTGTGGCTCAGTTTGGCTCAGAAGATGCCAAATTCGGCTGGTAGATAACCACACACAGTTGCATAGCCACAGAGCTGATTACTAGCTCCAAGTTGTGGACCAGAGTTAAGCACAGCTAAACCACCTTCCAACGGATTGTGGTGTAGCAGGGATACAATTCTCCAGTCGGGGCAGAACACTTGGTCTCCAGATTGGCTTCTTGGAAAAATGTCATTTATTTAAGTATTAGATTTATATCCTGTCTTTCTCCCAAGGAAATGGCACTCAAGGTGGCTGTTCTTTTGGCTGCAGAAGCGCTCAGATTATGAATTCTTTTTAAAAGAATGCCTTTGAGACCCTGCTTCTATTCTTAGGCGCTGACATCTCTATCTGTTTCCATTCCGTGTCACCTTCACACATGTTCACCCATAAATCTCGTCCATCCTTTTCCTCCTTGAGCTGCAACTTAAAAAAAAAATCAGCAGGTTCCATTCACGCAACCACATTTTCAAAGAAAGATGGGCGCATATTTTCTCTCCAAATGTGCATTCCTAAACATCTTCTCATAAAAGGCGGATGTATGATTGTGTTCCCTTGCAAAGTACACCTTTCTCAATTATGTTCTCCAGAAATACACATGGAAAATTTTGCAGCTGTGAACTGTACCGCTACAGGGCTATCTGGATATATCCCGGTCTTCTACAAGAAGTATTGGGTCAGGCTGCTAAATTTCAGATTTTTGCCAATGGCGGTGACTCACACACTGATCTTTCTCATCCATCACTGGGTTTGTGTGCCACTTTTCCATATGAGGGGCCTGAAGCAACTTGTAAGTTGCTGTTGTTGTTAGTTGCGAAGTCAGGTCCAACCCATCATGACCCCATGGACAACATTCCTCCAGGCCTTGCTGTCCTCCACCATCTCCCAGAATCCACTTAAGTTCACACCCACTGCTTCAGTGACCCCATCCAGCCCCCTCATCCTCTGCCGTCCCCTTCTTCTTTTGCTGTCAATTGTTCCCAGCCTTAGGCTCTTCTCCAGGGAGTCCCTCCTTCTCATTAGGTGGCCAGAGTATTTGAGTTTCATCTTCAGGATCTGGCCTTCTAAAGAGCAGTCAGGGTTGATCTCCTCTGGGACTGACCGGTTTGATCGCCTTGTGGTCCAGGGGACTCGCAGGAGTCTCCTCCAGCACCACAATTCAAAGGCCTCAATCCTTCGGCGCTCAGCCTTCCTTATGGTCCAGCTTTCACAGCCATACATTGCAACTGGGAAAACCATCGCCTTGACTATACACACTTTTGTTGGCAGGGTGATGTCTCTGCTTTTTAGTATGCTATCTAGATTTGCCATAGCTTTCCTCCCCAGAAGCAAACGTCTTTTAATTTCTTGGCTGCAGTCCCCGTCTGTGGTGATCTTGGAGCCCAGGAAAATAAAATCTGTCGCTACCTCCATTTCTTCCCCATCTGCCAGGAAGTGAGGGGATCGGATACCATGATCTTAGTTTTCTTAATGTTGAGTTTCAAGCCAACTTTTGCACTCTCCTCCTTCACCCGCATCAAGAGGCTCTTTAGTTCCACTTCACTTTCTGCCATGAGTGTGGTATCATCTGCATATCTGAGGTTGTTGATATGTCTCCCGGCAATCTTAATTCCAACTGGTGATTCAGCAAGAGGAATGCAGATATAATAAATACATAAATAAATTGCAGTAGTGCAACATTGCCGAGGTTACAATCTTGCTGGCGGGAAGCAGCCTTGACTTGAAACGACTCCTGATGAAAGCAAAAGAAGGAAATGCAAGGGCTAGCACCGCGGCTGAATTTAAGAGAATAAAAATCATTACTACAGAAGAATTACGCAACTTTACTGTTCAGAGTGAAGACATTGAAATTGTGAAACATTTTGTATACTTTGGCTCAGTCATCTGTTCAAAGGGAGACGGCAGCCAAGAAATCCAAAGAGGACGGAGGCGTGGGCAGCCAGCGATGGCGGGACTAGGAAAGATCATCCAATGTAAAGACCTTCCCTGGAGGCCAAGGCCAGGTTCACCCACACTGTTGCGTTCTTCACAACCGCTCTGTTTCAGAGTGAAAGCCGGACAGCGAAGGAAGCTGGCAGGAAGAAAATGGATGAAGATAACCTTTCAAGTTAGGTAATGCCAGGGGCCACCACTGGGAAAGCTCTGTTTTCCGTGGCCACCTCCCTTGCTTTCCACTGAGAGGGGCCTGGGCAGAAGGGTTTCCCCAGGTACCCTCAAGGCCCCAAGCGATGCAAAACGAACACTTCGAACAGGTTCTGGAGTCCTTCACCGAGCTTGGGTTGGACACAGTGGCCTCTGGGCCCCTTCCAGCTTGACTCTTCTGTGATTCTGATTTAGGCTGCAACTCATTGGGAAGGAAAAAGCATTCTTCAGTAAGGTATAACTGCTATTGTATGGGTGCAGTTTGGCAAGCCAGTCCTTCACTGATGGTATATGGAGTCCTGCTTTTCCTAACTCTCTTTCTGTTCCCCATCTCGTTTGTTAAATCTTTCATCCCTCGTTGCTCCTTTTCTGGGAATTGGCACCTAACAGCTGGAGCCATCTGGAATAACAGCCAGCCCCACATCTGGAAGGAATCACATACCAGTCTCAGCCTTCACTGAGTCAGAGATAAAGATGAGCTGCAGGCGCTGGAGTGGAAACCGAGGCTGACAGCCGTGGCAGTGGAGAGGAAACGAGTGAGACGCCAAATGGTCAGTGAAGAAGGCCGGTCCATTTTCTGCAGTAGCAAGGGACTTTCCGCAAAATTTGTTATCTCTACCAGTCTGGGACGCTTCTGCATTGTTTTGCTTTAGGGGCAGACCTGACAATGCGATGCTCACGCACAGACACACGTGTCGCACGACAGTGCTGTGAATGGCTGCCGTGTTCTTTCTCTTCCACAACTTTCCTCATCCTGGTTTAATAAGAAAGCACAGCAGTTGCTCAGTGCTTTGAGTTACGCAAAGTGCTTCATACGTATTATCTAGTTCCAGTCCTTGCAGAAACCGAAGCAAGAATGATTCGGCTTCATCTTGAGGACTGGATGCTTGGATCAAGGCTGATAGGTAACTGTCTTAGCCACTAAGACCACCTCTTGCGTTTGTGGCAGAGGAAAGATTTGACCTAGAGATTTTCCAGATTGCACTTCTGCCTTGTAGCTCATCTACTGCCCCAGTTCTTCAGGTGCTCTGACTTACGTGGCCTTGTTCCAAGGTACAACCAAGTCATTTGGAATTTCCCACCGTTTCATTTTTCTTTCCCAAGTATAGGAACAGTGCACAAATCCTTGTTTGCTGCAGTTTTCTGTTCCTTCACTTTTTCTTTTGCTTTGTTTTCTGCTTCCCACTGTTCCTGATGCGTAAGAAATATTGCAAGATATGGCAGGGCAGTGTTTCGGTGTGCAGGAACACGTGAAACTTCGTGCTGGAAAAGAGAATTGAGTGGAGAACCACTGCCGGTCAGACGCAGGATTTGAGGGGCAAATATTCTGCCAATATTCTTCTTGGTGTCTGACCAAGAAGCCATGGCATGCCGCTCCACAATTCCTGGGTTAACCGGCCCACAGATTCCCACTGAAAGCTGCGATGAATCCATCAGGGCCATAGCCTGGAAGGCCCCTTCGCCCAGCTGATGGGGGAAACCTCTAAGGGGGGTGAGGGGAAGGGAGTTTGCCAGCCCCACGGCCGCCCATAGCAGGCGAAGGAGGCCTCTTGCGATGGTCCGTTTCCTCTGCCCGTGAATTGATGGGAAGGCTCCTCTGTGACGCACAGTACTTGGGAAAACTCCCATTTCCGTCGGCTGTTTAGAGTAAGGTCAGAGATGGCGCTTGGCTCCAGCCGGCTCAGCCTAGCTCGCAAGCTTTGTTAATGAAATAAAAACTCCTTTCCTACTTGTGTCTAATAATAATTAAAAAATAGTCTGACAATGGGGGCGAGGCAGGGGCAGACAGTTCTCCATTCTCTGCCCGGCAGGAGGTCAGGAGGCCAGGCAGGGTGGCTGGGTCACCTCCTGTCCCCCCCCCCCCGCCCCACGCTGCCGGCTGGCAAAGGGGGGGCCATGAGCCATGACAGACGACGGGTGAGCCAGCGGGCCCTGGAAAATCCCCGCGTGATGCCATGCTGATTCAGCCTTCCTCGTTGAGCAACCCGCTCCCGCTCCTTCCTTTAGGGTGCTCTGAAAGCATGAGCGGGGTGTTAAAAATGTAGAAACATATAAGCAACAAGGGGATTGTTGGTGAGAGAGAGAATCAGGCACAGTGGAAATGGCAGCCTTCCACACGTGCTGGAATCCACTTCTCGGCTCTGCCCGCCAGCCTTCAAAAAGGACTCCTCCAACCAGCCTTTTCCAACTGCTCCAGGTGGAGAGAGGTGTAAGGTTTGGCCTGGGAGACATGAGACTGTTCCCTGTTTTGCCGTGAATTTACTAGCGAGTCTTCCCGGCTCATCCCGCTCCACAGGGTCATTAGGAAGATTAAACAGGAGACCTGGTTGCAGATTGTCCGAAGTAGCTTAGGGAGTAAATGCAGGCTGCAGCAGATGCAAGATGCTATTCCTGTCCAGCCACAAGGCTTGCTGAGAAACCCGGTGGGCTCCCCTTCTGTTGTTGCGACGGCTCAGATAGAAATGATGTTGGTTTGCTGTCCCGAGCTCCTTGGAATGAAATGCAGTGTGGTGTAGTGGTTAAGAGCATGGGACTAGGACTCAGGCGATCTGGGTTCGAGTCCCCGCTCAGCCATGGAGCCAACTGGGTGACTTTGGGCCAGTCACAGACTCTCAGCCCAACCTACCTCACAGGGTGGTTGTTGTGGGGATAAGATGGAGGAGGAGAATGATGTAAACTGACTTGAGCCCTTTGTAGGAAAAAGGCAGGATATAAACCGAAAAATAAATAAAATAAAAATAAAATAAATATTTCTTAAATTCCCCTTCCCCTGGAGGCAGTTTCTAGGACCTACCTGGGGGTGACCTACCTGGTTGTTCTTAGACCTTAGTCCGTTTTTCCAAGGTAGGATTGAAACGGGGAACACCTGCCTGCCATGCAGCACCCTGGGACGCCATAAAACCAATCCATTTACTGCGATATACTCGTTCGTGCAAAAGTGTCCTCGGATGGTGTATATCTCCCCCCCCAACCCCATGCACACTTTCCTGATGCGTTTGGTGAACGCATAAAGCGGCAGTGAAATCTGGGGAGTGAGTGGATCGCGCAGGTTTTAAAGGGTTCTTGTTTTTCTGCAAAACCTCCTTTAGCAAGTTGAGCGACTGTTCTTGTCTCTCAGCAGTTCTCTTTTGATTATCCTTCTGGCACTTCCGCATTGAGCTGGCTATGAGCGGGACTGGTTGCCTTTTAATTAATTTCATCTTGGGATGAAAATCAATCCAATGAGGCCTCCTTCAGTCATGTCGATTCGTCATCATGTTGACGTGCAGCAGTATTAATATTATTTTTAATAAAGAGAATTTCTTTAAAAAGTAGAAAAGCCCAGATGCTGCTTGTTTTGATGCTGTGGCTGCAAGTCCAAGCATTCCTTTTAATGCTAGCCAACTTCACAGGACTGCTTGTTGACATGGCTTTTTTTGGAGCCTGCAGCAGACAACAATAGGTTTAAAGCCACATTGATCCTGGGAGAAGATAAGCTCCAACTTCTTTCTGACCTCTCTCGCTCTTCTTGCAGAGGTGACTGTGGGGTCAGGGAAAATCTCTGTTTCACATCTCGTGGGCTAGAAAGTGTAAAAATAATTTTGCAAACGGTTGTCAATAGAAGCGCCCGTTTGCCAAGTACCGCTTCCTATTTCCTTCGTGGATGCCCAACAGCTTAAGCTCCGGCTCATGCCGCTGGCCGTAATTTTGGAGTGGAGGCCGAGCCAAAGGGGAAGTGCTGACTTACAGAGGGCCTTTACCCGGAATATCGGCAATCCAACATTTCAGAGATGAAAACATGAATGCTGTTGAGCTAACGGTAGATCTGGAGAATGGAGGCTTCCCTGTCGCCAAAGCTCAAGCATCCATTGCCCCTTGGTCTCATCCAAGGGCAGAGTGTCCAGTGGTGCTGGTGGCCCAGCATTCGGTGGCCATGTGCCCTTTGCCAAGGACAGTCCTCTATCTGAAGGCCACCCACCGACCCCATGGACACTGTCGTGCTGATTTCTAAATTAGCGGCTCCAGTGGTGACGTTCTCTTGTGCGAGTCCCACTGAAATGAATGGGCATTTGTGCTTAGCACTGATTCCTTTTCTGACACTTGTGCAGAAGAACTTTGCATGGATTGTGCCACCCGTTTGTCATGACAACTTAAAATCTGGCCAGGGCAACTTCTTTCCTTTCCTTTCCTTTCCTTTCCTTTCCTTTCCTTTCCTTTCCTTTTCTTTTAAACTTCTTTTATATCGTTTATATTTTTTATTTATTTTATATTATTAACTTTAATTTTATATTGTTATTTTTGTATTGTATTGTAAGCCGCCCCGAGGCTTCGGCAAGGGGCGGCATAGAAATGTAATAATAATAATAATAATAATAATAATAATAATAATAATAAAATGGCCACGTGCTTCCTCAAATATCGGTAGCATGTATAGCGCTATACGTACATATAGTCCATGTAAAGAGGCGTTATTTTAATTTCTTATTATTTATTTGCCTTGTAAGCTGTCCCCTTAGGCAACTGGGTTCCAAAAGCTGGCATTACTGGTCTGACCAGTTACATGGAGCATTGGACACCCTCCTTGCAACAGGATCGAGGGATCAGCAGAAGGCAATCCGTGTGCCCAAAAAGCCAATTGTCCAATCCAGATTAGGGGCAGAATTTGATGTGCGGTCATGCCCTCCTAAGCCCTGTATGGCCTGGGACCAGGCCGCCTGAAAGATGGCCTTTCCCTCTGTGAGGCTGCCCAGACAGGACAGTCCTCAGAGGGGGACTTTTCTGGGTAGCCTCACCAAAAGAGGCGTGTTTGGCAGTGAAACAAGGCAGGGCCTTCTTGGTGACTGCCCCCAGTCTGTGGAACTCCCTGCTGAAGGAGGCTAGGTTGGCGACCTTTCTGCTGTCCTTCTCCTGCAGGGCCGAAATACTTGTATTCAAGAAGACCATTGCTATAAAGGCTACTCTGTTGGGTCCTGTGATTTCTGATGGTTTGGTTCTTGTGCTGTTATATGATGTTTAAAGGTATCGCTTCATTCTTTTGAACAAGTTGCATCGAACCTAGGATTGCGGGCTTCCTTGAGTGCCACTCTCTGCATAGAAAGCTGGGGTAAAAATGGAATAAATAAAAAAGCAACCATCCACAAGATCCTGTGGCAGCCCAGGACCCCTTTTCCATCCTACGATTCAGTATTTCATTGCCTCATCTTTAAAGTTTCTGCCAGGCTTCGAGAAACCCTGCAGTAGGCAGGCTTGCATTATTGAAACAACCCGCGCATAACCCATGGTCTGTTGTAGGCTCGCGTGGGGTTGTTTAGCCTTCACGTAACCCACAATGAACTGCAATGCAGCACCCAAAGCTGGCCGGTCTCATCCAGTCTGGCCCAGGGTCTTAGGACAGAAAAGTCAGGCCAATATGGTCACGGTCAACCGCAATGTATTCCTCAGTAATGAACTCAGACGCAGACATATCGCTTGAAGGATCTGTTCCCATTTTCCTGTTCTTCTGCAGACCCGTACCTTGAACTTGCTTGCCGGGCCCAACATAAAAAGGAACACAACCAACCTGCCTTTGTCCGGGAGGGAGCTTCTCAGCTGGGCCAAAGCAACGTTCGGGAGGGTCTCTTCCTTCGCCGAGTTGGAAAACCCCCAGTGGATCCACTTCCAAGTGGGCAGAGGTCAGTCTCCAAAGAATGGCAGCTCCTGACATGCCCATGGTGGGCATGTCGTGAGTGGACCCGGCTGGTGCCGGAGGTCAGACTAGATGGCCCGGGAGGCCCCTTCTGACTCGCTCTGTTTCTCTGTTTCTGTCGAAATTTCGCCATTTCGCTGTTGTAGAACCTGATGTGCTTCCACTGTATTTCAATACGCATTCGGCTCATCTGCAAGCCGAGTGCTTTATTTGCATTTTGTGGGATTATATACCTGTGAACAGGTCTGGCTTCACCCAGGCTGGGATTGCCCCTGGTTGGAGAAAACTAGACACTCTAAGTGTCCAGTTGACACCCCGCCATGGTGCATCCCTGCAGCTCCCGAGGGGGGTGTCTCCTGCTCCTTTCCCCTGAGTAGGGGAGGATAGCCTAGGAGGAGAGCGGGGGCGGCTTTAGGATCCCGTGTCTTGCCCTGCTCATCGCCCCTGGCTGCACACGGCTTGTTGCTCAAGGAAGTCTTCCCCTTAGTGGCCGATGTTACTTCAGGGGCAACCACTTGGGCTTATTTAAATAATTTGAAATTAATGCATGCCTTTTGGAAACAAAATCACCACGGGGAGCACATCTGTCGGGTCCCTTTGGCACTCGTGCCAAGTTTCAGGGGTCTGGTTACACAGTCTTGGTGCTGAGAGACAAACGGATAGGTGTCTGCGTGGTCCTTTGACCATCAGAGCTGGGGAAGGCAGATAGCAGCCTAGGCGTCTCCTTTTCCTGCGGATTAGCTCCACCCTGACTCTCCCCACTCACGGATTGCTCCTTTTCAGAGACCAGCACGGCTGAGAATTGTATCCCTGAGAAAAATTTCAATGCTGAGCAGTACCTGGAGGCCGAGATCCTCTCCCACAACACGGAGAGCTTCCTGCGGTCCGACAGGCGTTCCCAGAAAGAGGCCCATATTGTGTGGCTTCAGGACAACAGGTATTTTGCTTGTATCCATCCAAGGGCAGCCCTGAGAATAAGCTGCATAAGTTAGAGCCTTGCAGATGTGCCCTGGAACGTGGGCTTGCCCTTTTGGTGCCCAGCCGTTTGGCAAGGATGAGCTCCGAAAGCTGCACCAAGCGTCAGGGAACTCATTCCGCAGTCGGGAGGGTTCAGTCGCGATTAAGAGGGGCTTAATTGTGCAATAGGATTGCTAGCAGCATGCATGCACACCTCTCTCCACGCAGCAGGGGAAAAGCCTGGTTCCCCCCCCGTGACCACCCACAACCCTTGGTGGCCTGGCGAGTGTCCACTGCCTGTTGCAGCTCTTGTAAACGTGGTGGATTGAGCAGGACGTTGTGCTCTCGTAAGCCAAACATGTGCTCTGCAGGCTCTGGAGACAGATTTGTCCGGCCCTTGAATTATCAAGAGTTTGCAAGCTTGCACTGTGCTTCCAAAATTCTAAGGGGCGGCATAGAAATGCTATAATAATAATAATAATAATAATAATAATAATAATAATAATAATAATAATATGTTGGTGGGCCATAGAAGGAAAAGCAACAGCGAAAATAAATGAAGACGACAGATCGCCTCTGGTGCCTAGCAGGCTGAGCGATATGCAGAACAAACCCATGTCAAATTGTGATGCGGCCGTGTCAGGGTTAGGCCTTGGTGTGCATTGTCTGGGAGAACATGGTGAGCTCTGTTTGAAAGGCAAAGACCTGCCCAACTAACCAGACACGGGTTCTAGTTCCTACGCGTCCATAAAGCTCACAGCTTCACTTTGGGCTGGTCCTCGTTTCCGGCTCATATACTTTGCAGGTTGTGGCGTGCATAAGATCTAGAGGAGGAGGAGAAGGGGTCAGAAGGCAGAATATGGCTGGAATGGGGAGAAAACAAAACGATATTTATTGAAGCCTGCTTTTGTTTTTCAGCACGCTGACGGTGGACCTAAACTTCAAGGCGCCGTGCAGTACTGGAGGATCAGCACAGCAATTACTGATCATTAAAAGTCACGACGGTCTGGTTTGGAACTTGAAGGAGATGCCTGCATTTGGGAATTTAATGGTGAGAGTGAGAAAGAAATGCCTTCGGTCTCTTGTATCACCAGCATTACATTTAGTACGGAGAGCACAAAAGGAGTTTCTTCAAAAGAGCAGAATGTGAACGGAACATCCTATTTGAAAAAAGGAAAATAAACATGACCCTGGCTTAAAGTGAGGAGAGCAGGTCTGGTCCAGGCCCCCAGGCTAGTCTCCCCACTGAGTGAGGGCAGATCTGGAGTGGGGCAGGGATGAGGAGCAGTTGGCGGGTGGCTCTGACCCACCAGCATCACCGAGCGAAAGGATTCAGACTCAGCACGGCGACCAAACCTCTTGGAGTGGGAAGGAGACTCTGCGGAACAGGGAAGGTTTGGGCCATTTTAAGAGGCATCAGAGCGAGGGAGTGGCCCAGTTCAGCCCAGTTCAGGCTGTCCCCCATTCCCACCGTCTGCCCCTCAGGCTACATGACAGGAGGAAAATGTGTCCCTCTGGACGCAGCTCCGTCTTGAAAGGACCCTTCCTTTGAGTTATGATGGTTACTGAATCTGCCGAGCTCAAATGCAGGACGACGCTTCTGAGGTTTGTCTGTAGAGGGAAACTGTAGCGAGGGACAGGCTTGGTAGCCTGTCACAGACACTCAGCCCGACCTACCTCACAGGGATGTTGTTGTTATCAACAGGGTTATCACGGGCTCTGAACCCAGTCCAGGTCTGGGCAACAGATGAGGCAAACAGATGCATTTTTATAAAGATATCCTGTCTGTCTCGTGGCTTCTTGCCTCCCTTCCCCACGGCAGGATGCAGGAGCCCGTGTCATCTCTCGGGGGACACAAAGGACACTTCTGCTGTAGACCAGTGCGCAAGCAAAATGACTCTGCCGGGAGAAAATCAGGACTCTCTCCACGGAAAAGGTGCTTGCTAAACTTTGGGTGTCTTGTGTTTCCTTCTGCAGATATCTGGCAAATACAAAATGAAGATCTTTCCCAACAATTTGATTAACGGTTCTGTAATGCCGGACACCAAGGAGGAGCTGATCCAAGTAGCTTGCAACAACTCCGCCTTCATTGCTTCTTACACGGAAATCCCGTCCGCCAAAAGCATCACTCTTGAGTCCGTCAGGACCTGTGGTGAGTTTGCTCGGTCCGCTTGAAGCACTGGATTGGGGGGAGGGTTGGGCGCCATGGAGTCCACCCTGCCCTCCACGCAGCGGAGCAGAAAATACTGCTGAGGGCTGGCTGCCCGGCGAAGGAGACCCCGCCACCTTCGGGGGGAGCCTGCTCCCCTGTGGAAGCCGGGGGGTGTGGCCGGCCTGCACTGGCCCTGCCGTTGAACACGTATGCTGAGCTCCAGACTGTCCCCGAGGGAGAGGGAGTGGGCACGTGTGTGGGCCGCTCCCGTTCCTGTGCGTGCGTCACGCGATTGAGGGCCAAGCTGAGATCTGTGCGGTGGGTCCCAGGCTGCCCCCCATAATGACAGTGACGTGCAGGGCAGCAGAGGGCCGGCTCTGCCACTGGATCGGGTGGTGCAGCCGACTCGGGCGGCAGCTGCGGGAAGGTGGGGGCAGCCCGGTAGTTGATGCTGCCGGCCCTTCTCTCCCATCTTGGACAACATGGAAACATAGAAACTGAGCGAGTCAGAAGGGGTCTCCCGGGCCATCTAGTCTGACCCCCGGCTCCAGCCGGCTCCGCTCACGACATGCCCACCATGTGCACGTCCAGCCTATCCTTGAACTCCCGCACCGATGGGGCCTCAACCACCTCCCGCGGAAGCCCCTTCCACACCCTCGGGGTCCCGACTGTCAGGAAGTGCTTCCTGGTATCCAAATGGATCCTTGGCTCCCTGAGCTTGGCTCCGTTGGAGCGCGTCCTGCCTTCCTCTGCAGGGGAGAACAGGTCTCTACCCTCCTCCGTGTGACACCCCCTCACATACATGCATGTCGCCAACGTATCCCAACATGTTGGGATATGTGCCCTGTATGTGTCAGATGACCTGCCCTGCACCCGCTAACCTCACGAAGGCCCCCCTGCTGCCGTGGAAAAGCTCCCCCATTGCTGGTGTCGAAGCAAAACTCAGCTGCAGTTTCTCTGTATGGCCACACCATTTATTTATTTATTTATTTATTTATTTAAACATTTTTAATAAATATTTAATTAACTTTTAATAAATGCCATTGGCCCCGGGACATGTCGGCCGGTTTCTTGCATGCTTCGTCCCTCCAGGTTCAGTCCCAATCTTTTTATTTATTTATTTATTTAAACCTTTTCTGTACCGTCCCATCCCAAACATCTCGGGATGGTTTACAACAATATTGATAAAATAGAATAAAAATAAAAGTAAAAAAAAAAAAATGGCAGCATCCAGTGTCCGGTGTAAAACCACCCATTAAAACAATTAAGAATTAAAATATTGGGAGAATAAAAAGGAGAGAAGCGTTGGCACCGGGAGAACCTCTCTGGGGAGCGTATTCCACAGTCGGGGTGCCACCGCAGGGAAGGCCCTGCTCCGGGTAGCCGCCCCGCCGATCTCTTTCCAGGACGGCTCCCCGAGGAGGGACTCTGCCTCTTCCGATGTTTGGGGAGGGGTCCTTGCTGAGCGAGCCCCCCTCAACACGCCTTTTGCTGCTCGATTTAGGAGAACCGAGGATCACGACGACGGCCGAGACGCAATCCAAGCAGAAGGGCATGACAAGCATCATCCAGACCCTGATAAACAATCGCAAATCCTGGCAGTGCTTCCCAAGCGGCATCACGGTGGCCTTGCTCAAGAATGACCAGCACGTGAGTATTATTATTATTATTATTATTGTTATTATTATTATTATTATTATTATAACATTTCTATGCCGCCCCTTGCCGAAACCTCGGGGCGGCTTACAACATGATAAAATACATTGAAATAGACCCTCTGTGCTTCCCGGCCCAGTCCAGGTTGGGGCCACGGAGCAAGCTAAGCAAGGAGACCCTCGCAACATCCCTCTTGCACCTGCCCCCCACCTTTGCCGGCCACGTTCTCCCACCTAGTCCAGTTTTTGCTAATGCGTTATCAGAAGGTCGTGTGGCCCTGTGTTGAAAGCTTTGCTAATGTCGAGGTAGTCCAGGCCACAGATTATGGCCACAGTGTTTCCTTTGCCCATCTGGGAGGTTACCTAGTCAAAAAATGAGATTAAATTAGTCCGGCAGGGTTTATTTTGGATAAATACATTAATCACTGGATTTTCTTCAAGATGCTTGCAGATGGATTTTTTAATCGTTTGCTCCAGAATTTTTCCAGGGATTAATGTCAGACTAACCGGTCTATAGTTCCCAGGTTCATCTTTTTTCCCCTTTTTGAAGATAGGGACAATATTAGCCCTTCTCCTGTCATCTGGCACTTCTCCCGTTTTCCAAGATTTATCAAAGAGAATAGCTAGAGTTCCTCCGCTAGCTCTTTGATGACTCTGGGTTGGAGTTCATCGAGCCCTGGAGATCTGGAAGTGTTTATTCCATCTAGGTATTCCCTGACCGTTTTTCTGTCAGTCTTGGGCTGGCATCTCTCACTTCCAGCTTGTACCTCCTCTTGATTGCAAATTTCCTTGTGGGATTAAAAAGACTGAAGCAAAGACTGAGGCCTTTCCTTGTGTATTATCACTCTGCCACCCACTTTAAATAGCTGGACTCCCTCCTCTTTCTCTTTGAAGTCAAACTTTCTTCGGAAAGGACGGGATATAAATGTTTATATTTATGCATATAAATAAAATAAAATGAAAATTATAATAAAATAAAAATGTTTATATTTAAATGTTCGTTTAAATGAAACTGTGTTCCAGTCCATATATTAGTCCAGGAAGTGTGAATTCAGTGGTTTTACATCAAAAATATGGCCAAAATCTAATCGACCCTCAAGCCAAGATAGGGTTGTGGAGAGAAGCATGGCAAGGATTCGCCCAAATAATATTTGGCATCCCTTTTTCCCCGCAACAGGTGCCAGATATCATCACAGAAGTCACGCTGCAAGACCCCAGCTGCAAGGCAACGGAGAACAAGACGCATCTAGTCCTGCAAAGCCAATTGGAAGGTTGCTTGACTCAGCTGGAAGGGGACACCTTTGCGCACAACGAGGTCCGTAGCACAAAAGAAAGGGGCCGCCAGTTCCGTCACCTGCCGCGGGTCTGTCTGTCTGTCAGTCTTATAGCAGGGCCCAGAATCTTAGTCCCGGGGGCCACGTCTGGCCTTCCCGAGGACCAAAACGGGCCCTCTGGAGCTTCCCAGATGGGCTTGCTTTTTTAACCCAACCACATCCCTTCCCTGCTTACTGCTGAGCATTTTCCTGGCTTTCTGGCAGAAGCACTCTGCGTGCTTGCCAACTCCAGAACTTGAGCATCCTACACGGGACGGGGGGAAAAATGTATCCTGTGAATTCCACCAGGCAGTGGCGTTAAGTGCCATAAGATCACTCCCCGAAGCTAAACTCAGCCAGCATCTTGAGTCCTGCCCTGGAGCGCCACCCCCTTGAGCTTTGGCTCCACCCCCAAGAACTTCTCCAAAATGGAATTTGGCCCGCGGGCTGCCGAAGGTCTAACAGCCCTAAACAGTGTTCATTTTACCCCACCTCTTTCCCCAAAGAGTTTTGGGTGACTTCCCTGCTCCTCTGACAAATACACGTGCTTTTGTCTGTGAAGCAACCCTCGGGTTAGGCTGGGTAGCCGCTCTGAACTAGTCACAGACCGTCGGCCTCACCCTTCTCACGGTTTTGCTGTGAGCTAAAGTGTAGAGGCGACTCCGGGACTCCCCGGAGTGCTAACTGCCAAGAAGATCTGAGGCTCAGGTCCACAGGACTAGAAACCTGCATGAAAGTGTATACGCTAGCCTGCATGTGCTCGAAGGACTTTGTTTAAAGGACCCTGTTTCCAAAGGACACCCACCATTTGTAGAAAATGAAGTCTGGGAGGGCATTTGAGTCCAGAAAACAAGTCAGGCAGGAGTCAAGGGTTATGGGCAGCGGGAGGGGAAGCCCATGTGGGTCAAAAGTCAGTCGGGGGGGTCATTTCAGCTCAGGATGATGGGCGGAAGACTTCCCAGAGATTCGGGGCACCCAATGAAACCCCTGATGGCTTGCCCACGAATGCCAGCTCTCTTTCTTGGTGGGTCAGAAATGGAGTCCTCTGAAACAGAGCACAATACTGCAGATCAGTCCCCCCATCAGTAACCAGTCCATGATTTCGTTTTCTTTTTTCTTGTCACACCAGCTGGTCGTTACTCTCTCTATGCAACAGGAGAAAGTTAAGGTAAGAAGTACCTTTTTGTTGAAAATGGCCCTGTTTTTGTTTGTTTTCCTTTAAATAAGGTGGCAACGGTGAGTCCGTTACCCAGCCAGCTAGATGAACAGGTTCAAAACCTTTCGATTGATTAACAGATTTTTGCAGGCATCTGTAAAAAGGCTAAGAGTTGACATCCAGCACATCTGAAAGGCATCAGCTTGGAGGGGAAAATGGAAAAAGGTTCCCCTGTTTACCCATGAGGGAAACTAAAATTTCCTGCAGCGGAAAAAATAAAGGTCCAAATGGGTTAATCGTTTTATCCCAATAATCCAATGAAGCACAATTATTAAAGGTGAAAACCGGAGCAGGGAAAGGATTAAAAAAGGAAGAGGACTCATAGCAATACAAGGGACCATCCCTGCCCAAGAAATCCTGCTCTGTCTGAAGTTTCCCAAGTAAGCCAGGAGAGCAAGAAAAATTTCTGCCAGAGACCCTTGGCAGCATTCCTCCGCGTATGCTCCTATGCATAAATCGGCAGAAAATGTGCATTTTCCATTCCCAACTCTCGGCTGAGTTTATTTCTCTCTAAATAATGCGAGGGGCTGTCACACGGAGGTGGGCAGAGACTTGTTCTTCCCTGCAGAGGAAGGCAGGACACACTCCAACGGAGCAAAGCTCAGGGAACCAAGGTTCAATTTAGATGCCAGGAAGCACTTCCTGACAGTCGGGACCCCGAGAGTGTGGAATGGGCTTCCACGGGGGGTCGTTGAGGCCCCATCGGTGCGGGTGTTCAAGGATAGGCTGGACGTGCACATGGTGGGCATGTCGTGAGCGGAGCTGGCTGGAGCCGGGGGTCAGACTAGATGGCCCGGGAGACCCCTTCGGACTCGCTCTGTTTCTATGCTTCTAAATAAACATGCACCGGAGTGGACAAAGAGGGGGCTAAATAGGAATGCAAACTAAACAAATCTAAAACTGACACTGAAAAATCCTTTGTCGAAACAGGACTACAGTCCAGATAGCTTGCGGAGCGTTAGGGATGGCTCTTGCCCATGTTGGTAGACGGCTGGTGTCGTACAAGCCTTTCCTCTCATTTTTCTGCCCCAACCTGCTTCGGAGTGGATCAAGAGGGTCAGTGCAATGCAGGCGCTGGGCCAGAGGGGTCTTTGTGTGAGCGCCGGGCGTTGGGCTGCATTTCCAGCCACTAGGTGGGAAATCAAGCTGTCAGCGTTTCCGAGCGAGGAATTGGAAATGTAGGGGATTTCTGGAATCTTTTGGCCTGTGCTGACAAATGGCCACGCTCCCCGTGGCTCTGCCCACACATTGCTACAGGACACTGGTCATTTGGGGAATCTAAAGAGATACCTTTGAAGATCCATTTAAGCTCTGCATCCAGGTGGCCTTATTTTGGAGGGGCTGCTTTTGCATCCAGGCCGCAAGGAGCTAAGCGACCTGTGCTGACACAGTTGCTTTGTCTCCGGCTGTCCAGGTGCCCTTCAAATGTGCCATCCAGGAGAAGGTCTCTCTCCAGCTTTATCGCACGCCGGACTTCAGGGTGCCTTCCACCACGGTCGAGGTCAACAAGGCGACCTACGTTCAGGTACGTGCCCCGCGAGGTTGTGCTGCGGAGTGGTCTCCAAGGAGTCGATTCGCACTCTGCCCACCAGTTTCTCTCTGCCCTTCCTTTAGTTTAGCTGGCGGGCGCGGGGTAAGACAAGGGATGCATAGGCATGGAAGCACAGCCTAGTGGTGAGAGCGCTTGTGTGGGACTGGGGAGATGCAGGCTTCGTCTCCACTTAGCCGCAAAGCTGGTTGGGTGTCTATGGGCCAGTCCCCCACCCTGGGCCTAACCCAGCTCGCAGGGCGGTTGTTGTGAGGATCAAATTAGGCTTTTCACAAGAGGAAGTGAGTGGGCTATAAAGCTGATACAATAATAATAATAACAATAACAATAATACGATGGCAATGAAGAATAGCTGTGAAGGCCATTGTACACAGGATCCCCCACCCATCCCCTGCTCCACTAGATAAATAATAAGAAATAATCAAGAAATAATCAAGAAATTAATTGGGAAAAACATCAGTGTATGAGCATTGGAAGTCACCCTGCATTGGAAGAACATTACAGCAGAAATCTGTGCTGGTGGCGGGGGGTGGTGAGAGAGGTTTCCAACAATGTTTAGATGCTATATTTTAAGGTGGTGTCATCTACATTATGACCAGATTGAAAACTACAATGCAATTCTATACGTGTCTACTCTGAAATAAACCCCATTGTGTCATGTAGTGTGTTAGGGTCCCAGCCTTAACATGTGTGTAGCTCCACACAAGCGTTTCACGGAGAAGCCCTGGCTTCCGAAAATACACTAACCCACACTCAGTGTTGAAATGTGGCTAGTCGTATTGTCTGAACCCAGCTGAGATAACAAGCCACGGTGAACAACCCACAGGTAAAAACACGGCAACAAACCATGGGTTCATTTCATGGGCTGTGGTTAGCAAGCCATAGCTTGTTACCACAGCTGGGTTCAGACAACACAATAACCTGTGGTTCAACAACCTACATTCAACCCTTGAGTGTGAGCTATCGTGTGCTCTCAGCCCATTTGTTCTTTCCCCAAAATCCCTACAGCAAAACTGGATGGGTTCACACATCACAATCACTCCCCTTGGCAATTAGCCATGGCACGTTGGTTCTTGGTAAAACAACCCATGGTGTGCCTGACAGTCGGCTTGGTTTAACGTAGGCTGTTCACCCCTCGGTCCCTTGCTATTAGTAGCATCCATTTTAACCTGGTGTTTGTGCAGACTGGCTTCTATTTATCCTTTACTGTGACTGATAGAGATGCAAAGATGGGATACAAAACTTTCTAGATTAAGATCGCACGTGTCAAGGAGAATACTAAGGAAGAAGGCAGTGATGCTGTGAATTGAAATGCCCCTGGGGTATTTACCAGGGGTTAATGCACTGTTAAGAGGAGCAGCATATTAGCTTTTCAGTTATTTTTCTTGAGGCTTCCCTTCAGGGGGGTCCAGGGATGAAGGATGAAGCCATCCAGTTCTGAAAACCCCGTTCCATTCTCCCTTCCAACAGCAGCCATGATGCATTTTCCTCTGCCTCTGTTCTCCGTAGGTCTCCGTCTGGACAATGGATCAGAAAGCTCTTCTGGCAATAGACCAGTGTTTCCTCAATACCCCCGAGAAAGATTCCTTACCGCTGCAGACCCAAAGCCTTCTGCCACGTTATTCCGCAGGCCCCGTGAACGTTGCCAGCCCAAAGATCTATCGCTCCAGTTTCACCTACAAGGCCAAAGAGCCGCAAGCATCTCTGCTCAGTACGCTCACCTGCAAGGTCACTCTGGGCAACTCGGTGAGTTTTCATTTTCCCTTTTTCTTTTAATTTAATTTTTATTTCCACATGCGTAAGCCAGCCAATCATGCCATGGCACCTCTGGGTGGCAAATGCATACACAAATACAAATGTCGAATAGAAAGAAAGAAACTAGTATAAACAGAACAGACTGAAGTGAGCAACATAGTTAAAGTTGCCAAGGGAATTTTAAGCAAATACAGTCTGTGTATCGCAATCCTCAAAAGTGACTCTCTTCAGTTCGGCGAGCTTTCGAGTCCCTCGAGGTGATTCTGGGACTGATCGGCCACTTTCTCTCATTCGTGACCCAATTTTTAAAAAGGTGGTGTGTGTTTTAATGATTTTGATGCTTTAGTGTGTGTTTTCGAAATCCCATCAGCTGCTTGAAGAATAGTCATCTGTAGAAAAGCAGGGTGCCGATCTGCTGAAATGCAATTAAGCCTTGACTTCGTTTTTTCCCGCCTCTCTTTTAGTCTCATCACCGAACTTACAACAGCTCCTTGGAGGTTTTGCTCAAGTATGAAAATGCTTCTTCGCCTAGTGAGTCTGAGGCTTTTTTCTATTTCATATGTAAAGAACTGGGCCACATCCACCCGGGACGGACCCTTGATCGAGTCTTCCAAGAGTTTTCTCCCGTCGGGCAGGTTTCTCTGCTTAGCTCTAGCAACCCCCTCGGTCCTTCTGTACCTTAGATCCGTAGCTCCTCAGACTGCAGAAGGTCTGGGCCTGTAACGGCTGGTTCACACGTGCAAGCGTCCCTTCGTGATGCAGGACTGAAGGCGATGCGAGCAGGTGCTTCGCCGAGGACGGGGGCGGGCGCTGCTTTGCGTAAAGTTTGCATTGCCAGTTAATGTGCAGAGATGCCAATTTCGGAAACGTTATCTTTTCCACAGAAGTGCAGCCCTTTCCAGCACAGCTGCTTTCTCGTGTGCTGCTATTCCACTGGCGGGCCAGGCGCTCTCTGGAGAGCCTTTAAACTGGGCCCGGATGGCTCAGGCTTCTGTGCACTCTGGAGCCGGATCCTGCCTCCTTCGCTGGGATCGGCCAAGACTCTTAAAGTTGTCTGCATCAGTGGGTCACAGAAGGGAGGAGGCAGGCCGTGTCCGTCTCCCCCAAACTAAAACATCCCCGTGGTGATAGGAGGAGTCGCTTTATACATGCTCAGGGGTACACCATCACTAGTGCTGGAAACGTCTCGCTGCCAAAAACAAGAACTTGGCAAGCGGGCAACCCGCACCCCCCCAGGACCGCTCCTCTGCCAAGCCACTCCGCAAAACACCCCCTTTGTGGAAAGAGCCGGCCCTGCCTGGCGTTTTCCCAAATGGCCCGTTGGCCAGCGGGGCTGAGCTGCGGGAACGGCACTGCCCCATTTGCTCCGAGAAGCCGCCGCCGCCGCCGGCTCTTCCTGCATTCCCGGAATGTCCTCCCCCCGCACCCCCCCGGCTGCATTTCCTTCCTTCCTTCCTCCCGCAGCGAGCGAAAGCCGGCCGGCCGTTGCCAGTGCGACGGCGGTGTGGTGGCCGCCTCTCCATGGCAGCCACGTGCGCGAGGAGGCACAGGTGGGGACGGCGCGCCTTCCGGAAAGCGTGCGCCGCGACCTTTCGCTCGGCGCGCTCGCCAAGCCGCGGCGGGGCCACACTGGTGGGTGGGGAGAGGCGTGCGTGCAGAGGAAGGCAGCCAGAGCTGGAGTGAACAGGCGCTGGAGCGGAAATGCATGCTGGGGCGCCGGGGAGCGCTCTGCGATGAGTCGTGGGGACAGTGGCAGACGGGACGGGACCTGCCCTCCCCTTCGTGCCCCCAAGATGCAAGCACCACGAGCAATGCCTCCGCCGTGTGGAGCCCGAGGAGAGGGCTGGAGAACAGCGTGGAGAGTCGAAAAGCCAGATGGGCATGCGGGAGGCAGAAGGAAGTGCACAGATGCACCCCAGCCTCTGCTGGGCACAAGGAACGACCCGACGCAGTCCAGCGGAGGGGCGGCTGCTCCGCTCTCGCTGCCCACAGCTGCCTGCCTGAGTCTGGCGCCCCCCGGGCATGCAGGACTCTGATTCCCAGCAGCTGGGAGTGGCAGGCCAACACGGGCCAATGCTGGGAGGTCAAGGAGGATCCCTACCCTGGCAAAAGTGGGGATATTTTGGTGACGTTGGGAGACATCAGCGGGTTTGCAAGGCAAAGGAAGATTTGTCTAAGGCAGTGATGGTGAACCTTTTAGACGCCGAGTACCCAAACAGCAACCCAAAACCCACATATTCCTCACAAAGTGCCAACACGGCAAAAAAACCTGAATGGGGAGGTTTTAGTTTAGAAAAAACGACACTAAGCCAGGCCAAGTTAATATATGTGTATGCTTGGCAGTGCACAAACCAGCCATGTGGCAGCGCAGAGGAGACACGGCTCATGATCTCTTCGACAGGCATTGCCGGCCTTTCACAGCAGGTGCATAGCCACGATTCCCACTGCTCCCCAACGCCAAGCTGCTGGGGCGAGGCTGCTGTAACATGGCTCGCACACGGACAGAGACGGCTCTGTGTGGCCTGAACCTACCCTGGTGCAGACCCCTAACCCTAGCAGAGGGGTAAAGTTCCATTGAAAATAGGGCAATTTTGAAAAAGCCCCCCTTGAGTCGCTTTTTCTGCACAGCTCATCCTTTCTGCCCCTTCTAAACACATTCCAACCATCAAAACCAGGCCAGGACTCCTCCTTTTCCTAACCCTAACCCTACCCTGGTGCACACCCCTAACCCAAATTGAGGGGTGAAGTTCCACTGAAAATAGGGCAATTTTGAAAAAGCCCCTTTGAGTCGCTTGTTCTGCCCAAATCATCCTTTCTGCCCCTTCTAAACACATTCCAACCATCAAAACCATGCCAGGACTCCTCGTTTTCCTAACCCTAACCCTAACCTGGTGCACACCCCTAACCCTAATTGAGGGGTGAAGTTCCATTGAAAATAGGGCAATTTTGAAAAAGCCCTTTTGAGTCGCTTTTTCTGCGCAGCTCATCCTTTCTGCCCCTTCTAAACTCATTCCAA